TCTGTAATTACTCCCATTCATAAAAGTCCACGTTTCACTCCATCCCTCGCAGAAGCCTTTTCAATGCTACCCCACTCCCAGTTTAACTGTCGCATCTCTCCGTAAATTCAATGCGCATCGACCACGAGACGACAAGTGATCTTCGGCCTTATCAGAGATCACGGCCCTATGTAGTCATTTTGCGGTCGGACGGGTCAGTTTCACCTTCCGGTTGCTCTGAAATGGAAACAAAGGCGGGAGATGCATTGCGTCGGACAAGCAGGATTTACGATCTTTCAAGATTTTAGTTCCGGAACTGCCAGGAGAATGCATTCAGAGATAGTTCTTTTCTGATTCGTGATATTGTTGTTCGAAAAAACAACACTCACGACTGAAATGTTTGGTACCATTGAGATATTTCATATTTCTATTTGTCGATAATTAGAAATTTCATGGGTGTCTTTGACTCTAAGAAATCAAAATAGAGCAACTATTTGTCAGTGATTCGGGTAAATTCCTCTAAATACTAAACCGCGGGATGTCGTTGACGCCTCCATTCTTACTTGAAAATAACTCATTTTGGCTTAAAGCGTTTTCTTCGTCAAGCGTGATCATGTCATCAGTTTAGCAAGATATTTTTCCGTCAAACTAACTCCACATCGAGAATGACGAATGTAGTAAATTAAGAATGCTTCCTTCCCACATAAGTTTTCTATGTAAACAGAAGAGAAGAAGTAAATCTTACTCCTCTCACGACTTCCACTGAATTATATATCAGTAAAACTAAGGAAGTATTTGTTATTGATTCCAATCCACTTCTCAATCACGGGGCCATATATCTATCTCTGGTTTCTTTCGCATAGTTTCTGGATCCTGCTACAGAACTTTTAATTTTCATCTCAGCAGTATCTTCTCTCGTTCATCCAACGCTTTTAAATGCACAAATACTTTCTTAACATAAGAATCTCCGAACTGTGTTTTAATAGGACAAAAATTAATGTAATACCAATCTAAATCATATGTTCTCTTCAAAAGATCAAGTACATAAGGTTATGAATAGCCAAACCGCTCAGGTGTGCATCCGTCGAGCTAATCAGTACTTTTGCCTTGTGGACAGTGTTTTTTTTCTCAACTTTAAGTAATAGAACAATTAATACGGCAATGAAGTAAGAAATTCGATTACATATCTACAAAATGGGCAGACGTGAATTAATTTACGGGACCTTATTGCAAGATAGCTTTTCGATTTTCATATTTCAAAACTGCGATAATAAGATGAACGAGCAATGATAAAGACACTCTTGTAAAATAGAGAAGATAGACGCTATGAATCACATGAGAAAGATAAAGATTTAGTTTTCATGAAAGTTTCTAAAAAGAGTACAATCATTCAGCAACAATTATGACTGTTTTTGAAGATTTGGAAACAGTGGCCACGTTGGAAAAATAAAAGCAGAGATACACGAATTAGAGAACATCATATAGTTCTTCATTGTGATTTGGGCCGTGAGACAGATCCCGAAATACCCAATTTCCAAAATTTCACTGGGGATGTAAGAAGCTAGCTGGAATGCTGGCCGGAAATTACTGTGTAGAATCTGTTATATGACATTTGTGGGAATGATGAGATCAATAGAGCTCCAAATTGAGAAATACTGGGAAAAGCATTTATGGAAGCACCGAAATAAAACGAAATTTTCAAAATGATCTATACAACATGAAAAATAAGGAATGAATCATGTAATAGACGGGTCGAAGGACTTCTAGACTATAAGGAAATGAATGATTAAGGATTTGAAGTTATCCATCAAATTTCAAATGAGATTGCAGAACCCCTAAATTCAGGAAAGTCTCCACTAAAATATTACACCGAAAAATCAATAGATTTTGAAAAACAATTAGTAAACCTGCAAATTAGTAAATTATACTAATAGATGAATCCTCTACTTTCTGAATTTACAAGAAATGAACTGATATCAAATGAAAGCTTTATACAGAAGACGCATTTCACTGAGACTGAATAGATGTAACATAGAGCGAATAAATGTAACGTAAAATAGATGAGCATTAAATAACTTTGAGTGAGCAATGAACGATTTAAACAAATTTTGAGGTTATCCAACAAACAAACACATCCTTTCGAACTTCAAATAATACTTTGATTTTTAGGAAAAGCATGCAAAAATACCACTGAATACTTCTCAGAATATATAATAGTCAATAATGAATTACTTTTCATGATGACAATGATTGCTTTTTCAAACTCACGAAATGCTTTTTATCCAGGAAATTTTATTTATCCCAGGAGATGTTAAAAACTTCTAGAAGTCATAGCGGAGCACTTAATTTTCTTATGATTACTGCACATTGCACGAATATTAAAACAGTTCTACTCAAATCAATTAATTGAGTTTCACAACTGAAAAAACGATAATTACGTTATGCTGGCAGAAATAGGAGTGTACTATGCGCTTTTCAATTCAACTTCTTCTAACAGCAGCAGATCTTCCTGTATCTCCTGATCAGTGAGAGCATCCGCAATGTTAGGACGTGTTTTGGCATGGGTGTGCTTCTCACTGTATGGCGTTGGTTCATTCGGCCTTCTAAAAATTCAGAATAGTAAAAAGTTGACCAAATTTGTTCGAATACTTAAATACTGTCTTCAATAATCAAAGGAACTATAAAGATGAATTATCAACGCCCTGAAATAAATTTGCAATCTGCGGGACGCTTTTTAATCGAACATTTTTCAGAAGAATAAACGAATCAGTTCACTGACAAGGATGATTTAAGCGAATCTTAGAAACAATTTTACCGCATTTACACAAAACATGAGATAGGTGAAAATACCAAAAAGTTTTAACATTTCTCTTTAACTTATTTCATCGGTGAAGGAACTTTCTCTGTCAGTGATGCAAAAACAGAAAAGATGTACCTCCGAAGGCTTTTTTTGCTGGGGAAATCATTTGCTGGTGCACTGGAAATATCAGAATTATGAAATTCATGATCAATCTTTTTCTTTTGTTCTTCACATTCCTGAATCATAGCTTCCATAAGTTCTGTTAATCGTCCTTCGAGTTCTCTTTCCGCTGCTTCTTTTTCTCGTTCATACTGTTCCTCAATACGCTCCTTCTCGAGCTACAAACATAAACATTACCAAAAATGATATATGTCAAGTTTCTCCTTTAACAAACTGAATAAGAACAAATGGAGGTTGCATAATGTTAAGAAGTGAAACTGAAAACATTATAAACTTTTGTCAAGGAGACTAAGAAATCCATTCACAAGGAAGAGTGCAAATTCTATTTCACCTACCTGTAATTATTTCACCCACCTATAATTAGGGATATCCCCAAAATACCTAAAGTAATTCACAATTTCAATTTTATCGAGGCACAACCACATACCGAGAATATTCATTCCAAACTCTAGCATTCAAAATTCGGTTGGAAAATCAATTCATTTCAAAAGATTGTGAGATTTCACGCGGCGCATTTAGAAAAAAACTGCTAAGTTGCTACAAAATGATTGCTCATATCAAAACAGCTGTCGATAGATCTCCTTCATGCAGAAACAATAATTGGCGTTATTACTTTTTGTGTAGAAGTAATCAACTAAAAATTACATCCAAATCAGAGACAACAACCATAAAAATTGCATAACCTGGTCGGAGATTTCTTCTGCTTCCAGCTCGGTCCTAAACTGCTCTTCAAGCATCTTTATTGTACTGGCATATTCCGGATGCTTTAGCTCTCGTAAACTTTGCATTTCAAATTCCAATTCAGCATGTTTTTGGTAGTAGAATCTATACACTGGGGTGCTTTAGCTTCACAGAGAAAATATATTAAAATAACAAAGAATAAATGTAAGGCTAGATGATATGAGCGATTATTTCTTACTGGATTACAATATTTTTGTCATCACTTATTGAAATTCATATCAATAAATAATTTTTAAACAATATTTAGCTTATCAATATGATAATGACGGTTTTCTCGTACTTCCCAAAAACGATCCCAGTGGCTAGTGAGAAAATTGTAAGCTCCGGTATTATTCTGTTTCGCAAAATAAATAATTATGGTAAGAAGTAATCAACTCTTTAAACTAATTAATCAAGTCTGAATGATAACCTTCGCATATATGTATTTTCGACATTATTTGGAGGCGGAAGATTCTCCATGTCGCCAACAAAATTCATTGTTAAGCATGCAAATGATACCAGAACTAATTTCGGCTTAAAACAATTAAGTTTCTAAAAATTCACTTCTTAAATTATCAGCAACTTTTAGTTAACCTCCATAACGATTCCATTGGACCAATATTATCTTTAACATAAGTGAGTGTAAAATCTTACGTTACATAAACACTATCTTTTTATGAAATAAATAACTGCAAAATAGTGAGTGATCTAAAAAGCCGCATACGCTTAACATAAGTGATTTCTTTCAAAGTGCTCACAAGCAAGATTACTATAATTTAAATCTTTGGCCAATCAATCAGCATACAATACTATCTTTTCGGATTTATAGACTTTTCTCGTCATATCCTAATCCTGCATCTGTCCACGAGATGATGATAAAATTATGAAGTTATATAGCACCAAACTTTAATCGGTATTTAACATTATTTTCTATGGTTTATCGAAGTTTTCTCATTATATTCAAAATTTGCAACTGTCCACCATCTCTTCTGTATTATTATTAATACAAACTTCATAATGAATAAAACCATGAAGTTAGACTGGACTAGACTATATTTAAGATCGAACTCGGGACCTCTGGAACGAATAGCCAAATCCTGGTACCAATAAAGTGATGCAACGCACTGACATCGTGATATAACGTGTGTTGTGGTGGTTTATAACAGATTGTTGGTTGGTTGGTTGCGTGGGTCGTGCAAGTGTTAATGTTATGTGTGGACGTTGATATTACGTTTCATTGTGTTATATTTTCACTTGTATTTTTAGATTTACTATTGCTTATTAATTTTAAAATTTCAAAAGACATTACTGATGTCTAAAAATGGTTACTCCAAGCGTTCACGAACAGTGTTGGGAACCAACAACAACCTTGAAAGATATCCGGAAATGTATCCAAAATGGCCACTATATTATGGTAATAATGCGTGGTATCCCAGGATCAGGCAAATCTCATTTAGCTAGGTAGAGATTAGTTTATTTGATATACGTTAAATATATTAAAATTTGCTTCACTGTTAAATTTTGGGTTAGTTAATGCAATCATACTGAACACAATTTATTTGATGTTAGACATGATAAAAATAGATTAATTATTTAGTATGAAAATTCATTCTGTTCATGTTATTTAATACAATGTATGCTAGATTAATTCATTCCGTACATGATAGATAGACTTTTTATTTTGCGCATGCTAGAAATATATTAGCACTCTATAAGGTAGTTTGACTATATATATTAGCACTCTAAAGGTAGTTTTACTTCATAAGGTAGTTTGCATATCCTAAGATGGCTTTGTTCTCTTTGCAGCGACTTAGTATCCGGAACAAATGGTGCAATTTTTGGTAGCGACAAATATTTCATGCAAAATGATGTGTACCGATTTGATCCCACCAAACTGGATGAATATCATCAGAAAAATTGGAAAGAAGGTATATGCACTAGGAGAAATCTCAACTTCATAATAGTTGTATTTTTAATTAATTCAATTTAACAATGTAAATTTAGCATTTGTTCCAGGATTGGAAGTAAGAACTAGGATTGTTGTTGAATAAGGAACGAAATAATTTTGAAAGTAGATTAAAAGTGCACATACATGTAAGATAATTTGGAACATGTGAATTAAGTATAAATAATGAATAGATGGATTTGAAAACAAAGCTATAAATAACAAAGTGTGAAAACTAATGAGTGAAATAAAAAATTCTTTTCTTTTCACCTGCTGCTGCATGAGGTGACGATGTCGAAGGAAAAAAAGAATAATGTTTCTTTTTCTTCATTATAATTATTAAAGTAATTTTGATAGAATCTTTGATTAGAAAATCGAGATCAAAATAAATGGTGGAAGTGAACGTTAACTGAATAGATTATATTTATAGAAATAATGCATTCAAGGCTCGTGGCGATTAATGTTGTGGTAAATAGCAATAAATTTATTTAAAACACTGATAGAAATCTCAAAACAAGTCAGAAAAAATGACCATTCCGTTTATTGGAACCACAATTTTAATTTCATATAAATAATTGATTTCCTATTTTCTTTCAGCAAAAGACGCAATACTGCAAGGGATAAAGCCAATAATCATTGACAACACCAACATATTTGTGGCACACATGAAGCCGTACATTAATCTAGTTAGTTTTCAATTAAAACTTTCCAAAATGGTAGTTTCGTACATTTTCGTTTGGATTTATAACTTCAAAAAACATTCTTTAAAAAGTAAGGGTGGAACTAAGAAATTAATATAAGACTTGTATGGTAGAATAGAAAATAGGAGCAACAAAGAAGGAAAGTAGGTAAAGCCCTACTGGAATTCGAAATGTTATCTTTCAAGATATTTTGAAGCCTTCCTCCTTGCTTAGACACTGAGGAGAAATTTAAAGGTTCTTTGAAAATTTTCATTGTGCAACGGTTAACAGGAAAAAAATTTGGTAACGCAAATAAAGTGATGACTGATTGAACAATACTTGTAATAGAAATTTTTGCGAATGTTTCCAGGCTTTGAAGAATTCATATGAAATTTATTTCGTGGAACCAGAGACAGAGTGGAAGAAAAATGCAAAAGAGTGTGCTAGGTCGCATTTATGCTTCTTTATCATTTTTTTCATTGTCATTGTTTTCTAGAAAGGAACATTTTTGAAGACTTTGGTACAAAACTTTGATTTAACTGCAGGCGTAATGCACACTCTGTGTCGGAAGACAAAATTAAGCGTATGGCCGAATGCTTCGAAGAAGTCGTTTTAAGTGATATAATAAAACCGACACAGTTAAGGTAAATGAATATGTAATTTGAACCAACTAGATGCAAGAAAGGTGCGGGAATAATTTGAAAAAACTCAGACTGAAGTTGAAAATGTGAAGATTTGTTACACATTAAATCCAGCCACTAAATTGCTATATAAATTTTCCTTTTTTAATTTCCATATGACTTTAATTTTACACGTGAATTTTCTGAGATTACGTTTTCCATCTGGTCAGATGAGAAATATCAAATATCATTTTTTGTAGAATAATTCCACCACTGGTTGACGTAAGCGACAAAGATGATGATTATAGTTTATTGCTATCGAAATTGGATTCTTCTTCATCAGGTAGTCGTTTTGATTTCATTGTCTTAATTGATTTTAATTAAGAGCATCCTGTTTAATGGCGTTATTAAATAGTATATCTCATTTAAGGTGCGGCAACCGAATTATTCAATATAAAATATTATTTTTGATTTGAAATGATTATCTTTCTTCACACTAATCTTCCTTTACTTTTCGTTCGCATATGTGCATTTTTGTATTGAGTGTTTCTTGTCTGAGTTTCAAAAATTTCCCGTTGTAGTTCATTTATGTCTGTTCAGTTCAGTTGTTTGTAAGCCCAAATATAGAATGAATTGAGAGAAATCGTGATAGTACTTGTTATGTGACATTACGCGGTTTTTGGTCTCTTTCTGTCTCAGAGCATCAAGAAGGTGTACGAAAAGGGCATATTGAAAAAAAAAAATGGCGAAAGAGCTCGCCCTTATTGTGGTTGATTCACAATGTGTATTACTTGAAGCAGTAGATTTACTGAAAATTTTATCTCCAGATTCGCTTTCGGAAAAAAATCATACTGACAAAAAGAAAAACTCTGAACAATTATTTTCTTTAATTCCACAGCAGGTTTCGTTTTTCTTTTTTGTGAATCTTCTAGGAAATCTTTTATTATCATATGTATAAACGATTTGAACTGATGAAAGAGAAAGCGTTACGACAAAGTGATTGAAAAAATTAATGAAAATGGAATCGTCGTTTGAATTTGTGAGAGCTTAAATACTTCCAAATTATTAGTTTAAATCATATTTCTGATATATTGATATTTTTATTACTTCCGAGGACCGAACGTTTTTATTTTGATCAGTAGTTTTTGTTTCATTATTGTCATTCTTAAATAATGGCTTTATTTGTCTATATGTTCCAGATACCAAAAAAAAGTCTGCGTACAGTTGGATGTCACACTAGTGATTTGATTCGAGCATTTGACTTATTGGATCCTTTGCCATCTGTAAGCGATGAATTTGTCTGGGAAACAATACGGGATGATATTGATTTTAGTAATAAAAAGAAAATGAGGGGAGAAGTTGTTCAGGCTGGGTTAGTTCTCATTTTTAATAATCCCACTCTTGCTGCATATTTGAAAATAAGTGAACATTTTCTTATTCATTTGTATTTCGCCGTTAGCGTTACATTATCTCCATTCCAAATATTTCAGTGACGGTAACATTCTATCCGATATTGAACTATTATTAGCGTTATTTCCGGATGAAAAACCCTCAGATCTGTTACATATGCTAGAGATAGTTGGATTAAATAATGCAATGACATTGCTTAAAGAAATGAACGCTCACATGGATCTCTGTGCTACAGTTGGCAAGGTTTGTCATTGTTCTTTCAATTTCCATTCTTAATAATAGGATCAAAACAAAGTGAAGTGAGAGTTATTTTTCAAGTTTCTATATTCTTGTGATAACAAAACTGTGGAGTTGAGTGGTGTGTTTTCTTCACGATTTTATGCACATGAATTTTGCTTTTCAAAAAAATCTTTATATTTTGAACTATTTTTTAAATGAAAAATAGGAGGTGGTGAATGTTTTAAGATTCAAACATTATTTGTTGGCTTCAACTGCAAACCAAGTATTACCCTAATGGGTTAAAGCATTTTAAAATTTAAAATATTATACATTTAAGCTGTATTATATATTACAGCAATGACAACAGCGTTTCTTTTTCTTCTGATAAACTTTTTTTGTGGAACATACTGCTTTGCAAATGATTCCACTGTACTCGTCAAATTTCATTTCATCTTTCGAAAAGTTTCAGAATAAAAATATTAGAGCAGAACCATTGTCACAGACATATTATTGGTGGAATGAAGCAGAATTTGAAGGGATCGATGACAACAGTTCATCAAAATTTGCACCAAATTTCGAAATGAAAAGAGCGATGCCAGAAAATTTGGCTCCTTGCACTTACATGCAATGTTGTGATCCAGAACCTGTACCGCAAGGATATTATCGGATGGAGATATCAATTGATATGATGGAGCAACTTACTCAGCTTTTCGGTATTTCTTTTCTCCATTCTAAAAATGTTTAAGATGTAGAGCACAAAGAGTTAGCTATTTTTCCAGCTAATTTTACTGTCCTTGTAGGGAAACCAAATCTTGAGAGGTTGTCTATCTCTGATCTCTTATTATTTGAATTATTGTACTTTAAACTAATGAATATAAGTTGCATGAACCGAAACGATTGGCACTAAAACTTGAATTTTGCGTATCTTTTTTGTTTTCAAATGACAAAACACTATTTCAAGGTGGTAGTGAAAATAATGTTTTAAAAACATATGTGGACTTACCGATCTGGCTCTGGCGTCAAATTTATTTTTTCTGGCAAGGCACTCCAACTACAAAAGGTTTCTTGTTCCTTCAGAAAAATTACTTGTTAATAATATTGCTTTTATTCTCTAATCAATTATCATCTGATCAAAATTGAATTAACTTGGCAACGCGAATTAAAAAAAACATGAATTCTTGCTTGAATAAATTGATAGGGGTCATTAAAATACTAGTAATTCCATTTTCTCTTATACCAACCATGGATATTTACTCTTCGTGTTATGTTTTGATCGGTTGAAATTGCTCATGAATTATCAAGATAACTTTGTGTGGTTAAGAGCTTTCATTATCACAGAATTTTTCTTGATTTACTTACATAATCAAACTTTTTGAAATTATTACCACATCTTTATATTTTAACTAATTTGGCAAAAAAAGCCATAGTATTGATACAAAACATATATGATTTTACCGAAGGAAAAGCAAATTGTTATGTATTGGTTATCTGAAATTTTTACTCCCGGTGAAATCTTCATGTTCATTTTCTGGAGAAATTGATTAGTAAGACTAATAATATAGGAAGTTAAGAGCTTAAGAATGTTTTTATAATTTGAATAGTTGGAGATTTTTCGAATTAGAAAAAGTGTCTCAGGTCTTTTGATCAAGATTCAAAAATGAAAAATAATTCAAGACTTCATATGTTAAAAATTGATAGATATCGGATTGAAAACTTTACGTCGAATTGTTGAGAACCTTTCATGTTTCAGCACGATGTGCAGATATTTTTTTGATTTTTATTCATGATAAGTTTCGTAGCTTTGCATCGTAGATGGAGTTTGATATAGCAATGTCTAATCTTAATCAGATTAAAAATTCATGAAGGAACTTCTTTTGATTTGTTTTGCAACTAACAGGAACACTGTTATGAAGGCCACGATTCTTTATTTTACTTCATTGCACATTTCTTGTTTTATCAGAGAGCTTACTACTAATTCTTCTGAGTTTCCACAGCAGTATCGGTTGAACGAGAAACATAATCCAGAATTCATTAATTAATACACATGTCTAGTTAGCATGTTTATTCGAACTGATGGCAATTACTATTATAGTAGATAATGCATTTGGAAGTGAGAATTTCGACTTTTCTTCACTGGTTAGTTCTGATGAAGAATTAGCGCGAATATTGCAAAATCAAGAACTATCATCAGACAAATCGTTGGTTAGTGGCTAACTATAAATAATTCTTTCTTTTGGCTTCGCTTCTAATATTTTGTGCTTACCAAGCCTAATTCAGTTTATTCAGGATAAGATCTGCACATCCGTTTCTTGCAAAAACTTATGTTCTTTCGTCATAACTTCCCAAAACTCAATTTTTATATATGCAAATTTGGACAAAAAAGTGTAAGCTAGTTTACATCAGTATAATAGTTGTCATGTTTAGTTGTTCGTATTCTTTTTAAGTTGTCCTATTCCTTTTAATTTAGGAAAACGGCAGACATATGAGTATTGCTGAAAGGCTACAGCTAAATGCACTGATAAATGATTATTCTGGAGTTGATCGGGAGCGAATTGCAGAATGCTTCTATGATAACAAGTATTATTTTTTGATAACATTTTTATTCTTTTCTACACTTCATGTATTTTTCGCATCGTTTGTTTAGTGTGATCCACCAGCAGTACTTTTTAAACTATATTTCGGTTGCATCGATGGCATTTCAACATTTTTGAGGTTTAATTAGGTTTTCTATCTAATTAGGTTATTGTTTTTCATTCTAGATTTTCTGCGGAGGCTACGCGTAATATTTTAAAACTATTCATAAATGACACTGAAAACATTAAAACAGTACTGGCTGATCGATCTTCGTTTGTTTCTCCTACAAATCGACCCGATAGTTGTAATATGTCAGCAGCATTTCCCCGTCACTTTGCTTTCAATGAATTATCGGTAAGTTCTAATGAACTCAACAATATTATCGGTTTTACTGTATGAAATTTTGAGTTGTTGAAAGATTTAAAAGTGGAAGCAAAATGATCGAATTGCCCTGAAAATCAACTGTATTTTAGCAGATCCTAAAGCCAGATCTAGAATCAGTTCACAAGGACGCATGCAAACTACGAGAAGAAGCAGATAAGTATAACAAACAGAAACATGAAATGTTATTGCGGGCTAACAGTCATCGAGAACTTGGAGCTAAAATGTTTTATTTTGCTGAGGTAAATAATTGGTTATGTCGGCGCTTTGAAATTTTCGAAATGCGGTTCTACACAAATAATGCTTAATTGGGAACTTGAAATAATTCAGTAATATGGGATCGTATGATTTACACTTGTCTAGTTATTTTCAAGCATTAAAATGCTGTTGCTATACTTCAGGTACTCTTAGTGGTTTTGAATGCTGCAGATTGCTTTAAAAATTATCTCGAAATTTTAAATAGTATTAAGCTCTTCCCAATTCTATTTTGACAGTGATATATAATTACTCTTCGATTTCCCGTACTGTTGTGTTTAATCACTAATTATATAGGATTATTCATGGTCGGAATACTTAAGCATTAGTCGCAAATACCTAACTTCATGCTTGAAACTCCTGGAATTATTCTTAGATCGATTTTTGGTTTTTGTGATGTTGAATATATTGCAATTTATTACCATTTGAAAAGACAAAAAGTGCAGTTATTGAGATCAAAAACATTTGATTCTCTAAGGCGCATTATTTTGTTTTCATCACTTTAATCATTTGCCTGCTCTGAACATAGTCGATAGAGCCTTGTTGGTTGTGCTGCTAGACTTTACTACATCTCTCTGATTTCTCGTTGAACTGTATTGTGTATACCATCGCAAAATGTTTCTTAATTTATTTTTTAGCTAACATTGAATTGTAGGCTCAGAAATTTGGGAAAAAAGCACGAGATTGTGTCGCAGAGCTGAATGAAAGATTGTTCAAAGCAAACACATCCAATTTATTCATCGACTTGCATTATATGGATGTTCAGTCTGCTATTAAACTTCTTAAAGCCAAACTGAATGCTGCAGATAGTAAGTCTATATGTTATCTTTTAACCGAATAAATCTTGGATATGTGGTGGGCACTGAATAAATCTTGGATATGTGGAATTTCAGTTCTTAAGTAGCTGATGATTGAATGAGTTGTATAATTTACTTAGTTTGAAGGGGCGCGCTGCGTAACAGTTGGAAGTTTCAGTGATTTAAATAATTAGGCTTAATTTTTTGTGCTTTTATGCCGTTCTATGCTTTTAAGATTTCTAGGACCGCCGGAGCTCCAACGTGGACGATCTGGAAAGAAACTCATTGTTCTAACTGGTTACGGTAAATTGAACGATGGGCAAGCAAAAATTAAGCCAGCTGTCACACAGTGGCTTGAGCAATGTGGCTATGAGTATGTTTCAGGAATTTTTCAGTTTATCCACAGCATATTATGAAATTTTAACTCTTGAATCGGTTTTGCAGTTCATTGGATTTTACGTTTTGTGGATTTGAGGAGTAAAGAATGTCGGTAGAAAAAGTTATTTTATTATTCTAAAAATAGGTTCGCAGTTACTTAGATCAGAATCTGGATCCTAGAATTGAATTTGAGTAATTGCAATCTGAATACGATCATAGATACTTGTCTGCAACTTTATTCATTTGCTAGTGCACAGTGATATCTTATCAGGATAGTATTATGAGATTTCGTTTTTTGCTTTTTAACTTCCTTCACCATATTTTTTCAGATATTATAATTCATCCAACAAAGGTGAATTAATTGTGGAGTGTAAATAGCAAGCCGTTATTTTTAGTCGATTTCATATGTTATAAAGCTGAAAGGTAAAACTTTTTTAATCGATGGTGACATTGGTTAGTTGATTATTTGCCAACCTCTCAGTTACTTGTTTTCTTCACTGTTGCCTGTACTCAAAACCTTACTTATCTCAGTTATCTTGAATGTAAATAAGATATACTCTTCATTTTCTATAATAGTTAAAATTAATGATTATTCTGAATTTCTAAATGTTGTTTCGCATTTGTATTACAAAAAAATTGCATAGATGTGCAACTTTATACATATATTTGCATGTATTTTTGTGAGCCTGAAGTGATTTTTTCTTTCAAATACTTCTTTTCATAATAAAACTAGCAAAATGGATTTTTTTGACGAAATATTTTCATTCTCTTCATACTGTTTTGTTTCTTACATATCTTTTGGTTAATGCTATAAAATTTAAAATATAAATATACTTATTTTCAAAGCGTTATATTGATACTATAATAACGCTTGTTGTAGAACTTAAATTTAACAAATAAATAAAAGGATATCTGAGGAAAGATCCAGACTTTGGTAATGAAACCCATTTTATTACTTTTTTAGCAAGCTACCTTTGCGATAATGAAATAGTATTCTTTGTCCCGATATCACTTTTGTGAAATATACTTCAAATGATTTTCTCTAATGATGCTTGTAAATATCTCTCTAATTGTCGTGATATAAGGAGTAATTTTGTGTACCGATGCATATGTAGGATTGCTACGTTGAAGAATTCAGTTTATTAGTTAGCTAATGGGTGATTAGTCGATTAATTACATTAAGAGACTGCATTTTGAATGTTCTTTCTACTATTAATTATTTTCAAAAGCATTTTAGGCACGTTGTAAAATCACATAAGCGTGGTATCTTTCATTCTCTGAGAGATTTTTCTAATTTTAAAGTTTGGAACCACATAAATAAAAAAGTATTTATAGATGAGTTTTTGACTACTTTTATGAATCGTCAATACATCTGCATCATAATCATTTGTATCTAAATTGCGCCTTATTATCGCATTTTGTATGTCGTTATATTTTTTTTCACTTTTGCATTAATTAGTGCTATTCATTTGTGATATTGGAAGATACAATTTAACAAGTTATAAAATTGTTGGACCGTATATAAATTATATCAAAGAGCTGGATGTGATATACCTAAGAAATTGTCGAACCAGAAATCTCATGAAATCTTAGGATCTTACTGTTTTCATGAATTTATATTTGTTTCAAGAAATAAATGAATTTATTTTTTTTTTACTTCGAAAAATAAATGGGTTTTTTTTGTGCTTGGATTTCATCGATTATTGTGTTGGAAGTCGCTCATTTCTTATTTCTAGTCGTTATTACAACTACCGCTTACTAGGAAATACTTTAACTAAAATTTTGGCAATATAACATAAGATCAGCAAAAGTTTTTCTAAAACAAAATTTGTGATTCTAATAAAGTTGGAATTCTAACAAGTTTAAACCCCATCCGGCAGCTTTTATTCTTGCATTGATATTCTGATAAACCGTCTATTCTGAAGATAAAAAGGATAGAGAAAATACAAGGAGGAGTAAAGTCTTTTTTATTGAGGTGACCTATTACGCAACTTTGCCTTTTGTAAGAATTTGTTTATAATGGTTTTGTACATGAAAAAAGATTCATTTTCCACTATTCAGGGGGATGTTCCCAGCAAATAAACCTTTGCCACCGCCACCTCTACCTGAGAAACCGTCCTGGAAGAGCAACAATAATGCAAGTGAAGCTTCAGCGCCAGCAACAGCAATTCATCTTCAATCACCGTCAGGTACTTTTAATTTCGGTTTCTTTTGGAGCTTCTTTTGCTGGCAGCTGACGCTGGAGCTTACAAGCATATAGGGTATTAAGACTTCTGAATCAAAAGTCCTGTATCAAAAGAGAAGCTAGGTAGGTAGAGTTTTCCTCACTTTATTCATCTGATTATTGATTCTTTTTGTATGTGAGAAAACTTAGCTTTTCGAAACGCTTTAGTGCATTTTGGATCTAACCTTTTATACTTTGAAGTTATAATAATTGCTACGAGCAACCTTTCCATATTATATTACTAGTAAGTGATATTTGGGTAGGTACAATTTAGGTCACTGGAAAATGCTAATCTAGTCACCCTTAGTTTCGAAAAAGTGGCAGTTATATTTATTTTTGTATCCTGTGCAATATTAAGTTTGAGTTTGAAAAAAAAAGATGTAGGGAGAGCATTCCCTATATCTACTGCCATAAATAATTTATGAAAGGAATGCTTCTCCCATATAAACATATCTGCTATAAATTATTTTCTCGGATTTGGTTGCTTTCTCTTTTTGTAGAAATAAGATTCCAACTTAACAAAATTTCTGCACTTTCAAAGCATTTCCTGAATGCCGGTTTATGTTTGTTATCTTTTTATTGAAGTATCGCGTAATGTCCTTGCTTTTTCACATGTCACAATGACGAAGGAATTTGCAGCTACAGTAATGCATTCTTTGCCATCAACAAGTTACTCGCCAACAGTAGCTGATTACGTGTACCGGCGTGTATTACGTCAAGCCATTGCTGCAATCTGTAAACAAGCCGGTTTTGAAGCGATTGAAGCTGATATTCTCGAGTTACTCACCCATATGATTAATTCGTACATCAACGAACTGGCGGCTACCACACGCCAAATGACTGAACACGCTGGTCGTACTATTTCAACACCATCGGATACGGTCATGGCATTAGTAGATTTAGGTACTGCAGTTTCCGATTTACCAGCATTTCTGAAAGAAGCAACCTCTAAAGGTTCTTTAGTGATAGCACCACCACGTGTACAACACGCATCGCATACCCAACAACAACTTCGTGTTGGTAGCTCACGTCCACGTCCACCACATGTTCCGGATTGGTTGCCACCGTTTCCTGACCCGCATACTTATGTGCGGACTGATATATCTGGTGAACTAGAACCCTCATACGAGAAAGCACGTGAAGGCTTGGCTTTGTTATATCGAAATACTGTGGTATCGTTAAAAGATTTTGTTCTGCGTACCCATCCATCTATTTCCTTGTTCGATCTCCATAAACAACGTATTTTGAAAAAAATTGCTGCTACTGCAGTAGAACGTACCCGTGAACAGCAGGCTCGAATGATGGCATCTGTGGAAGAAGATGAACAGAAAACGATGATGAATGGAGCAACAACAATAGTGCACGATACTGAACAGTCAAAAACCGTTGATCCTCAATTTTCTATTGATGTTTCCGATAAATTTTTCTTTGAAGAAGATAGCGAAGAAGAAATAGGCCTACTGCAAGCAGAAGTGCCAACTTTCGGAGAAATCATTGAGCCTAAAACGACGAATGAATCATATTTGGATCCCCTTCTCTTCGATCTGCAAAATGAACCAGTATCTGGAGCAGGAATTAAATTACAAGAAGATACTGGATTAGATGGAAACCCGTTCTTACGTTCACCGAAAATGCCTTCGTTACTTGATGACGACCCGATGCATGAGTGATTTTTTCTGGAATTGTTTTTTCATCACATGTTATATAAGCAGATTGCTGAAATCTTGTTCGCATAGTTAAAAACTTCGAATTTCTTTTCATTCGTTGGATTAATTGAAAATCTTGTTTTTGTTTTTTTATGGCTTGCAAAATACTATGGCAAATGGGAAAGTTAAGGAAGTGCAAATTTTGTTGCGAAAAATGATCATTGTTGCTTTTATGGATAAATTAAGGATTAATTCGTCAATTAAAGAAAAACAGTGGGCTAACTCAAATGAAAAAATTTAATATTATATATGATTGAAAAGGAATTTATGAATGCAGACTATTAATTGTTTTTATAATTGCAAGATATTTTGTTTTCAAATCCCTTCCGTATATATGTCTTACTTTTTTGGTAAATGATGGTTATACATGCTGACTTTCGGTTTGAAGTTCGAACAATTGAGTTTTCTAAAACAAGATTTCTTTGATCAAATTGACTAAATAATGAAGGAAAGGATTTTCCAGTTGTGTGACTGATTGTTCTGAAATTACAGAATAGATCTGGTTTTGATATTTTATCTTCAAAATTTGAAATTTCTGTCTTTATCATTGAAGTTTCTTGCAAGAAGTGAAAGTAATTATTTTAAGAAAGCTTCGATGCTTGCGAAAGATTGTTTTTTGATTCTTTTGTTTTTTTATCGAAATTTAAAGAATAGCTGATGTTGGGAGTTTTTTCTTCCTCAGTGGATTGAAGGAGAGAGTATATATATATATATGTTTTTTGCATATCAAGTAAACTGAATCGTTTTTTGAAAAAATAGAAATTATTGTTGTGGCGTCATTATTTATGTGTTGCTAATTTAAGGTGCTGAAGTTTTATTTAGCCGTTTTTAATTATTATGACGTTGCATATTTATGCGCTTTTAAAATTGTTTATTTGCTTTTTGTTCGGATGTAGTGAATAATAAATAAAACTTGCAGGAACCTTTGCAACTGGTAAATTTAGTTCAGCATTCAATACTGCAAAGGCTGTTTTTGATGGCTTAAAAAAACCGGAAATACAGCATAAACTGATTGCGGTAAGTAAAAGTGAAGCTGTTCGATCGGCAGTTTCGTCCCTTGCTAAAAACAAAGCGGTAGGTATTTGATAAAGTCAACATTTAAAAACTGTAGATGAACCAGTAAATATTTTAGGAAATAACTCAAATAAGCAAATACAAGGTCTAATAAAATAAGTAGATTTAAGCAATTTCATTTGCTTCATTTGATAAAAATGGTCTTTTACACAAAATCATTTCCATTCGATTGAATGGCCTGGAAAAGGAATTTTCAATTTTCAAAAAAGATAAGGAAGTTTTTAGTATAGATAATCAGATTTAAAATTCCTTAAGCTTTAAAATAACACTTGGTTTATAAGCCTTAAAATTAACATTTGATTTTTTTCGAAATTATCAAAAAAACCAAGTGTTATTTTTAAAGCTTAATAGACGTGAAGGACTTTAATATTAAATTATCTTCACAGTAGATTTTTTCGATAATTTCCAAGGCAACAATTTCTTGGTAAATTCTTCATTGGTACTTATCGTAGTTAATAAGCGAGTCGGTATTCTACCAGTTTAAAAAGAATTGAAATGGAGGGAAACTAATTAAATAAGCTGAAGTTATAACGTGTTTTACAGGCACGTAAAGCTACTCTGAATGCTTTGCAAGATGAAAGGACTTTGAAAACAGTATGTCGCATTGCTCAGACCTGTAGTAGGCAAGAGCAGCAGAAAAATCTTACAAATTTGATTGACAGTATACCAGCTCGTGCATTTGCCAATCATGGTGCTACTTCCAAATTCAATGCAAACAAAGCTTTGAAATCGATATATCCTTCACTTCCTCCATCACGAGATTATGCATCTGATATTAGTCCTAAAACATCGCATAATCTATCGCAGTTTAATTTTGCTTCGGGTAATTTCAAATTAGAGATTTTTTAACCTAAAGTTTAATTTATTAATTTTGAAACTAGAATATTAAAAATTGTAATCATTTGGTTAATACCATTACACAGGTAACAAAAATTTAGTCTTTGGGAAATCAGGTCGGATTTTTTTCAGCCCAAAGGCCTAATTTCATTTCAAAAATCCAGAGACTATGCTTTTAACAGTTCCTGGGAATTTTTGTTTTCTGTCGTCAAAATTTTATTCTAAATTTTGAATTTTTTAGTGAAGAAATTCTTGTTAAAAAAACGCTATCATAACCAGTATCGTCGAAGCTACATTATAACGCAATTCCAGAAACGAATACATTTACGGACGCGAATCAAGAAAAGCAACCGCATGGTTATGCAAAATTTGGGTTTCTCGCATCACATTTTGATGAACTTTCCGCAGAACCGCTCGATATGATTATTCTGGAAAAAAAGGTTTTTTAATACTTTTGAGATTAGAAGAAACTTCAGCAATTGATCTTATTTTTTCAATATCTGTATTTCTTGAAATAATGTTCCTTTAGAAACACTTTTTAAGTTAATGTCAGGTAGATGATCAATGGGTCTACGGGCTTAATAAAAGGACTGGTCAGAAGGGAATCATGCCACTTCTGTATATTGATGTAAAAATTCCTCTTCCCACAGCATTAATATCATCAACTTGTCAAGTGTAAGCTTTTTTTTCCTTTTTGCAATTTTACTATTAATTTGACAGTAAATATATACCCATTTTATCAGTCGTGTTAGGTAGAATTAAAATACCAAAATTTTGCAAATTACTTTGCTATTATCAATTCACATTAGTAACTGATGTTGCCCCACGCTGATGTAAAATATTAAAACATGAGCTGGTATTCACTTTCTCCAATTGACATCGACTTCAAATGTTGAAATGAATTGCCTTTTGAGATTCGATGTCGTCATATTGAAAATTGTTGACTGTGACGATGAATATACATATGAAAACATTAACAATAATTGATAAGTAATAAGGAGGTTGATAAAAAACTTCTATTTGAGTAATTTTTTACATCACATTAATAATTTGTAAAAAATTTTAGGCCGTTTTATGCGATCGCATTATTCGATTTTGATAGCAGCGTGTCAGGAGATCTTACGGCAAGCCATGTTGATTACTTTTTGACATTTAGTTCTAATCTTGATTCGATTTTAGTCCTTACAGATTTTCACCATTAAATCTAATGAATATATTTAATTTACAATTTCATTTAGTTTCGAGTAAATGATGAAATTTATGTTATCGAAAGGATTAATAATGATTGGCTACGTGGTACGATTGGTACACGTCAAGGTATCTTTCCTGCTAATTATGTTCGGGAAGTTAACGTCCCAGCGACAGCGATTTCAGAACCCATAAGTTGTCATGCGTCAGTAAAATACATTAACGCCTTATATGATTATAACAGTGCCGTGGATGGCGATCTAACCTTTAAGACAGGTAAATGAGTCTATGTAAAGCTTTTCCATCACAACCTAACTCTTGTCATCATACCAGTTGGTAATTACAGAGGATGATGACCTTTTTAAACTTATCATAAGCTGCTGACTGCAGCAGTCCTTTAATAGATATATTACAGAGCTTCTAGGGTTCAGTTCATATTCATAACTTTGCAATAAATCTCCTTAAAGCAGTTGTATTCTCTTTTGAAGCGTTTGCGTACAATATTCTCATTTCACTTTTAATTTTATAATTTATAGGTGACCAGATAGAAGTGCTGGAGTGGGTAAGCGAAGATTGGTTGAGAGGCAAGTTGAATGGGAAAATTGGCTTGGTACCACGTACTTATATTGAGGACCGCAGCAGAGGCGTTGACGCTGGAAAACAATTGAATGCTATGAGTACAGTTGTCATTGCAACAGAAGATTATTATAATATTGCAGAAGACCATTTGTGCTTCTCGAAAGGAGATCAGATCGAAGTAATTGAAGAGGTCGGTTTATTAATCCTTCTCTTCAGTTTTCTCAAGTTGAGAAGATTTTCATCATTCCCATCTCTTATTCCGCGCTAATGAACAAAATTTTAAATGTTACTGGTATTTTACTGAAATTGCGGAAAGTTTACGGGAACATAAACACTGGGTTGACCAGTGATATGCAACCAACAATCGTCTTGGTTCTTATAGAGTTGTGAGACAGGGAGAATAAACGAAGGAATTGTAATGCGTTGAGTCGAGAATTCGTAGCTCTGGATTTGACAATTTTGTTGAATGTGGAAAGGCAATATTTGTTTCCCGCCTTCACATTATCAGCAGTTAATGTTTTAATTTTCTGCACATTTCTGGAAGTTTTTCTTGTTTATTTACAGATCAATGATAGTTGGTTGAAAGGAAAACTATTGCTGAATATGAGTAATACGAACTCTTTCCCGGTGGGATTATTTCCAAGATCAGCTATCCAGTGATTTCATCTGTTTTCTGTGAATAAGTCTGTTGCTATGCTATTGCTGCACTCAAAATAAATGTGAATACCGATGTTTGCTAAAATCCAACTGAAATCCTTAAAATTTATCTGAATTGCTCCTTGGAGGGCGGTGTTGTGAGAAACAAGATATTTTTTGAGTCGAAAATCCTGTCCGTTCAGGACACGTTCGGTTCTGGATAAAATCAGAAATTCCATAAAATTATTATATGTATATAAATGTTGTGATTATGCTACTACAGTCAGTTTCTTGCTCCCTATATCCAATGATAAACATTTTTTTCCACATTGCAGAGCATCCAAAATCAATATGATAAAAATTGACCGTTGTAGTCAATATAAACAATGAAAATAAGCTGTGGAGTGAATACTTGACATTATGAATTATGAGAAATGTTTCCCAAATTTTTCTTTAAAGTAAATACATTTGATAATTGCATTTTACAACGACAATAAAATGAGCACAAAAAAGTTTTAAGGTTGAATTGACTCCTACCGCATATCTGTGACTTTTGCTCAGCTTCCGTTACCTTTGTGAAATATCTTTTGCGCTATTTTGGATGAAACTTTGGTGGAATTTGATACGCACTCATGGCAATCGATTCCTCTTACCAAGAGAATGGTTTGGGCGCCAGGTAATGCACGTTCTACTCAATAAACCGTGTTAATTAGGCATGAGACATTAGAAATTAACCTATTGATTATCACAAGCATAGAATTGGTTTGACTTGAAAAGTATGAATACTAGAAATGAAAACATGCGAAAAGGAAGAGTAGATCTGTAAAGCTGAGCAGAAGGGAAGTCTGTGCAAATTGTCCGATGCGGGGGTTTGCCAACTCTCCTTTATTACAGTTTCAAAGCAACACAATAAAATAATTCATTTTCTAAATGAAAGCACAGTAATATAGTAACTGTTAATTTTATTTTAAGTTCACTCGAATTTTTTTCAAATCGTTAGCCTTTAGAGAGCTACTGGACATATTTTAAAAAAGTTTGCAGCATAAGTTAAATTAATTGAACACTTTTCAATCACACAGTTTTGTGTTTCCAAATTTGACAAATCTAAACCATAGATATCATTAAGGAAAATCTAAAAACAATGGTATGAGATTGTCTAGAGAGGTTAATTGTGTTAGTAAACAAGAAATGTTGACATCCTAGTCACGGTAGTGAAAATAAAGTCGATTCGTTACACTGACTGACCAAACAACCTAAACGATATCTCTCGGACTTCAACTTAAAGATCGTTATAAAATTTCCGTACAACAGCAAAACAGTTTAATACCAACAAGCACTTATAATAGGAAAAGGCAACATGTTAATGAGCAATATCTAATTCAGAAAAATTATCTGGGAGTATTAAACAAGAGACCTGCTCGTATTTCTCCGTTGCATATTTCTCAAAAACACTACAGTAATCTTTATTCGGAACTTCATGGAAAAGTTCAAGCATTTTTCGGGCAGGTGATCGAAGTTCGTCAAGGCCAATATCTGCAAATTAAAATGACAATGTGAAAAAATTTAGAAAATTTGTGTCAATTTTGATTTTATAATTAGAAAGAGATCATTTCAAAATAGCAATGAAATAGAACACAATTATATTGAATTTCATCCTCACTTTTATTCCAGGCCACATCAATTATTTTGAGAAAATGCCCTACCAAACTGGTGCTCATTTCAAGCACATTTTAAGGAATAATGAGCAAGAATAATGATTGGGAGTAAGAGCAAGGTAATAAAAGCACTGAAAAATTCCAGTCTTTTTTCGTTCTTATTGCCAGTGTTCACTGACTCGCTTTATCCTATCTCTTTAAAAAAAATCTATAGTTGCTAATCAATCAAATAATTCAGTAATGAGCCAATAATTTTGTAAAATTAACCTGTCTCCGTAATTGAAAGCAGGTAATCGGATCTAAAGATCACATTACTGAGAAAGAATGATGCTGCCCCAATAACACTTGGTCGAAAATCCAGAAATGTATGATCTAGAAGGGCAAGCTCTAACAGATACCTCATCATACAATAAATTATTCTTGGAACATGAGCCATGCGCACTAGTCGCGAGGCGAACCACCACGACGTAGGTGCTAACAGCTGATATGCTATTCTTGCAAAAACTATTCGTTCCATTCTTATAATCTGAAATGGGAATTTATTTAATCTTATAATTTATCTTATAATCTGAAATGTGATTTACATATTTAAGTATTTCAAAAAGATAAACTTTTATAAATATGCTGATAAACAAGCAAGAAAGAGGTTATACATCCTCTTTCTTGCTTGTTTATCAGCATATTTATAAAAGTCTTCCTTTTCATCCTCTTTCTTTTGTATATAGAACAAATGCTAATTTGAAGATAGTTGTAGTTTACTGATAAAATTTATAGCTTTGAAACTTCTTGTGATTTGGTGAATGAAATGAAAAACTGAGAAATCAAAAAAACGAATTGAAGCTATATACACTGAAGTATTTATTTACGTCAGAAAACAAACTATGAAAAACTATCACTATCATTCAACCCAGTTAAAAACGAAGAAGCACAATAATAAAACCAAGATATCACAGTATATCCCAGTCGGATTACCTGAAATTGCGCTTAAGTGACAGACCCCATCATTTAAAACAATGTATTTGTAAATTGTACTTCTTTTTCGTGAAACGTATAAGCAGTAATTCTAGCGAATTCTTTCATTTCTGGTGGATAAATCTCTTCAAATTTTGATGCAAGCAACAGAGCTACAGCACCAAGTAGTTGCAATTTCTCACGTGGACACTGAAGCGTATTCAACACTCGATCGACGATTGAAACCGCCATATGCAGGGATTCCTAAAATCAAGTTGAGCAATCATTTATGAGTTGAGGGTCTGCATAAGAAAATCTGAATAATCGAATCGAATTATTTATGCTCGAATTATTTTAAATAAAAGTTTCAATTGTGTTCATTCTGGTATAAATCGTCTCCAAAGAACAATTAAATCTTCGACAGTATTTCTGGAGTGGAACTAACATTTTAAAACAAAATTGTCATTTCTTTTTCGAATTTACAGTAAGATTATTCCAAATATATGTATTTATTTTGAGATCAAAGCAACATTTCAATAATGTTGAGTATACCGTGCTTAAATTGAATTCCCGAGCTGAATCACAAATCCATTCGACAAGAAGACGCCTCACTTCACCGCATATTTCTTCTTGAAATTCTAAAAAATCTCCAGAAGGACATAGTTTTAATTCCCTATACCTCATATAAACATAGATATCCATATCGTACACTGGATCGGTACGCACTCGATCCTCATGTTCCTCCTGAAATTGATCACATTATTCAGCAATTATGTAAAATCCTTTCTTATTTCTTCCTTCGTTTCCTTGAAAAAGCGATTTTGCTTCAGTATGGTAGCAAGGAAACTGGAATGCATTCTTCGTTTCCTTCATTTCCCATAATTTTCGGCACTTGCAGCTCCTAGAGAACTTCACAATAAAATGGTACTAACTATAGTATATATTATACTGCTACTTGTACTTGGCACTTGGCTAGAAGTATTTGGAAAGTGTCTAGGTGCTCTTTGGATACTGTATGAAACCGAATCAACATTAGGTGCCATTTCGTCATCAAGACGCAGCTCGTTAGCATAAATGTCGCGATAATCAGCCGAAGAAGCAATGCTACCTCTTGAATAATAACTATCTTCATCCTGAAAAATGAACATTTCACTATTGATAAATTGAAAAGTCCAAGAATTCTTCTGATTACTTTTGTTCTTGCGTTTTCAAATTAATTAGATTGAATGTTATATTTTGAGCGACAACTCCGTCATTGCAGTTAATGTCCATGATGAGTGAAGAAAGCATTTTATACCCCAACAGATGCCTTGGGTTGGATTCTGCTTCGATTTTAATTTGGGACCTAAACAGTACCATTTTCCATGCACCACTGCAAATCTTAACCATCTTCTAACACATGTTATAGCTGAAGATGTTTTGCATGAAGATTTTTGAATAACATTGGTTCTGATCCAGTTAACCATTTTAGGATTTGCTGAATAGTACCACTACTAATTTCCACAAGCACTATAGTAATTACAAGCTATTCTATTGAATAATCGCAATAAATGTATTCACAGCGTTCACTTCTAGAATGCTTCCAAATTGAAAAATTTCTTTTTTGAATACTGTAGAGCAGTGAAAAATGTTTTTGTACCAGGAAATCCCATGAACAAACCTCATTGGTTTCAAGACTGGTATCAGATGATATGCTATTCTCCGAATCTGATTGTTTACGATTTGATGACAAATTTGAAAGAGTGCGCCTGTTACTCTCGGAATCCGAATCTTCACGATTCGGTGACAAATTTGTAAGGGGAGTTCTGCTATCCTCCGAACCCGAATCTTCACGATTCGGTGACAAAATTGCAAGAGGACGTCTAATTTTCCTTGGTACCTGCAAATATTCTGTGGATATTTCTCCACTTCTCTTATTTCTTTCTCCCTGTTGTCGATCATTCTCCTGCAAACACATATATGTACATTTGTAATTAAATAACCGATGGTTATATATAAATACATTACTAACTAAAGAAATAAAATTATTTGAAACATAGCTAAATCTTCAGGTGCATTAAAATTAAAAAATATTAACTATCACATTTTTCCTTATCACCGATGACAACAATGATGTCCCTAAAAGCTGCATCAATATCTCCTTTACAGTATAAAGGCTCAAGTAAATCATTCAAATAAAATTTTTAAATTAATCCATTAAGTTCCATAAGCACTGCATTTCAAAATATTGAATTACAATGCTCCACGAGCTCGTTCAAACATAATAAAATTTCGACATTCACAGTAATGGATAGAGACCGAGAAAATCCCGAATTTTGATATTAAAATAAGCAAATTTGGTAATCAAAATACAAATATCAAAAAACGTTATTGCATTGTAAATATTTGCTGTACTTCATTATGTTTTTTTCCAAAAAGTTTAAGTACTTTTTGACAAAACACCCCAGTCAATATCTAATTTTAAAACACATACAAATTCTTCTTTATCCCTTTTATTCCTTTATTTTAGTTCCAAAGATACTATCCCAGTCTTATTTATTTAGATTTTTATACAGTTAGAATTTTATTTAGTGTTTTCACTTGACTTTTAATATGCTTAGTTTTGCAATTCTCGAAATGCCCTCAATTATTAGTTCCAGGAGTACTATTCCGGGTTCATTTGAATCTAGAAGTATTATTCCAGGTTCATTTGTTTGAATGTGAAATAGTACTTCTGGAAACGTTTGGTTGACTGGAATAGTATTTCTGGAACTGATAATTAAGGGTAAAGAAAATCACAAATGATTCAACATGACTATTTTTCTTTTTATTTACTCATTGGATGCAAGATTCTCGTTGTAATTTAAGCGCAGATTGAACTTCAGAACTTCATTTTAACAATGTTTTTGTTATACATCCAGATTTTGCTAAGTGTGCATTCGATACAATACCCGAAGTGTTAACCATCACGTCATATTTTAATTCTGAAGCATAAAAGCATTTTCTTTTTCATTTGAAGAGGTTGTGTAAAATATCCAATTATTGCTAAAAGGAAACTATTCAAAACAATCAATGAATGATCCATATTTTTAATAATGTATATTCTAAAATGTAAGGAAAACCTCAGAATTTTTCGAACTAGCAACCTCTTGGCCATTATCTTCATCACAAAAAACAGTAAAGGCAGGCATTCCTGTTGGAAGCCATCGACTTCTTGTCGGGGGTTCCTGATTTCTTTCCTGGAAAGTGTATTATGGTTAAAAATTATTAAGAAATAAGTGAAACTATTATCGTCAAAACTATCTAAATCACGTCCCATAAATTTGTGAATGACTCAATGTTTGAACTTAAATCTCGGCCACCTCCAACAATTACCGACTGAGATTCCCAACTCATATGAATGTGATATGAATTTCTATCCAAATTAAAGAATTAGAGAACTTGAAAAAGTTGGATTTTTTATAATTTTGCACATAATAGCCTATGGCTCCATCGACAACATGGCCTTGTTCTTTTACCAATGTAAAATGCAACGGATTTCAATCATTCAATTGCATCTCTTAAACTCACATTACCAGTCACCTATAAGTAGAAACATAAAAGCACTTGGAAAGTATTGTGCTTTCTTCTCTTGTCGAGCAGCAGAGATTTTTTAGAAATTGATACATAAGTTCTTTTCTTGTGCAGCAATTCACATTCTTGACTGAGCGATCCACCAATATTTGTATTACGATATGCAAGAGCATGGGGACGGCACTTCCGCTGTGCTTTCCGTCGTAAAAAATGTTGATTTTCCTCATTTTCTTCTCCGAACCTATTTTCGGCATTCTCATCTGAGGCACCATTCATTATATAGCATCTGAAAAAGTAATTTAGATTAATCGTTTTCAGAGGTTGACATTAGCCTTTTTCTCAATGAGCTGACACTGAACATAACAACTTCTGACAATCGTGTAAAATAGATTTAACAAATCCATGCTTGTGCTAAAAGTTTTGGAAGCATTTGATGTAAGAATTAAAAAGTCTATCATAAAAAATATTTATCTATATCTACCTAGTCAGTAATAAGAATAAGCTATCCGGCTTGAGAATAATTTGAAATTTAGGTTACTCGAAGTCATTATGATAACAGATTCCTATCCAAATCCATATATTGAAAGGATGATAAAAAATTAACTAAATGAGAATTTTTAGATACTTTTACTATTTTTTACTGGTTTTACTACTCGATTATTTCATTTCTACAACTAACATAAAACACAAGGAACTAATTTCGTCTCTGCACTGCGTATTCCTACGACTAGATTTCTAATTGTGAGCCTTTTGCCAAACTAGAAATCTTTAAGCTGATAGTCTGAACTATTTCTCAAGCAAACGTTTACTTTCTGATTAGTAGAAACGAATCATTAACTTACCACAACAACCAAAAATAAATTGTTTGATTAGCGAAACAAAATGCAAATCACTGGAATTGAAAAAGCCTGAAATAAATTTCTGCAGAATTTTTCGAATTTGAGAAAAAAAAGGAGAGGAACGATGCATAGCAACGCATAAATCATGTACCATGTAGTCTTCTGAATCCTCCTCTAAGGGATGAAGTTGAAAAATAATATCAATTTTTCATTCTTTTATTAGAGCTATTAATTAAGATGTATCCCTGAATATACTAAACGTGAACGAATAAATGAAATATTCACTTAGAATCTATAGTGCGTGCAAGTATGCAATTTAATTAACTACTAACAATATATATAACAGACAGTTTCCTTTAAAATTTTTTCTCGCAAACTTCAATTTCTAGAATAAATAGGAAACTCCGAGAGTAGCAGTGCTAGTGCAAATATATCATATAAAGACAATGCATTGATCCTCGTTACAGAAGTACTAAAAATTAACCTATTCTGTTCATTCAGAACTGGGATAGTTCATTTGGATATATATTTGATGAAACAAATCTTTTTTCGTTATTAGTTGCATATAAAAACTCTCACATAATTTTACAAAAATTCAATTATTTTACAAAATAGAAATTTCAAAAAAAAATCCAATCACTCCCATTGCAAATAAAAGCTTTCTGTATTTGTAGTAATCAGTTTTTGTCATTTCATTTAGCTACGAGAAAATCAATTATCGCTTAGACATCTATAAAGTTGAAATTGTCAGAAGTATGATGAATAAATGTTGCTGCTTACTCCTCTTCCAATATATACAAATAATCCTATGAAAGAATAAGAGCCAGATGAGTGAATCTCTCAATAATTTAACTTTTATCTTTTAAAAAGATGAAATTAGGAAACTAAACCAAATTTTAGTGCAAAGAAATAAATCCAAATTTAAAGAAAATATCATCACCTTATTTACAAAAGAAAACTAAAAAATAAACATAAATTAGTACAAAAAAGTAAGAATTATTAATAAAAGGGAATTGCTAATCATTTGTTTTGAAAAATTCGCAATTCTTAGAATTATTATTATGTTTTAATGATACATGAATTTCATGTTATGAACATGAAAACTTAAGAAAATTTTTAAATAACAAATCGACGATAAAACTCATAATGATTGTAATACATGATAGACAATATTAGGGAATAACTTCCTCATAACGAGTTAATAGAAAAAGGTTTTGGCAGAAAAAAATGAAGGACGAAGAAAAGACCTTGGAAAGCTTTTGATCGGTTATAATGATTCTTATCTACCAAATAGTGCTACTCTTTTCAATAAAATACTCTCTTCATTGACGCTATTTCCTCCCGATTAGTAACTTATCTCCTACTAAAATTTGTTAAAGCTTTTGATGAGTGAACATTAGTGCCAACTGTTTGAATGACACTCAAAATCTAGCCATTTTGTAATTAAACAATTATAATTACAATCCGTTCGATAAAGAATAGGAATACTGGTATGTCTTATTATGATACACCCCATATTTACCCAATTCTAATAACGCCATAGTCTATCCATACAGTCACGTTTAGAATATAAGATATACCTAGATTAATGTGTATTTAGCATACAGCTACAACTTCGCAAGGTGATATAATGTTGCTTGAACATAACCTTTGAAAGATAGCTTCAATCATATTTTCCAAGTTCTAATGTTTACTGATGAGCTTTATTCCATCCTTCCTTCTTCATCTCTCTCGCTCCCTTTTTCAATTGCATTGTGAAGTATAGTAATAAGCTATACGGTAATAAATAAACTTATCTAGCCATATCGATTCTGATCTATCTTCAAGTGAAATAATAAATGCTGGAAATGACAACAAAAGCGAACAACTGCTCTTTTCTTCCTTACAATTTTCTGGCGCCATATACTTTCTTCTGATAGAACTAGAGTATAACATAGCCCATTTTAATAGATCAACCGGAAAGACAAGAAAAAAAAGAAATGATAATATTTGTGCACCTATTTAAAACGGGACTTATTCAAAATGCGAAAGAAATGAATGGAAAAGCAAGATAGTAACAATTATATTATCGATTATCGTTTCATTCAAATGACACAAATTCAATTTCTCAATACTAAGGGAGAAGACAGCTAAAAGACAGCATATATTATTTGAATAAGAAAATATGCGAATAAAATTATCTCAAGCTTAATCAAATATTGTGCAAAAAAAAGAAAAAACAATGAATTGCATGATATTTGTTATTTTCAAAATTTCTTAAGATAATATTTCATCTCATCTAATATTGCATTATTATTCTGTGTAAGAAATTTGTTGTAAATGTACAGTATTTATAGTTGACATATCATACAATCTCTGTTGTTGTTGTTGTTGTTGTTGTTGTTTAATGGAAGAGAAGGAAATCATTTTATTTCTTTAAGGTCAATATCATAATTGTAGCTTAAGATTTTTTTTTTAATGAATATAAAGTGATACTTTTAGTCTATTCATTCATTTCCTCTCCTTTTTTTGTGAAGAGATTTCATAATGATTTGTATGATTTTTACTTACCAATAACATCGTTCAGGGTCAAATCATTCTAACGATACGTACAGTGACGTTGCTGCTGCTACTGGATCATTTATTACAATCGACTGCTCTAGGTCATAAGGTACAATCGATCCGTTACACTAAAATACTGTTGATGATGGTATCATGTCATTAAAATGTCAATCACTATGTCATCCTGGAATTCTCTGAGGTGAGGAGGTCAAGGAAATTTTCCCACACACATGAAAAAAAATTATTACTCGCAATTATTTATACAATAATATTTTTTATTTGATAAATATACGCCAAGTATTATTTAAGTCAAATACTCCAAATAATCGAATATACATAGAAATTTCGTTATCCATATCTTTTATTTCCTCGAGATATTTGAATATGAAACAAAATATTACAAATGGTTTGAGAATTTCCACCTTGCAAAACTGATATGTCACAGTAATCAAATGAAAATTGTTGGCTGATGATTTGTGCAGAATCGTAACTTCCGGGAAATATACACGCCAATTCAATTGAGGTCAATCTCGATTGGAGCAAGAGAAGAACAATAGAGTGTGTAAAATACAGAGGTCAGCAGAATGATGGATATATGAATGCGATTCAAAGGTAAAGGTCAAAATGAAGGCGTTTCATACTCGTTTTTTTTCTTGCTGTCATTCCAACAATTCCAATATACTGTTTTCCTTTCTGCAATAATATTTAAAAATGACATGTATGATTTGTCATAACAGGTAGAAGTGACCGCGAGTTTTGGTTTCGAGGGAAAAAGAGAGCGGCAAATATTGAAGAGGACGGCGGCTCAGCATGGAAAACCTCATATCAACATTTCGCTATAACCTCAGAGACAGAGAAAAGGAAAAAAATGTCTATTGGAGGGTCCGGGCGGGATAGAAATTTAAAATGAATGCTTCCTCCTCTTGCTTTACATTTCATTACTCAAACCGACGATCCATACCATATAACTCTCTTTCGTATATACTATTTTTCTTGTCATTGAATACATGCGGCCATCGAGTCTATGCGGCATTTAAAATTGACACCAAATGAATCTCTCTAATTACTAAAACGATCAGAACCTTGTATAATTGAATTGTATACGAGAAATAGTTACGGATGAATTGTCGCTGTACACTAAACAAATATCTGTCAGTCAGAATTTATTGCGCGTGATAATTTCGTGGAAATATTATGTCTTTAATAAACGGATTTATATGACTGTGGACCTATAAAATTCTCTCAGGAAACCATCGACTAGTATTCTTGGAAAACGATACATGGTGTCGCTAGATCACTATTACTGAAAAATGATATAAAATACTGCTTGATCAGACAAATAGAATCTCCGAGATTGGCCATGCAAAGAAATGAGGGACGCTCTACCAAAATCCGGAAATGTATGGTTATGTTATATCCGACTTTATCGAAAGATAATATATGAAATCGCCGAGTTTGGCATCCTTCCCTCAGTAATGAAAGGTAAGGTATAGTGAACGACTGTATAGTTAAATTAATCCATTTGAAACAAATCACGCATGTATGTGATTCGTTGTCATCTTTGCATTACCATTAAGAATGTGGAAAATGTTTGTAACGCGAAAAAAAACAAACATCAGTATCATTCTACGAGTATCAAAAATGCAATTAGTTGAAGGAACGATCGAACTTTAAATTAGATAAACATCAATATCATCCTACGTGCATTAAAAATGCAATTAGTTGGCGGAACGATCGAACTTTAAATTAAATAACAAAAAATACGTATACGAACTGAACAGTAAGAAAAGAAAAGTATAAAAAAACTGGGTAAAAAAATCTTACATCAAATCGTTCCAAAAATTTTGTGTGTTTAAAAATGACGAAATGAGATGACAATAAGTTAATCCTTTTTGATATGATCATTTCGTGATAAAACCTTTTGCTGAAGTCAACGTTTTATTGTAAGCACTCCTAACGATACATTTTCCTATGAAACTTGCAACAGAAAAATCATGTAAGCTTATACGTCAAGATCGCATATTCTCGTTGTTTCAATCTTGCTACTGGACAGCAATAAGTTATTCACAGGGCTTAAGGAAATCTACAAGTATTCATGATTGTACCAGCCATGCTTTTTCAATCCTCCCCATTTCCCATGGAATCATCCAAGAATTCTCAGGACACCATATCTTAGTCCTTTCACTCCTTTCATTCTGTACTGAAGTCCAGCAGTTATCTACGGTATGCCTAATTTTCGAATTTATCCAATTGCTTCTTCGCGGGTACCCTTTGTCTTAACGAATTTCACGGTATTAAGCTCTTTCGCTAGCTGATGGTGCCAGTGATGATGATCGGACATAGCTCGCAGCTGGTCCTTTGCCGCTGATGACGTCAGTAATATCACCGTTATTGCTCGTTACGAAAAGATCAGTGCTGTCAATTTTCCGTAAGTCTTTCCTGTTTCAAAGCTCTTTCAATTCGAGTTAGATTAATTCCATATTCCATTTTATAAGACACAACATACAATTAATACAGAATTAAACGAAATGTAAAATTCGTGGAAGGAGTAATTTCGAGTACGATAATGTGATTTGTGGTATATATCATTGACGTGATACCGTCAATTTTTTGTCTGATAAGATCGATGATGTCGGTTAATTAGGTTGTGCTGAAAATATACATTTTTTGACAGCTGAAATTTGAAAACTTTTCATTCAAAATCAAAGGAAGGGTACTGCGGTGAGGAATCAGTAGAAAATTCAGTATCATTTAAAGAATTCTTAACAAGTGATCAATCATATTTGAACTGTTAAATTTATAACTAGGATATAAGATATTTAAAGATCGATATATACGAGCACGATGGGAAAGGCCGTACCTGAAAGACTTATATCATCGACGAATGTTAGGTGGAGCTGAACCTGTACTAAGTCGATCTGCATATCCTAATTGGTATGATGCTAATCTTTTGCACCCATGAAGCATCTCCTATCATCTTTTCCTTCACGGAAATACAGTGTTGTAGCTTCTGCGGTTCTCTTCAGGTTTTATAAATTATCTCTTTTGATAGTTATAAGACTTATTTCACTGTTCATTTTTCGAATTTTCGGTTTCTTCAATTGAACGATGTGGGGAAAAGTAAAAAATAAAAGATCCAGAGAGTTTTTTGAATGATTGAGGTTATTTAACAGGAATTACGATTCTGAAATTTATGCCTTTGGCCATCGAATTGGTGCTGCAGAAACGAATAAGGATGAGCTAATTCGAGCACTAACCGATAGTTCCTTCTATCAACGGGCTGATATAGTGGAGGAATCAATAAATGCTCAACCAAGTAAACAAGAAAGTTATGAAATGAGGGAGCACAACAAGCAGCTCATTCAACTTGGTTGACATTGTTTCATTTCTTGTACACAGCGTAGAATTTAGAGCAGAATCAAATAGATGGATAGAAAAGATTTAATGTGGTAGTTTGACCATTAATATTCAGGAATGATTGAAGAAGTACTATTTGACTAGTTTGTGGGAACTGGAAAATTGGATTACCATTAATAATTGAATTTGTATGAACAACAACAACTGTTTTGGTTAAATAACTTTAATTTTCTATATTTTGATAGCATCATGAAACTTGAATGATCTTAGATCGTCTATTAGTTAATTGCTTAGTATATGTTGAATAATACACTGCAGGAAATGAATTTCTATGGAAGAATACATGTGCATATTTACGATACGGCTTGCTTCATGCTCCAGAAGAACTCATTACTAATCTAGTTTTGAAACTAACAGCCGATGAACAGATCGCGAATTTGGCTACTTATTTAGGCATCAATAATTTGATCCGTACTGCCGAATTCCCACCCTCAATTCCTTCTTTGTGTAATGCTTTTAAAGCTCTCCTCGCAACATTACCCTACCATAGGTAAACTTATTTACTTCGAAATATGATATGGAATGTCTCTTTTGTAAATCTTCATTAACCAACCCTATAAAAATAAGAAAGCTAGGCAGAGCTTTCATCCATTAGTGGTATTAACTATGAAACAGTATTTCAAGATTTTCAACCATAAATAAAATGTAGCGATGAAATCTAAACTATGGAGGAGAAGCTTAATTCTTTTTCGATAGAGAATAGTATGAGACATTCCAGATGACATCTATAGCTTTACCATTTTGTGTGAATAGGGATGAGATCTTCAAAAAAATATGGTAGTTATGAAATCTTTAACTTGCAGAATAATGTTGTACATCTATTGAGACAAGTTGCAGAGCCACTGCTTTAATACGAAATGTAATCGTGGCACAGCTGAGTGATTTGGATATCGAAGAGGTGTTCCCATTAGCAGAACCGTTTGCAGTACTTCAATGCTTCATGTCTTCCAATGCCGGTATGGAAGTGGAACCTCGTCTCTTGCGCTCTACCGGTGAAATTAGTGCTGAACCAATGTTTGTTGCTGGTATCTACGCTAATAAGAAACTTATTGGACAAGGTTAGTAGTTAACATTCGCATTTATTGCTTTAAAATCCCTTTCCTCTGCATTTGAACAGTTGAAAAATAGATTAGCTTCTCATGCGATGAAAGAGCACTGCCATGAAATCGAAAACTGATAAAATGGAACCTTTTAAAATATATGTGAGGTGTCTATCTGAGGTGATCCGAAGGAATGACTATAATCTGGGACGAACCGAACATTATGCTAGGCTTTATATACATATATATCGGTGAAGAGGCGATGATGTCCCATTGTGGAGTACACCTGTATTGTGAAAGAATAACCCAGTAATAATCACAAACGAAACTATTGCATATGATAACAGTTTTATCAAAATTAGAGCAGCTGACTTTGATATGAAATTAAGTTGATAATACTGCAAAATTCAAGTAAAAATAAAGATATTTAAGTGCTTGGTAGAGCCTCAAAGAGAGAATCACAAATCGATACATTGATTTCTTTACTTATATAGTATAACTTTTGAAATTAAATTCCATTGTGAATCCTTTTAATTCCATTGCGTTCTTATCAGTCACAAAAAATTTCTCTATACATTCCGCTTCTATGCTCATTGTCGGTTATTGTCTCAAAAAATTATGAATTCTAAGTGCTTAACTCTGACCTCATTTGTCTTTTCGAATGATTTGTGCGGGCTGTAAAGTTTTGAATTAATTATTGAAACTAAGAAATCTTTTTGCTTCATTCTCTAATACACTGATTATCTGAAACTGAATAAACTGGAAAGTCGTTAGCTCTTTTTTAGTTAGCCTAAACTAAAAAGTTTTCTTAGCTTCCAAATCCACTTTGGAGCAGTTTATCAATTTTTGAAGGGAAAATGGACATACCTTTGTCATGCTCAGAATGTTCGAAGTATGAACAATTTCCTGGAAAATATGTTTATATTATGTGAAACTTTAACGGTAGTTTAGGATAATGAATTAGCATAAATCGATATATTTATTCTACCGCTAGTCTTTGCTTTTTAATCTTAAACTTTAACTTTAAATTTCTATAGATTATTTGAAATTCCTTCCCTGAAATATTATGTCAACAAAATCTTTGTTACAGTTTGTGGTGCTAAAGGTAACTAACCGGTATTTAGTGTAGATAAGAGCTAGTGTGATTCAAAACGGCTTATTTATGGCTTTTTTGGCAGTGATCGGGAAGAATGTTTGAATAGATGAGCTATTAATTAGAACTATCTTATAAGATGGTCTCCATTTCAAATTTCTTAGCCAATGTCAGCTCAAATGGTTATTGTGGGAAAAAAAACAACTGCTTTCCATATGCCATTTTGTGACCCCTAACAGTGACAGGTTTAAAGGGGCAATAAGCGCACAGCAAAGAAATTAACAACATATTTTGTGCGTTTGTTGATTTACGGTACTACTGTGATCTTCAAATCCTTTGTTGTTCGCATTTTCTATGATGTTGCCGATATATAATTGTTTGTAGTAAGGATAAATATGAAAGGATTGAAGAAGAGAAAAAGAAAAATCAGGTCAATTGTCATGCTCGGAGTGGTTCTGCAAATGAGTGAAATCCTAAAAAACTTTTTTATCTCTTTATCCTATCATTGTTATTTATGGGTTTGAGTAGCCTTGTAATTGTATACTAAATCTTTTTGTTTTACTTTTCGTGTTCTTAAGGAAATGTCTACAGGTCCTGGAGAAACAATATCTATAGCAGTCGATATGGCCGCTATGGATGCACTGATGCGATGTTGGGGAGTTACAGCAGATAGGAAGTTTCCGTTTAATGAGCTTGATTCTCTCAGTGATCTCGACTACTTCAACAAGCCACACTATTCTCTGCAAGAAATTTGTGGCCCTAGGTAGTATTTTTGCTAAAGCTTGACAGCTTTTCATTTTTTTTAGGCTCTACTCTTCAATACATTAATACGTCTATGAATTGTTTGGAATAAATGTATGAGAGAGTAATGAGGAGCAGTGCATAGATTAATTGATGCTAAGAAGACGTAACTAAAAATTAAAATCACTTATGCATCATGTTTCTTAGCCCTTGAAGGAACAATGAATCAGTGAAATAACCGGAAAAGTCAAATCTGCGATGCAATTAGTCTGCACCGTTAACATATTTGTACAGGGTCTTGCCATGCGTGGATCTCCTGGAATGCATTCACAATGCAGTGGTCGAATCATTCTTTTTGTCTGCACTTAAGTTGAGTTATTAGTGATTGGTGATTGAGCGGATGTTTCTTTTTTGCAGTCTCGTATTGAAATTTGTTGATCTGGAGGAGGAACAAGAACCGATCAATGTGAATGAAGTGGCTTTAAGATACAAGAAGGAAATTGAAGCTGCGGTAAGTAGCAAAGGATTTTGTGTATTTGTCATTTTTTTTTTTGAAGTGAAGTAAATGAGATTTCCGAAACGGTTGTGCTTCCTTTATTCTTAAAATATTCTCCTCAACTGTAATCAGTGACCTATTGCAGTACATGAAAATACATTTTTTCATGAAAATACGGTACATGAAACGTACATATTTTTGCACGTTTTTCACGAATCATATCGCGCATTATTCATATTTTGTTTCTGTACTGCGGTACTTTTGAATTGCTGATTCGAACAGTTTAAGCTCAAAATTTTGAATTGAAGTCTAAATATTAATCTGTAAATTAGATTTATTCCGGCATATTTTCTTCGATTTACTGAAATTCTGAAAGTGTAAGTTACGTGCCATTTTTACAAATTTATTCCTAATATTTCGAAGTTTGAGATATCAAAGGTATTTTCGGCTATGTCAAATTTTTTAGGTTGGTATTCCATTGCGACGACGATTGCGACATAAGTTTTCACGTGGGACGTTTGGTAAACGAACCTTTCGTTATATCAACAAACCAAAAATATATCAGATATGTTGAAATGTTCTACTTTTTTCTGTTTAAATTGATCTGAGGTTGCATTGTCTTTTGTTATTAAAAAAAGTGATGGATGAACTTTTCTATTCCTTAGAACAGACTTAGCTGGATTAACGGATTTTAGAATGGATTTTCCGTGATTACCAAAAATGTTTAAAATTAAAATGAATAAAGTCAAAACTGAGTCAACTCTGTTTCTGAAATCTGTTAATGATATGTAAATGTGTAATTGATCATATAATTCATGGATGATTGTTACTTTTGTTATTAGGAGAATAAAGGGATAATTTCTTTTTAGTATTGAATTCAATTTTTCCGCGGAATGCAGAATAGATCGCAATTTTTCTGATTCAACGGACATTTCCTTCTTTAAAGTTTCATTTGATGCATGCATTGCAATGTTCGTTACGTTTATTTTAAGAAACTATAAACTTAAGGTTTCTGTTAGAAGTGCTATTTGATGAAGTGAAAAGATTGACCTGTTTATGGCATTAAATGAAATCAGTTTAGTAATCAATGAAATAAAGCCTACTTTTACTCTCTACGTTATCATACACAAAACTATATATTTGTTTATTGTCGAAGATAACGCTATTGTCGAAAAAAAAATAAGATTAAAGTAACGCTATTCATATATTCCATGAAGTACAGACAGAACTTCTTTTATCACAGCATTCAAGTGCTATTTATTAATGAACATCATACTTGCTTGCGATAATTAAAACGTGCAGTACGATCATCTTCTATGCTTACCCATATGTCTGATTACATTGTTGGTACAATACGACGTACTACCAAAATGATGAGTAATATAATTGTAAATAAAAGTGATCAGACTGAAAATAAAAATGATCGGATAACTTCTGGTAGTGATAAAGAGGATGTTTTCTGGAAATTTTTTCACTGAATCGTTTATAATTGAATCATTATTTTAGTAAAAAGTTTCTTTTTCGATATTGTATTTATGTCTTCATTATACTTTCCGGTTTGCCTGATCCTTTCTTTTTTTCAATATCTCTTAACATCCCTTAACAACTGTCATTGAAATTCTGTAGTATGACTTTTTAAAATATTTTAATCTTTTTTTGTCAGATTTTTGGACCATATTCATCTCATTTATTCTACTCTTTTTCTCTCGGCTTTTCATGACAGCTTTTTTTTTTTAATTCTTATCACATTTTACTTTAAATATAGAAGTCTGAATACATTCTTGTAGTATGGAATTTTTAAATTAATCAATTTAGCAAAATATTTTGCAAGAAATCAACACAAGAAATAAAAAGTATAAATGATATTAATTTGCTCGAAAATCATCTATTAAATGATGCAATTTGGTCAATATTAGAAGACGAAATGAAAAGTAATGGAGTTTTCAATTAAATTGATTTCTTTTTCATTACATTAAAAAGAGTGAGATTTTAATTAGAGATTAGGAATAGATGAAAAATTAAATATGTATGCATTGCTTTGTATAATTTAATATTAATAATAATAGCGATTGACAATAATAATGGTAATAATAATGATAATAATAATAATAAATAACTAATAGTAATATTATTATTATCATCTTCAGTCATTATTATTATTAATATTAAATTTTTTATAATATTGACAATAATATTTAATAATAAAAATAAATAACTAATAATAATAATAATAAGCTGTAATGATAACAAATAATAATAATAATTAATAATGCTACTTAATAGTAGAATATAGCATCACGTCATGTTGCCATTACATTTTAATGATACTTTATATGATCAAGAATGATTATCCTTATGTTTTGATCCATTTTACTAGCAAAGAGAAAAAGCAGCTTTTAAAAATCGAAAAATTAAAATGAAATTTCATTTTCATTTGAATGTTGTAAATTTCATTTTTAAAATTTTTTATATTTTTTGATTAAATTCATATAATTAACTATAAATAATAATAATATTATAACAGTTACGAATAAAACAACAAAGTACATTTCATATGAATGCCATAACTAGGTAATCTATTTGGTAAACAGTATAATTACAATAATTTTATGTGATTTGATAGAAGAATTTAGCTATTAGTAATAAATAATAAAGTTTTTGATGAATTTTAAATGGGAAGTAATTTAAATTAATTTGTCTAGAAAAATATATCATATTGGACTATATAATTAAACATTATTTTTCCCCTTTTTTATAATTTGTTCATTAAATTTCAACCTTTTAATTAATTCAACCTATCCAATTTGATCTATCCGGAAATCTGTTTATTATTTTATTCGCTTTTCACTTCCTATTGTAAATAGTATTCCTCACGCCATTATTACATTTTTTTCATTAAAAACAAACTAATTAAATGTGCATTTAATTCAATACATTTCCATCATATAATTAAACAACTTAGCTGCCACAAATAATTATAATAGAATATATTAATCAGAATTAGAATATTGATTTTTCTATATTCCCTTTTGCTATTATATCATATAAGCAAGATTATATATATATATATATATATGATTATATGATATAATGTTTAGTAATTTGATCATATATATATATGATCGTTTTAATAAATATTGGTATATAAATGGTATGGTCAACCTAATTACTAAATTCAAGCACGTTTTTACTTAAATTTAAACATGCCAAAAGTATGATTCATTGCTGCATTTTCATGATATCATTATCTTATCAACTCATCTTGACATTGCAGATTAAAATCATCATTTAATATGATGCTTAAGATTAAAATGACAGCTTGATACTATTATTTTGACACATGATTTTATTATTATTGTTCGTTAATGGTGTTGGTAAACTTCACATAATCGATTTCACTTAATTATTTGTAAACAACTGTTTAGTAATTTGATATAAAAGATGAATAATAGGCAAAGTAAGAAATTATTTATTTCAATATATTTCATGATTTAATCATAATTATTATGGAATTAATAATGATTAACAAGTAAACATTTGCAATTAACGAAAACGCCGATTTGATAAGAATTTTTTCAAGTTCACATTATTAAATCGTTGACGGTTGCGGACACTTTTATCGTTTGCTACCACTGTTGATATACTTCTTTTACCAGCTTTTGCAAGTTTTTTTAAATCCATTCCAATTAATCCATTAATAAGTTCCGCATTACTTCGTTTCCATATATCTGTTAACTCGTCATCATCATACTGAATGAAAAAATTTATTCATTATAAATTTTTTTTCGTCTAAGAAAAAAAAGATATAATAAACTAAAATTTTTGGTAAGATAATAAGGGAGAATATGATCAATGTAACAAGTTTGTTATTATAAAACTTGTCTTATAGAATAATAATATGTTGCAATGTGATAAGAAGAGATAATTAACTTTTTTTAATTTTTAATTAACAAAATTATATAGTTAATCAACAAAATAATAATAATTTTTACTTGCAAATCATTGATAAGATTTCCGATTCATAAAATATCTTAAATATATTGATATTTTGAAAAAAAAATAAATATTGAAATCTATTTGAAATCATTAAATGAAATGTCTTTTGATTATAATGTAACATTTAAATGCTTTCTTTTTTCAATACTAATTCATATCATTATATTACGATGATGTCAATATTTTCCATTTATAATATTGACAATACCATCAGTTGTAATTATAGCACAATTTCAATTCAAATTAATTTTTATGCGAATGCTAATCGGTATCGCTATATTATGATGATATTAATATTGTTGATCGATGATCTTAACAATATTACCAATTTTAATTGTATCATAATAAATGTCGATTGATAGTATTATATCACAATGACGTCAGTATTTAACACCTATAAATTTTTACATTTAATCAATTTGAGTTCTAACAAAATGGAAAAGATCAATTTTATTTTCTTACATTGATAACATACCTCATCTCATTATCATATGCATAAATACTTGTTATTGTAAAATATTACCGCATTTTTCTCACCTGTATTTCTTTTTAAGCTGAAAAAATTACCTTATAATTTGAAAATACTTCAATTTGAAATTATGCAATACTTAAGTTTGAGAAAATTTTGCCAATAGAAATGCAATAGATTTTTGAATTTAATATTAAAGAAAAAGTGTGCCAGAACAATAATTTGTTGATGTTATTTATTTCTACAATATATTTCATGTTTTTCTTATTTTCTAATTTAACAATTCCGAATTTGAAAAAAAATACTCTTAAAAGAATTGATAGTGACAATTGCTAGTGATAATTAGAATTAATTAATTCTTAATCAATCACTGCACACTTCTTTCCTTTCTTCACTATCTTAGATAACTCCTTATCTTCTTGCTGTTCTTACATACTCTCTTTTTGTTCTGGCACAAGAATTGATAGTGACAATTGCTCTTACATACTCTCAAAAACTATCAGTGTTGCAGGAAGAAATTAGAAACAATATTTCTCATATTTATATATTTGCCGATGTTTACTATCTAAAAATAAAAGTTCAGAAATGGTATGAAAAATTTTCAAAAACTTGTTCTTTTGACCCGTTTGGTGTTTATTTATTTTAAAATTAAAATAAATTTTTTAAACTTGTAATTCAGTACTATTTTGATATTATTGATAACTTTCATTTGAAAAAAAATCGGAAATATCAAAAATTATCAGTGTTGCAGGAAGAAATTAGGAACAATATTTCTCATATTCAAAAGTGAAAAGTGAACTATTTCCGGCCAATATCAAAATTATTTCTGAAAGAGAAAAAATTTAATATTAATTTTACTTGTTATTGTAAAATATTACCGCATTTTTCTCACCTGTATTTCTTTTTAAGCTGAAAAAATTACCTTATAATTTGAAAATACTTCAATTTGAAATTATGCAATACTTAAGTTTGAGAAAATTTTGCCAATAGAAATGCAATAGATTTTTGAATTTAATATTAATTTTAATATTATTAATATTATTTATTAATATAATTATTAATTTTAATATTATTTTTTTTTAAAAAATTTAATCTTAATCGATACTATTAAATTAGATTAANGTATTTCTTTTTAAGCTGAAAAAATTACCTTATAATTTGAAAATACTTCAATTTGAAATTATGCAATACTTAAGTTTGAGAAAATTTTGCCAATAGAAATGCAATAGATTTTTGAATTTAATATTAATTTTAATATTATTAATATTATTTATTAATATAATTATTAATTTTAATATTATTTTTTTTTAAAAAATTTAATCTTAATCGATACTATTAAATTAGATTAAATTAGATCAAATCAAATTTGTCATATAAATTATATTCGTCGTTCTTTTTTACTAGTAAAATCAAGCAAAAATAGTTTAGAAATAAAAGGAATTTAATAAGAGCAGCCTTAATTAAAACCAGAAAATTTCGTGAAACAATATGAAATTAGAAATTGTTAATAACATCGCCATAATAGTTTCATATCAAACTAAACTTTTCATATTTACCGATATTATTCAATTTCCAATTTCTTTTTCGTGTCACGTACTCCCCCTTCCTTCTCCTCAATAAAAATTATTTCCGTTCATAAATTGATAAAAAGTAAACAAACAGAGAAATTGATAAACAAATATCAAATAAAATGAATTGTTTTTAAATAGCATTAAACTTCTTTTACTTCTTATTGAAATTGTTTCATCAATTTGTAATGAACAGTTTGTCCCAATTTGAAAAGAAAAATAAGAGAAAAAATTAGTTCAGCTGGCTAAATATTAAAGCAAAGTTATTGAAAAACATTAATGCATAAATCTACAGAAGTGCCTATTAAATTCCATGATGACAGTGACACCTTAATGAATTAATCTTAATATTGATATTCCTATTCCCACACACATCTATCTATCTCATCTTATTATCACCATTTCTTTCACTTGAAAAAAAACCATATAACTAAATCCACTCATAAATACCTCATATCACTTATTAAGCTAAATTCAGTTACTAGATAATTGTTACTTGATAGTTACTAGATAATCCTTAAATCTGAAAAATTAATAGCTATTTCTATTTTCAAGCAACAGTTATTTATAAATTTGAAAACTCAAACAAAAGGAAAAAATAGCAGAAATTTGAAATAAAAATGAATACGAAATTCTTGAGATTTGATTAGGAAAAAGAAACAAATAAATATAGCTTGGTCTATTTATCCTAAGACTATTATTCGTATATTTAGAAGAACTCCGATTAATCTCTATACCATTTATTTTAAGGTTATCGCTGGTATATTTGAAAAAACTCCGGCTGATTAATGATATTTGTACCATTTATTCTAAGATTATCATTAATCTACTTCTTTGCTATGAATAACTGAACAAATAAATTATGAACGGATAACGAATCGTATATCAGTGTTTAATATCATATGTGATTTTTACGCTTGGTTAAATTTATAGCAAGCTTCAACTCAGCTATAAAATTAGGAAAGTGATCGAATGGATGTCGTCAAACAATATCTTAATGATTTCATACTTCGTTAAATAGGAAATAAAGCAAAGTACAGTATATAAATTAATCACAACATTTAACAAAGATAATCCTTAAAATAATCTTCCCTCTGGATAATCATTTCCTATTCTTTCATGTTACATTGAAACAATCAATGTTTACAATATTTTTAAAGGTAAAAAATTTTAACTATCTGACCGAATTTTCATTCTTCGTTAAATCAATCAAAATGATTTCTCATTTACATATATTATGCGATCAATCACCAAAATGAATCGTGTCATCGTTGTTATTCTTTCTAAAATGTACATGCATGAGCTGATCAAGATTATTTCAATCACGATGATGCACTATTACTATCATTATAATAGAGTAATAAAACCATGATATATATAACAGAAGCATACAAAATGATTGATTGTAATACGAACACAATCATACATTTTAAAAAATGGATTACTGTACAATGATAAAAAAAACATTTTGAGCATTCATTTTACGATTTCCACAGTGCATCATTATTATTGGTATTCTTTTAAGCAAATAAACATTACCTAACAAACGATAAGCAAACGATTAAAATATTAAACAGATAATAAATTGTGGAAGAGATATCAAATAAATTATTTATAAATAATAATATTAACTATCGACCCGATGAGAAGATGCTTAAAAATAGGGAAATAGAAAGGAATAATGTAATGGCAGGCTGATAAACTTGTAGATGAGAATATTCTAACAATCACTATTTATTATTACTTTTTTTTGACTTATGACTTCAAATGTTGATAAGTTGCAACAACTTACCATCAGCTCATCGAGATCAAAAGTTGACGCAATTGTAATAGTTATAATGAGAAGAAAGAAAGTACAAGAAGTACTTTTGCTGATGTTGTTTACCACAATCATCATCGACATGTTTAATCTAAAAATAATTGGAAATGCAACACCAGAAATTGCAACCCGAAAATAAGGAAGATTGGTATGCCCCTCGTAATTTATAATGCTTACGGATATTGCTCAGCTCCGCCTTCAAAACTATATGCATCCCGATGGTCGTGTAACTAATCATCAATTAGATAAGATGTTATGATTATTTGAAAGATTCAATCAAGAAACGAATAAGCGCTGATCTTTTTATGAAAGCTGTGATTACAAGGCTGCCTCATTTCCCACACTAATATGGCCTAAAAAACAAAAGACTTGGATAATATCATCTGTTTGTTTCTTAGAACAAGATCTTTTAGTTCAAGGGAATCTCGAACAAAATAAGAAAACTAAAACACAAACATTACAAATAGTTATCAAATTATCAGCATAATCAATTTTGAACAACAATCACAGCAATGAAGCAGCAAATACTTTGCCTATTTAGCAATCAATTACTCGCTTTCAAAAAAACGACTGAAAATCTAGAAAAATTAAAAGTTCGAAGCTCATTCATGAAGAAGTCAGTCCAATAATGCAATACTACCGAAAATTTAGACACTAACATAACTATGATAACGACAATATCTGTGAGATTCACGAATAACTGACCACAGTGGGAGAGCCCGATAATCCGAATAACTAAGGGATCGATAATGTATAACATCTATGAAATTATAAAAAAGTAAAAGTTACCGCATTGTAATGGCATTAATCAGTTGGATGGCTTTGGCGATCTTAACAACCGAAGAATAAAAATAAATTAATGCTTGCCTTGTTACTTTCAGGTTAATGAAGAAACAGTTGGTAATTCGCTTGAATCAAATCAAAATATTATCACTAGATTACAGATTATTAACTATCTAAGTATACCGAAAATCCAAAAAAGCGACCATTGATTGGGAAAGCAAAGATGAACAGGAAATTCCTAGCTTCACAATTATAAAGGTTTTCGAGAGCCTGATAAGCGTAATTTTTCAATTCTATTCTGTAAATGACGATTCGTCTCCTTGGCCTCGTCCAAAGAATTATCCTTATCACGAAGCTGAAACAAATTTTGAGAATGTAATCTACAAGTAGTATCATTATGTGCCAGTCAATCATACATCTATAATAAAACTAATTTAAATCTGCTCAAGTTGATCAAGTTCACCTTTTTTCTGTGAATGCATCAAGGATAAGGTGAGAGGTGAATGCATCAAGATAAGGTGAGAACTAACGAACTTTCAGTGCAAATCCTTTACGAGTTCATGTCGTCCCACTCTTACGTTATTTGGCTCCCTAATTTTGTAACTCAGAAGCTTTTATGATTGTAAAACTTGAAAGAGTAGAGTTATGAAAAACAGAAGGCATACCTTTCCTTCTATTTATAAGTTACACTCAGCATTTTTTGACAATAAAAAACTGAAAATCTCCACCACAAATTGGAGAATCATGACTGTTTTTTTATTATAATGAATGTTATTAAGATTTTGCACATTGAATAAGGAATTGGATAGCAGATGCCACAGTACTGAGTCGTAGGCTGTGATCATTTCTGTAGTCTTGCTAATTTCAAAACATGTCCTTCAGTCCACAATATCAGTAACAGTGCATTCCGCCATGTTAATCATTATTTGAGAATAATTTCACAAAGTTTTCATTCATCCGAAAGAAATTCTACTTGATTTTCATCAGTGCACTTCGCGTGAAATTCATTTGCTTTTAATTATTTATTAACAAATTCTTTGATTTCCGTTTACCCTCAAAATTCTGTTACTTTCATAACACTCATTAACTTGAAACAATTCTTAAATTGGTAAACATTTAATTTGCCTTCAAAAATTATGACAAAAATTTTCATATGTATTTCCGTGATTATCGCAGCATCAAGTGCAACATCTACTTTTGGACCGACGAAAGAAACATACTAACCGTATAATTTTATTACTAAACAATAAAATTTAAAGAGATCGAAGAGCAACAGAACCATCAACATCTCAAGGCTTGATGCCTTCTCAACAGCCTTTCGCTTTTCCAGACGAAGGAAAAACATACCTCTTTTTTTAGTTGTCGATTTTGAGATTTTAATTCAACAAGCTCTTTTTCCGCTTGCTCAGCAGCTGCCTTATACCTTTTCATTTGCCCATCAACACGTATCAGCTATAAAACAAACATATTTGGGATCACATATTATTTCGGATGATTTTGATCAGCTTACAAAAAACTCTTATAGATGTAAATTCCTTTAAATTCAGTAGATGTAAATGGTGTTTTCTGAGAACTACAGCATAGAAACTTATCTATACCCTTCATTATAACGATGATTCTAAAAAACAAATTATTAAAAAAAAATTTATCTTTAATTCAAAAAACATTAAAACCAACATTGCCTTGATAATTCGTATTTTCACGCTCTGCTTCTTGTAGTTTAAATTTGATCTCTGCTAGTTGTTTGGCTGCATCTCCTGAAATGATTTCAAAATTAATGGCTTGAGTGAAGAAGTCAGCAATTCGACTCATGTGGATTCTATCACTATAGTTTTGTTGCTGGATACTCCGCTTAGTATCCCAAATATCATTTTCAGTACTGCAGTTACAACTCGCCTCTCATCCCAATCCCATGTACATTAAAGATTAATCAAAACTACTTGTCTCACGAATAAGTCCAAGAAGTACAAAAAAGGTAAAAAAGATTGATGCACACTTTGTAATTCATCACCGAGTATACCATTCTGTGCGCTATTCATAAGATCAGCACGAGCTGTTCTTCTAACATATAATGACTGTTCCGCTTCTTCAACTTGTTGACGCATTTTTTTATTCTGGAAAAATATTTAAATAAAAATTAGAAAAATGAAATGTGAAATGAGTTAGGAAAAAAACACTTGAAGCAATCAAGCCCTGCTCGAGATATCTTAATAAGACGGCAGATAATCAATATCATTTTAAAACAAAATTTATTTCGAAAACTTGCCACGTCAACTAATCTTTTCACTTTTTCATCTATTGAGGAAGAACCAGGCACTGCCTTTTCAACAAGTGCTATCGTTGTTTGAGAAAATATCAGTGGAGTTGTTTGACTGAAATATAACAGCTTTATAATCAAGTTTTAATCAAAACTACTAACGGTGATTATGGCAGTTTTCTGAAAATATACAATGAGTCTATTACTCGCAAACTAAACGATCAAAGAATCAACAAAACATTCCCAAACAGATCCTGTAAATTACCTGCTTTGGTTTGATCTAATGAAAAAGGATTAAAAAAGAATCTCAACATGAAACTCCAATTTTGTATATATTATACTAACTAATACTAGGATAACGAAATATACTAAATGAAATGAGTTTCTTTTATACTGTCTTTTATAATTAGAGATGAAAGTCTAGTATTATAGGAAATCCTATGTAAGTTAAAGACTAATCGAAACTATCTCTCTCACGAGTAACTTCAAGAAATGCAAAAAAGAAAAAAAAAAAAGAAAAAGATGGGAAAGACTGGATGCACATTTTGTAATTCACTATCGAGAAAAACAAAAATTAGCAACAAATCCAACACTCGTTAATTCATATTTTAATTCGCAGTTCATTTAACAGGGCGCTCAACTCGTCTTTTGAAATTCCTTTATCATCTTTCAGTTTTGTCACCTACACTCCACTACTTACACATATAAAGTTGTAGAGTACAGGGTATATATATATATTACATTAAGAAGAGGATTTTCCGATCTTAAGATGCATTCTTTGTGATTAGGAAAATTCGAATTAGCATTTAGTCTCATTTAGTCTGATTAGAATTCAGAGAGTTTCCGATGTAGTAATTCCGTAAATTTCTTAGTTTTCTAACATATTTCCAACTAATCTTTTCATAATCCTTTTATAATTTCAGTTTGCTTCTATACATAAAGACCATGAAGAAGCCTTCCAAGGAATCGTCGTCATAGTCTTTTCACCTGATCGAAGTAACGGGCAACTAATTTCGCTTTAAAACAAACAAAGGAAAAATTGCAGCTCTCAATAAGGAAGTCGTGTTTCAAACAGTTTCAAGACGATAAAAAAAAGAATGAATACATGCTAAGGATACATGACTATGATGACTACTTAACATACAGCGAGTGTAGCCCTTAACGAGATCGAAATGTCGGTAGAATTTTAATGCTGAAGTTTTCAGTAAAATGCAGAATCAATGGAATCATTAACACATAGACTAATAATTTTATCGTCTCATCATCAAGGATCACAGCAACGATTTCATCTTTGCCCTAGTTATATTGTAGAAAAGTGATGAATCACATCCAAAAAACCACTTTATTCAACCTAATGAGTTGGGTTCATGACGAGAAATTTATGAAAAGCTAATGCTCAGACTTTAATATGTAGCAATAAAATCCGGGAAAAATAACTTACATATTATCTATGCCGTTCGTCAATATATTGTCAGATTTTTCTTGTTCCGCCAGAACTAACCCGTTCTCCTAGAAAAAAGTAATTCCAATCTGTTTGGAAGCTTAGTAAGTAATATCCAGGGGAAGAAATATCGTTCAAAAGACTCTTCTCAACTTAACTCGAAAGAGCTTATGGCTCACTCAAGTATACTTCAACGGCAATCATATTGAATGCAATATTATAACTGCCTATGTAATTATATATCTACCTGTATAATTTGATCACGTTGGGCTATTTCAAATCGCAACGCTGCATGTTGAGCATTTAGGCCATCAACTGTACGTTTTAGCAATTTAACTTCCTGAATTATATGGTAACAGTTTATGTTTCAAAGTTATGCAGTTTTCATGTTGAGCCTTTAAAATAAGTTTTAAGTATTGATACTAATTTCCACTTTCCTTTTCGGATGTTTAAAATTTTAGCGCATAAAAGACCAAATATTCAATATTCCTATGCATAAACATATTATGTGTCATAAGTAAATCTGCACATATGCTAGAAAATTATAAGATCCAAGGAAATTTATCGTTCAACACCTCAAGCATCAATTGATTAATCGAATATTGAGACTATCCACTTTGATGGAAAAAGATTGCTAAATGAAATAAAATAAATAATCCAAACCGGGGAGAGCAAAAGTAACTAACAGTAGCTAAATCTCGAGATTCCCGATTGGCTTGTGATAAGAGCTGCTCCTTTTCCTCCACATCATCTTTCAATAGATCAATTTCATATAATAAGGCTGATTTCTCGTTATCTAATTGGGAATACATGAACATAGCCCGTTGAAATTTGTTTTGTAACTCGCTTACTTTCTCCTTAAAATGTTTAGCTACAGAAAAATCCTCAATGTAAAATAGCTAGTTTTGTTTACATTCTCAATCGAAACCAATCGAAAGTTTGCATAGAAGCTAAACGGCATGCAGAAAACGGAGTTAACTGGTTTCGGCAAATCTCAAGGCAAAGCTGCTATCTACAGAAAGACTGAAAAGTTGAAATAAAAACCTTCAGGGACGCCTGCTCCTTGCTATCTCTGGACGCTATACCACCTCGAGAAGTTGATGTCGTCGGAATGCTGTCTTTCTAAATCATGTCAAACGCATGCATACATTAGTAATAATCAAAATAGTAGAAAAATTAAGTAAAAACATAGTGCATAAGGATAAAAGTTAAGACATGAATCTTACTGATAGGATCTTCAGAAGAGCAACTCGAGAGAATTTTGAACTTCGATGAGGACAAAAATCTAACAAACCATGCATGGGTCACTTTCCCCATGATGAGTGTAATTTATCCTTTTTAATCCACTTCAGAATCAAAGTTAAAAATTGTTCACAAATAGAAGTTGTGTTTGAAATTTTAAACAGACTGTGTCGTGATGTAATAAATATTAATCGTTTGAGTTTTAAGCTATTATATAAATGAAGTTAAGTAGCTCTCACAACACACAGGTAATATACAAATAACTAATTAATAAATAATATGTATAAAAGTAATAAATAAGATCGTAGTACATAAACAACAAATATGTAGGTAGCAAATAAGATTTAAATAAAATAAAAAAGCAGTTAGAAAATATTTAATGTAATCAAAGGGTTTCAAAAGCTCGAATACCAAAATATATATGGATACCTTCAGCAATATGATAATATATCCCAAGATTTGAGTAAAATTATTTCGCCTTATTTCAACAAAATAAAGCAAACGTAACTTTAAAAAGAGCTTCACATGCAGTTATAATTATCAAGAAACGAAATCAAACAGTTTATTAGGAAGATAAGAACTTCCTAAATTAGTAATTTTGTTCTAATATAAGTTTGATAACATGGTATTATAATGACATATAATCAATACAATTTTATTAGGTCGAGAGCATTAATAATTAAAAAGCAATGAAGAATAGAATATATAGGCTCTATAATCTTATAGGATGTGTTACAGTAAAGGAAAGAGAAAACGAAAAGATAAATACCTAATAATAATTTTTGAAATATAAAAAAGACTTACAACGCCTTCGTCATCTTCTTTGCCACCATCTGCTTCAGCCTGTAAAATGAATATTAAAAACAGGAACAGAGCATCAGACCGAGAAATTTTTATCTGGCGTCCTTTCATTTTAACAATTGTTCAAGAATTTGACTTTGTCTCAGTATTTATTATTTTTTTAAATAGATTACATATCCTTTAAAATAGTTTTACCAAATAAGACTTGAATTTGATATTTGGAACAATTTTTTTGACAATACATAGTTACCACAAAAACACGGATCTTTAAGCAATTAGATAAATTAAAAATTTTGTTCCCCTATGAATTATGTCTCTTGGATTGCCACTAAGCGGAAAAATACGATTACATTAAACAGAAGCTATCTACACAGGGTGCAATCCAATTCAAAAGCCTAGTGACGAAAAATCGCCGTTTCTCTCTTTTTCCTTTCTTATTTATTTCTCTTTTTGAGGTGAGATGGATGCTGTAGTACTTCAATGTAAAGTACGTAAACAGTTTTGACCCATTATCAATTTTTAGATCATTTTTCAGAATCTTTTGACTAGCTTATTGTTTCATTGCTATCAAATTGTCAACAATCTTCGCTTTTCTTTTTCAATGCCTACCTTGATGAATTATCTATCCAACATAATTATTACTTGTGTTGGTATGCAAAACACCAAAATGATAATTTCCGCAAAGAGTTTGAGGAAATTTAGTTCATTTCTTATATGCCACTTCATCTTAGAAGTTACCTTTTCATCTCTGAATTTATATAATAAAATATCGATAATGGTAACAATAATGTTAATGTAATAATGACAAAAATAGAACAGCAGTAATGAAAAAAATAAAAATAATTATGGAAAATGAGGCAATGTTCATGGTAATATGTACTGATAATCAATGAAATATGATGTTACCTCTCGGTACTGCTTTTCGAGCTGTTCTAAACGTATCTGTCTCGCTTCCTCACGAGCTTGCCTTTTACGAATCAACCGTTCTTCTGCCTGCAAAGTCTTTTAAATGCATAATCTATTACAAAATATATAATACATATTCTTCAAAATATATATAACACATATAAATCTCAAACAGACTCACTTAAGATGATTTTGAAGCTCTAGTCTGAACTCTATTAAATTAACCTCTCATTAAACTTAAAGCTAATAGTTGTAACACTCATGATGTATTCCCTCTTTCAACTTGTATATTGAAAAAAAACTGAGCAGTTAAGTTCACCTTGAAAAATCGATTAAATAAAACAGAAGCCAAAAGTCTTGTCCAAATAATAATTATATGCAATAACAAGGAAAGTAAATGACAGTGTCTCATCACGTTTTTAACTTTGGGTTTCAAATGTGATTAGAGAGACCTAAATTCCAACAAAAACAGCTCGGAAATCGAAATTTACATGATAAAGGTTGGCCCACAACGAATTTAAATGTTTCCTTTAAACAACTGCTTTCTTCAAGTTATCATTTTCTACACGATGGCACGATGGTCGAGTATACAATTCAAGAGATGCTTACATTCCGAGAAATTCGATCAAGTACTTGTTCTTCGGCTGTTTGTCGACTCACTGCACGTCTCCTACCTCCACTGTAGTTAACACTCATCCTGTAGATAAAAAATAGCCACGTACAAAAACAGAAACTTGATATGTGAATTCTATGCAAGGTTCTGCGCAGTGTGAATTCTACCTATTTTGATATATGTATCACATAATATATTAACTTGTAGTTTAATGTCATGCCGGATTCACAATCGCACGTTAAATAGTTGCTGATAATCCTTTTACTATCATTGTTAGGCACGCTCGGTATAACTGTGTAGCAGTAAACAACTGGTGAAGATGTTAAAACTACATCGTGTAACTGGTAATTTAAACTATAAATTACTTAAACTGATTAGTAAGTCCAAGGTAATCTTAACAATCACTTAAATCAATTAATAAATTAGGTGTAACTACGACATCTAATTCCTAGTGACTTAATCATTACGTAGCAATTGATAAAAACAGGCTCGGGCTAAGTCCGCTGGAGTACTTTTCTTTTCCCTCATCTTATAACAACTTAAGGTCTAAAGTTACTGATCTGAAATAAGATATGTAATAGTATCATAAGACTGAAACATGAAAAGTGAAATAACATCACGTACAAATCGATGACATGATTTTTATAACCGGCCCATGCGTGTTACAAAGCGAGACTCGGCCAGCAAGTTTTGATGAGTCAGTGAGGTGACGCATTTCGCATACGGAAGGGTAGAAGAGGTTTGCGTAGGTGGGCATAGTGGGCATAGAGTCTGTTTCAAAGGCTTTTTCAAAATAGCTGATTAGCTCTCTCTAAATTTTAAGTCATAGATGTCTTATTTTTAATCGCAAGAGTCGCTTGCGAGTTGGAAGTTAGAAGCGATGGACTTAAAACGAACTTCTTTTATTGTGTAATTCGAGCAGGAAGGTTTTTTCCACATATAGTTTTTATCGTCTTTTACGCCTTATATGTTTTTCAATTTAACTTTCTGCGTTTATTTCCATAATTTAGTGGAATTCTTTTTTGATTAACTTGTATTTCTTTATCTAGTAAGTTAGGGAAAAAGACAAGATTTTTAGGACGGAAGATCTTGACATTAAAGATTCTGATTTCATTTCTTATACTATATTAGTACTGTATGGGTAAGCTTATATAAAATGGGCATTCACGTCAACCTGAATTTTCGGCATGATGTCATATCTCCTCTTGACCTGTTTAGTAGTCCCAGAAATATTGTTTCCCTATTACTGTTAACGTTTTCATATGGATTCCATCCCTACTGATATTATTGGGCTATTGTATAATTTTGTTTTATGATACCCATTCCCTAGACTTTGAGTCCATATTATATTTTCGTTATCTGTACCAGTTACGTGTTATCGTTGTAATAGTAGTCCTAGAAACAAACCACCAAATATTCTCCAATAGTCTGATTTCGTATAATCTGAGGCGAGGAAAAAATCGAAAGATATTGTTGGCTTTAAGTTAATTCGTATTTTCCATTATATACTGTATCAATATGCGTAATTTAGTCATCTGTAGATCATAGTTCAAGGTATACATTTGGAAATGTAAACTTTGATTTCTCATATATATAAAAAGGAGGTTTTTCCTTTCTGTTTATTCTAACTTCTCCATTCATCTTCAGAATTTAACTTCATTTAGGTTATTGATAATGCATGTGCAAATTTATCCTATGTGTATGGCTTTAGCGTGCCACAAGCCATGGTGAAATAAGTGATTACGACGGAAGTGTTGCAAACTCGTGAAAAATGTGGATGATTCTCATTCTGCTGCTTGATTCGTATTATATCGATGCCTGCCACTTTTCCAGATTGTTTCAGATATAATATGCGGGAAAAATCCAGAAAGCAAATTATTTTCTTCTTATAATATTTTCTTTCCTAACGTTCTAAAAAAGGTGCCTAGAATAAGATTGTCTTAATAACAGTTGCAATGTTCAGCTGAAAGATAAGGTAGGCATTAAAAAAATATTCACCTGATGAGTTAAGGTGATAAAAAGCGGTGAGGAAACTATATTACTACTATTTCTCGTCTTTGTTAAAGCGTCTTATCCATCAATCTTTTTTTTTCATTATCATTTGTTTTGACGTCATTTTGAAGGTCTAGAACTTGCAGTAGTTTGTTTGCTTATTTAGTTGATGCCCACTGCACTATTTTCTTGGGATTGCCTCATTAATATGGATTATATGCTTCTTAGTTTGGTTTTCCTCTTTTGCTTTCTCTTCCATCCTCTATATCTTCCCGAATTACTAACAAATAATCGTAATGAGTTAGTATTTAAGTTGGGAATATTACGTGTGCTATGACTGTGACCTTAATTACTTATGATTCATTACTTTAAGAGTGATGTTTAAAATACGAGTTGGAACTGACATAAATGTATAAACATGCATGATACTGCGATGCTTTGTTTTACCTTCCATGAAGAAGTCAAAAAACTATAAAATTCTTTTTTTTTCAGACAAATCAGCAAATGCTCATTTCATCATGCCGATCGTGAATCGGCTCAAAAAGTTTATCCTTGGTTCGAATTTTAGTAGTGATAGTCAAAAGTCAAGTTTTGGTTCTGGAACTAAGACCATTCCTGATATTGTCCGGGTCGAAACGGATGTTTGCGAGTATTGGATATTGGATGAAGTAATAGGTGATGGCGCATTTGGGAGCGTTTACAAAGCACGATCTAAATTGGAGTCTGGAAGGGTGGCTGCCGCAAAAGTGATTTTTTATATGTTCTGATTTTTCCTGTATGTACTCTTCCTTATTTTTATCTTCGATCGATCAAATCCAACTGTTTCAGGCGATGGAATTGGAGGATGACGAAAGCCAGGATGTAATGGTTGAAGTATCAATTCTCACTCAGTGTAAACATCCAAATATTGTCGAACTTTATGATGCGTTCACTATGGGTAATCGCATTACGGTAGCTTCATTACTCATTTACAATAATATATTTCCATTATTATTTGTGACAAATATGCAAGGGCAGTTGATGATGCATGTCGATATTTATTTTAATTGTCCAAAATTTTCAACTACGAGATGGCACATGCCGAAAAGTGGTTCCTTTCTTTAAAATATTACAAAAGACCCTTTACAGTTTTGGTATTATAAAAAGTTGTCCTATGGCTAAATGTGTATTATGAGATAAGAATTAGGGTAATACAAATTCACTACACTACATTTATTGGTAGTGTTGCAACTATATGTTAGAATGGATTAATATGAGTCCCCAACCATCTTAAAGATCGCTTTTATATGCTCTTGGTTGTGTTTTAATCTGAAAAGTCCTGATATAGAGTTTTTCTAATGAAGATATAATAATTTCTGTAAGTCAGTTTTCTTTTTTCAATGCAGCTTTTGTTGGAATATTGTGGTGGCGGTGCAGTGGACAGTATAATGATGGAGTTGTCACGGCATCTTACTGAACAACAAATTCATTATATCATGAAAGAGATCTTGAAGGCATTAAATTTTCTACATGGCAAAAATGTAATCCATCGAGATCTAAAGGCTGGCAACGTGCTGTTGACAAGTGACGCAAGGGTAAAGTTAGGTAAGTTGTCTCTTGTTTTCTGCTTTTCGTCAAAAATGAAGGCGATGTTTCCCTTTGCAAAAATAAGGATTAATATAAAAGTCTATGAGTTTTATATTTGTGCAATAATTTCAGCTGCCTCTGAATAGTTTTTGGAAGAGGCAGAAAAGAGTTCAGTGTGCTGCTTTAGCATAATTTAATTGCAGCTGATTTCGGTGTGTCGGCATTATGCAAAGATGGTCGAGAAGTACGGTCGACATTCATTGGAACGCCGTATTGGTAAATTGCTTTATGCTGTTTGCATTCCTATCCAGCTTTCATTTTGTGTGGAGCACTATTCAAATAGTTCATTATTCATATTTTCTGAATTGCATATATGTGAAATTAGCAAATTATGATTCAGATGGTTAAAGGCGGCACAATGAATCAATTTTATAACTTTTATATTTTTCAACAATAAATACGAAGTCTGGAATTCAATAATTTTAAAAAAGTGATACTATTTAAACTCATTCCTAACTTTTTCACGTTTGATATTTGGTCTGCTACGACCAGGAATAATTTTATTTCACAATGCTTAGTATTTTCGGTAGTGTATGCTGTTCATCGCTAGGACAGAAATAGGTATTGTTGATTTTTCAAAAAAAGATTTTTGATGAAGACTATTGGGATTGATCAGTATGAAGTTTGTTATTGAAGGATGGCTCCGGAAGTGATGTTATGCGAAACTTTTCCGGAAAAGCATTACAATAAGTTGGCAGACATATGGAGTTTCGGAATAACTCTTATTGAAATGGCAGAAGAGAAACCACCTTATGCGGAAATGAATCCTGCAAAAGTGATTTTTAAGGTAGGTTTGATTCCTCATTTTCGGTTCACTGATAGACGAAAAATAAAGAGAAAGGAGAAATGGGGAAAAAAAAGTTAACTGCTTGATGAATAAGATTTGTAAAAGTTGTTTGTACGATTCAAGAATCATCTCATTTTCTACAGTTTTCATTTTCCTTTTAGGTCATAAAGGCAGATCCTCCTATGTTGGAACGTCCCAATCTATGGTCTCCTAATTTTCGAGCCGTGGTTACTAAATGTTTAACAAAAGATCCAGGAAATAGACCAAGTGCCGCCGATGTATTAATGGTTAGTGTAACCTTTTCTATTTCGTTGGAAATATTTAAGAAATTTTCTGAAGTGCTTCTGTTTACAGAAAATTATCGCTATTGTAAATGCAAAGATGGAAAATCTCGAAACGGATTTTTGATTTATCTTGTTGGTGACAAGAATTGCTAATTTGTTAGCCTTTCTTGGATTATTCCACTAAGAGTTTTGTTTTGTAACATGCATCACAATGCTAAAATGAGAGATTACATGACAAATTATCAGTTTTCATTGGTCGGTAGTAAATATTCTTCTTATATGTAATGGTAAGTATTAAAGGAACGAACAAATTTTCAGAAATCACACTTCTATTTTGATAAATGAGCGATTTTGCATTTGATAAGATAACTTTATCTGCTTGTCACCCTGTCAAAATTGTCTTTCTATTCGAACTAAGCTTGTTTCAGTACCCATTTTTTGCACAATCAGGATCAGTTCAGTGTATACGTTCGTTGATTAGTGAAGTGAATGCTGAACAAATAACAACAGAAGTGGTAGTTGGTAGTGATGATGAAGGACTGTATGATGATGAAGATGATGATGATACGGCTACGTTAAGTAGTGTAGCAACAACTAGTGAAGTAAGATTAAATATTCTTGTTATTGCTTGTTCTCAGAATTGTAAACGCTTGTAGCGAATTAGGCGTGTGGTATCTTAAGTTGTCTAATTTCAACAAATACTGCTTGTCAGATTTGAGGGTTATTAGCGACGATTATTTCTGCTCATTTTTTACGAACATCGCTTTGTTGCTGCAGGTCCAGGCGTACGACGCGAACAGTGCGAGCAGTAAACAATGTCATTCAGTTTTGTCTGCAACCGAACAGAAAATACCTCCTGAAGTGACCGCCTTCACCTCGAAATCAACAATAATGAATGCTGGATCAACGACTGTTGTTGAGTTGGCACCGGCAGCAGAAATAAGTCCCATATGTATCGAAACTAATGATGTAGAAAATGGCAACATATTATCATCTTTATTATCAGGAAAAAAACAACGCGCACCAAGTTTACCGACAAAGGATGGAGGTATTCTGAAAGAAGGGGAAAACACGGTATGTTATTGGCGGTAAGCTCGTTCATTTCCACACTGTTAATTTATGTTTCTGTTTAAACTGCAGTTCTTTCGAAAAAAAAAAAGCTCATTCAGTTCTTATTGTTTCAGATAGCAATAGTAGAAATAAGTGCTGACGACCAAGGTAAACTAGAGTTTCTCGAAAGATCGGATAGTGTTGAAAGTTGCAAAAGTTCGAAACATGGACATCATCACGCAGCTGTTATAGCCCTCAGTGATCTTGATAAAGCGTTAAATCTGGAGGAGGAACTGTTTTGTGAAAATAGGGGAAATGGTATGTTAGAAACATTCTGTTTGCGGACCGCAAAAAAACGTTGTGTTTTTGTAAGTTTTCAAAATTCTTCACTTTTCTTTTTAGATGACCAGTCGCCAGTGCTAACTTTATCACCGAGCCCTGATTTCCTTTCATCGGAGTGTTCCGATCCAACCATGTTGATATTATCAGCCTCAGAAGCTGCTCCTTCCGTCAGCGGTAAAGTGGAGAATACTACAAATCTGAACTTGAATGTTCTTTCCAAACCCGAAGTGAAAGACATTATTGGTTAATGTTTCATTCCTATTTGTTTTGATGAGTTTAGAGGAAATATTTTTAAATTAATAAATTGCTATCATTATATTAGAATGTGAACGTTGCTCAAAGATGTTCCTTTATGCAGGTGTAGAACTCGAACTGGGTCGTCCGGAATCAGCTCATCATATTCGTGATATTGTTTCTGAAGAGCAGCTCCACGTTCATTTACTGGGGCGACCTACCACGGTATTTATATTGTTATTCATTAGGGTTGAAATGTTCAGTAGTCGGGAAATAGAATTTAATGGTTGTTTTGATGGTTAATTTTCAAATGCAAAAAATTTTCAAATGCAGGTTCAAATTACCGAAACAGGAGCTGTTGTAACGACATCAAATGCTTCACTCAATAAGAAATTGGTTGAAACTGACGCTCAAGTCAAATTGGACCGGCCAAATGCTATGCAAGAAGCTAGTTTTGTCCATATGTTAAAAGTTGAGGACAGTCAACAATTAAAAGTAAAGGTAGAATATCTAGCATAGTATTATACCCCACCTATTAGTTTTTTATTTTTTGCCAAATTCAAAAGTTTATATTTTGTTCTCTGCGGATCGTTTTTTTTTCTTCAGCCAAAGTATTTCCTGATGGATTTCATGCTTGTTGAATGAAACTGAGTTGTTGCTTGAGTAACTTTTAACATCCATAGATGTTTACCAAGCACACATGATCGGCTTCTGCAAACAATATTTTAATTTGCAGTATATAAGCATTCTTTAAATATCTTAATTAGTTTCAGTAGATTATGTCTTTTAATATAATTATCAAATATTTTCTTATATGGTACTAATTTTGTTTCAGGTGTGTATGCACTTAGTTTTGATAATTATATTCAATTTTTGCTTTAGGTTTTTACAAAGGAAGAAGTTGCTGTTCCTGAATCAATCCCCGTCGAAGAATTCCGTTCGTCTAAACACCAGAATGATGTTAGTTGCAGTGATTTATCCACTGCTCTACTAAACATTTAAGTAATTTAGGTTCTTTATCGATTTACACTAATGCTCTTTAAATTACTAAATTTGAAGCTTTTGTTAAATAGATTGCATTACAATATTAATTGAATCAATGAATTATTTGCTAGCCGTGTAGATTGCTTCACCGCTTCAGTTGCCCTGTTTTCTCTTCATTTGTTCTTACTTCTCTGAAATTTTTATTGGTTTATTGGTCATAAGAAATAATTTTTACAGTATGCCAAACAGCCAAACATTCCGAAGATAGAGAAGAAAAAGGATGCAGTAGCATATAAATCTTTCGATTCTCTTTTAAAGGTTGTGTTATATTGATTTGAAATTCAGCCTTTTTTGGCAAGGAATATTTACTATATCTGAGCCTTATTTAGAATACATCCTGTGATAAAAGTTTTCTGCCCACAGCAATAGATAAGACATAAGCAAATTGCCAAAAAATTTTAGAGCAATAGTTAATCAAGCTAAAGAATTTATAGTTCTAAAAAGAATTATTCAGAAGGCTGATTTTATCCCTGCCGAGAATTTTAGATTGATAGTGAAGAATCTGCCAGTTCTACTGCCACACAGCGGTGTTTATCACAGCCACAGGTTATTTCGTCCAGTAAAGTAACACTTGAAGGAGTCCATTTTTCGCGGCTTCGTTTTCTTTCATTAAGTTTGAGCCGAGCACAAGGGACATTACTCCTCTAAACATTACCTTTGTCATACAAATAAAAACTTTGTATGTTAGTATTTTACCTTATCGCTGTGGGTGCCTTTTACCTCACTCTACCTGCACTTTCTGACGGGAACATTAATAACGGAAGTTACTCCGACTTTCGACTTTCATCAATTATTATCATATTTTCAAAGGAAGTAGACGGTACTGAATTTCAGGCATGTTCACGTCATTTAATACAAGTTGGCCCCATTTCTGCTGTGACAGGCACAAATTACTCCGTAGGTAAATTGCCTTTGGGTGTTTCTTTGTCAACAGATCATTTAAACGCGCCTGCAACAAGAACTATTTATATGCACATTCCTGATTCCATATTGCAGGTATTTTTTGTTTTATATTTGTACATGTGAGGGATAAAATATGTTATTTGCTTATTTCTGAGCTATTTTTTCGTATTTCTATTATAATTTGCATCCCTTGGAACATTTCTAAATATTATTTAGAACGAAATCTCCGGATTAGAAGCTGATAATATGAATAATCGAAATTATTATTGTTATGGAAAATCAGTATCAGAAAAGGTTGGATTCACTTGCAATTTATTCTTTTTATTCGTTTCTTAAATAGGTTTATCAAACAAAGGAAATTACTAGGGTTGATTGCAGTGCGCTTTCTATTTTGAGAAAAATCGACGATTTCATTCATCAGATAATTTCATAATAAAGCCTCAAAATTTTTTCTTTTTGAAATTTTTTCCTGGAAAAATTTCTTGACCTGTTACATTATATAAGGGAAGTATTTTTGCAGTAAGCAAAACAAAAGAAATTTTGATTTTACGAAAGCTTTGTTTTTCCAGAGCTCCCCTATTTTGGAGAATAAGCAACTGCTAAAACACCAAAATTCCGTGCGAGCAGACTTCAAAGTTCCTCTTTCTAATGCTAAGGTAAAAGTGGAGGCTAGGATGACAGAGCCTTCTAATTTGTCTGCTATGACTGCTACGATGTCAGTGGATGATAAAGGGATTGAAAAGACGGTCATTGAAATCCGTCGACCATTATCGTATCCGGAAAGTAATAGTAAGCAAACGAGTGTTCGGAAAGTAAGTATAATTTTCGAAGAAATCGAGTATATTTAGATCAGGGGAATATTTCCTATGGTAAACAAAATTGTATTAAAGGTATTCTTCTTATATAGTTTTTATTTTAATAAAGTCCTAGGAATTATTTTTTTTTTACTCGTAATGAATCAAAAATTCAAGGCTGTAACTGTATCTTCATCCTGTGCCGGCTCATCACCACTCCGATCAACGCATTTATTCTCACGGCATAGTGCTGTTGTTGCAGCAAAAGCTATTGATCACGCTCGACGGCAGGAACAAAATCGGAATATAATAAGAGATCAGGTAATTTTGCGATAGTTTCTTTACACTTAATTGCATTTTGTTAAAAATTATGATCAATATAGCGGTGGTAATTATAGAATCGAAACCGTAAGCGATTAATTACGGAGCGGAATCAAGAATCAAATGCGGTGATTCTGAAGAACATAAGTGAACAGAAAAAAGATAATACAGGAGATCAAAATGGCACTCTTCCAACTCATCATCAGCTTACGCCTACAACAAGTAACAAGAAGAAAGAAATGCAGCTGGTAAAAATTATGTTTTCAATTCTTTTTAGATGATCAAGCCGACTGAAATTTCTATCGATTTGAAAATTATGTTGGGTTTTCCTATCTTTCTTGCTCATAAGATCGTGCGTCAATAAATTCTTAATACTAAAGAGATATCTCTAAAATCGCAAAGCAGTTTGGCATACTCCGAAGACCTTGAAACAAGTCGCAAGCGTTCAACAGCATTCAGATCAACCACTCTTCCCCATCGACTGTTGGTGATTTTGAAAATGATTCGGAGAGCGATCGGTTTACTTCACATGATGACTTCATTGGATCCTTTGGAAAATTTAGATTATGGTAAAAGTAATGATACAGAAAATGGCTTATTATAGGAGCACGAATATGATTATTTTGGAACAGCCTCATCAAGTTCATCAGGCTCTAGTAAACATTTTCAGCGACACAATTATGAAGGCAAACTCGGCGAGGTAAAAAATTTTATTTTATTGGTTTTTTTTGTCAGTAAACGCATGCTAAGCTGAGGATTTTTGCAGAAACATTAAAAATAAAATACAGTAATCTAGTAGCTAACTTCATACTTATAAAGCTGTTTTTTTTTTCCAAGATTTGAATGCTAAAGCATCAATTCAGAATAAGAAGAAAGTTACGACGGTAGCTCTTATTTCAGTGCTTAATACTTAGTCACAGTTGCTGAAAACAACTATTTTATTTTCAACGAAAATCTTTCAGCGTTAAATTTGAAAGTTAAATTGGTCATTGGATTTTTTTTTGTTTTACAGCGTGATGGTTCTAGTTTCTTGGCAGCCGTAGCTCCCAATGGTGGTGTAACATCGGCGGTATCTGAGCCGGTATCGATACCTCGAGCCGTATTAACTATTGCACCGCCAGAACCGCCGGTTGATTATTATGAAAACAATATAGGTAGCAGTAGCGGTGGCAGGAAGTCATCAAACTCACAACAGAGAGTGTCGGCCAACAAAAAGTCAATAGGAAATGGTACCAAAGTAAGTTAGTTTCACTAATTAGCTTTTTCTTGGGACCAAGAGTAAACCGTAGATATAGTATGTGGTCAAGGAATTAAAGTGAAATGAGTGTTACAGTGTGTATGATAAAAAGTATTTGGAGTAAGCAGTCAATTGATATTGCGAATTAGCATTCATCTCATAGATGCTTATTTTTCATCAAACTTTAATGCTAGAATTTATTTTAGTACTATAATTACACGTAATATATCCATGGTTCGTCTAAAAAGGAAGCAAATAATACCGAATTTATTATTATCCTTCCGGTTTAATCGTTTGCAAGAATCATTTGGTTTCAACAAATCTCATTTTCTAAGAAAGAAAAAAATGAAGATTAATAGAACTTGGGAATCGTCATCTGAAGAATTTACATATTTGTTTCCGTCTCCAGGCTCCAAACACTGGTAATGGTACATCAGTTGTTGGATCACGACGCTCACCTCATCGTCAAACTGTAACCAAGAAAACTCGAGTATATGTTGTCGATGGTGTCCAAATGACATCAACGTCTCATCAAGTATTCGGAGTAAAACAGGACTATGAATTGAGGTTAACTTTTGATTTTCCAAGTTCATGTTCGTGTTTTCAAGCTTCATTTTGCAGCTACACAGTAGTGAGTGTTTCACAAGATGTCTGAAATATTTACTACTGCAGAAACTTTAAATTTTGCATATTTAAAGAAGGTCTGTTATTTTGGTAAAGTGCATAGTTGCAGATTTCTTTTCATATAAGAGAGTAAAACATTCAAGAAATCATATAGAGATGGATGCATGGTGTTTCATTTCTGTTGATGAAAGATAATAATGCGTTTTCTTACACCCATTTAAGAAATTAAGTGAAAACTTATTTTCCAGTTTCTCTTGTTATTCGGATTGCTTTTATTGAACTTCAAATTTGCTAACATTTGAATAATTTTTACAGTCTCATCCCACGTTATTATATATCGCTTTATGGTGATTGGTCAGTCCTTCAATTTATGTTGTTCTTGCTTTCGTCAATATTTTAATAGTTGTTTTGTTTGGTGGTAGTACCCGCTATCATGTTCTTCTGTGTGCATGTTTGTGAATGTTTACTTATCTATATGTTTGAGATACATTGTCATTCTCCCTTCATTTTGTTCCCAGCTTTTGTACACTTTCAACGTGATGCTATGGTTTAACTCTGTGAATGCATCAGTTTTCTGTTGCGCCAGATTTTTCAATTATGATCTTGAAAAATGAGGGAGACCAAAAGACAACGGGAATAAATGATAATCTTTCAATTTTACTGAGATATTCGTGCAACTTTTGTTTATTTCATCAATAAGTGAGTGGTCGATCATACAGTTCAAAAATGATCTCCAAATGGGCAGAACTGGATCCAGTAAAACGCAAAAAAAAAAATGAATAGTTATTAAAACCAATAAAAATCATGATAGAATAAATTGGAACTCGTTTACTATTCGCATTATTATTCCTGAGAGATCATAATACTTTTAGTGGTTGATTTTTTGGTGGCTTGATTTTCACAGTTAAATGTTCTCGATTGTTAGGCTATGATATAGTTTTTTTAAATAATAATTTATTTAATTATTTTCATTTTATTTGTTTCCAGGAAACAACAGTTGCATGAGTTGCGCCGTCTACAGCGTGAGGAAGCGCGTCAACAGCGTGAATTGAATGCAAAGGCCGAAGCATTGCGTAACGAACAAATAAAGCGTTTTGCTGCCGATAAAGAAGTAGGCATTTTATTCAGGGCACAGAAGTATTTTCCCATGACACAGAATAAGTTATTATATTAGGGAAATTGTTTATTTCCTCACATAAGATTTATTCGATATATGTGCGATTTTAGTAGTTATCTCGATTACTTTAGAATATCTATAAGAAAACGGATATTGAGTTGCAAATGTTGGCCAGGACGCAGAAGAGGCAGCTAAAAGAGTGTGAAGAAATACACAATGAAGATATGAAGCAGTCATTGAAGAGAATGCAAAGTGATCAGGTTGGTGTCAAGCTTTTTCTTAATGCCTACCGTCATTTTTAGTTCTATTATAACCAAGCTTTTATGAATATTTTCGTTCAAGTATACACACTTACCGATTAAGGATTTATTAACGTGATGCTTCATATGGATGTCATTATCAAATGAAATGTCCAGCTGAATTTCAAGTTTTAATCTTTATCAGGGCTTATTAATTCAGTGCAATGTAGTGATGTTAGAGAGGACAATGCAGTGGGCTCTCTAAAGATCTATTGATGCTTATGTATTAGTTATCTACAAGTGGTTTTTTTTCAAATTATACTGCATTTTAGGAACGTGAATTGCGTATGTTTCGCGAACAGTTGAAACAAGAACAACGCGACTTAAAAATGGAAATAGACACACTTCCAAAAAGTCAACGTAAAGACTGCTATCGTGTACGGAAGGAACAGCTGGATGGCGACCAACAAAAGAGAGTTAGAATTAGTGCATACTATTATATAAATACTTGTTACATAAGTTTCTGTATAAAATAATATGTTATTTTCGAGATTGATCGGGAGCAACATTATCTTTTAGGAGATGAACTTTGTTGCTGAACAGCAATGCGAACAAGCGGCACGCATGACTCGTGTCCAATTGGATCATAAAATGAAGATTTTGCACATTGAAAAAAATTTCCAACAACAAAAGCATGCTGTTTTGAGGTTTTTCATCTTCTCAACTATTTGTGAATAATTGAATGGATGCAAAGAAGTTTAAGCTTTGATTAGGCTGAATTTTGCTTTCTGTTCTTTTTTTGTCCAATGCTCTTGAAATGAAGCTTTTATTTTTAATTGTACTTTATCAAATGCCACGTTAATTAAAGATTCTTTATCAAATAATAGTTAAAATTTTTTTTAACTCATTTATTTGACTTCAGATCACGTGAAGCTTCGGAATGGGATCTGGAGGAGAAGCAGCTGGCTGAACGGCATCATCTCAACAAGCAGGAGTTAAAAGATCGCTTTTATCTACAAAGAACTCAAATGCTTGCCCGGCATCAGAGAGTGAGTTAGTACTTAAGCATATAATAGTAAGCTTTTATATGATTCAAACATTGCTATTGATCAATAATTGCTATTTTCCAATGCTGCAGGAGTTGGATCATATGCGCCGAGTAAATGAAATGGATGAAGAGGAACAAATACGCTTGTATGCCAGTTTCAAAAAACGTTTACCTAAAGATTTCCGTACTGAATCTAAAACTCGAATTGCTATGTTTAAAGAGAGTCTACGTATTTCTTGTCAGGTAACTAATATTCAAGTTTGACGTACGTAATATTATTTGCTTAATTTGCTCATCTAGGTTCAAATTTTGCTCTTTGTAGAAGGATGATCCTGCAACGCTTAATGAAAAAATACGAGCGTTTGAAGAAAAAGAAAAACAGCGTATACGAAATGCGTTGGAAGAACATGACACTAAATATGCTCGGAAACTGAGAGAATTGAAAGAGAAAAATGCAACAGCTATACGGGAACTAGAAGAAATCCATGTTAGTTTAATTCTTCTATGAATGGATTTTGTTCTTATAACTGTTATTGTTACGTCTGAATTTTTTCAGTATCTTTGTGCTGTTCCTTTAAGTGAATAAGATCGAAAGTCATTTTACAATACTCAAAAATTTGCGATTTGCGATTATGAGTAAATTTTGAACAAAATTTTGTTCTTTTTACTTTATAGCTAGAATCACGGTTTCGTCACCGTCAAGTCAAAAATATCACTGTTTATACACTCAATTTATGTATTTATTCAGAGTGAGAAACGCAAAATGTTATTGGAAGCAGAGGAAAACAAAATGGAAATGTACGAGAAAGAATATGAACAGGTGATAGCTGACTGGAAGGCTGGCTTGCCAATTAGGAAACAGGTATCTTTTCATTTTTTTGATGTGAACTAGGAGAATTCCTCTTTCTTTTTTTTACTGAATATCAATACAGATATGTAAGAAAATTCTAGCGTAATGTTATAGTTTTATATATTTGATTGTAGGCACTAGAAGCGGAATTTACCCGTGAGCTCGATGAAGTAGAAGCATTCTACAGGAAGGAAAATACTCAATTACAGCAGTTATCCACAGCAATTTCTCCAAATAGTTCTATGTCAAGTAAAACATTTTTATAATTTGATAATTGAAGTTACTTTTAGATTGCAATTATTGCAATCTATATTAATAATTTCTTATATTCTGCATAGTATCTTGTACTTGGGCAATATGAGCAAGTGAAATCTTTTTTCTCAGGCAGACAAGAAGTAATCGTTGGACCGCCGACAACAGCAGTAATTGGCAATTCGGTTCCTTGAAAAAGTAACTTCAAGCACAGCAAACTATATGATATTTATTACTGATATATTTTGAGGGATTTCCTGCAAATTTTGATGTGTTCATAATTACTGAGCAGTGCCTTATTGCATTCATATAGTGATATTCATTCATACGTCTAGAAGCATTAATTACTCTTAATACATGAGCTTAACTTCAATTCACTTCGCTCAAGAAATGTCAAGAATAAATGAACTGTATGGTTTATTAAGTCACTTTGAATATATGATTGCCGTTTTTCTCACATAAAATACAGAATCAGATGAACTAACATTATTGCGCTTGTTCATCTTTTTTTCTCTATTCATATTTTTTTCTTCCCTTTCCGTTCTTTGCATTTTTACTTACACTATATTATTTGGATAGTGTTAAGCTTATGTTCAGTTGTTGATTCCTTATTGTTCCTTGAGCTCGAGAGAGATAGATAGATAGATTGCAATTCAGAGGGGAGGAGTTTGCTTATTGGGCAATCTTTTTAATATAATGAGTTAATTATGTAATTTTTAGTAAACGGATTCCTATAAAAAGTGAGATAGGCAACTTACTCTGTACAGAGTATCTTTGTTCATTTGATTTAAAAGTTGATCGTAATTAGAAGGTTTGGAACATTTGAACTCTTGAGGAAGAAAAGGAAGTTAGATGTTTTCGGGATTATGTAAGTTATTAATCGTCGCCCTTCTTTCACTTTTTCTCTTTTTCTCCTGCCCATTTTACCTTATCGAAAATTCTTATAAATATGTCGTTGTTATAGGCGCTGGAATGCTACGATAATTTGACATTTTTTTCGATAATCTTTATCAAAAGTGATAACTATTTGTTGGGGTTTTATTGCTGGACGCTAAGTATGTTACTTTAAATAAATGTTTCTCTTTATATTCCACAGAAGTTAGCAAACAATTCATACTTTGGTTGATATATTTCGGAGATCAGCAGATAAATTTCGACTGCCATGAAGTTTCGAGATAAAACGGAAATGATGATGCGTGGATAGAGGTTTGTTTAGTTGCAGGAAATGTTTTTTGGATGTGAAATGAAGAATTTATTCTTGAAAATTATCGAGAACTGAATCTGTTAATTCAGATTTTAGATTCTCATGTTTATTGTTTGCCTCTTCCCATCGATCTTCCCATACTTGGAGTGATGTAGATTACGCTGGATTTTGACGTAGTATTATGAATTGCTAGGCAGAGTACTGGACATTATGTAGGTTATTTATATTATATGGTTATTCTTGTTTGCGATAGATATTCCGACATTAAGCAAAGGAATACGATTCTGTTTTTTCAAAAGTAGTAAAAATATTGCTGAATTTGAGGTTAAATACAATGTAATATCAGTAAATTGTTTCCTGTTATTATTCCTCGATGATCATTATACTCCTAAATAGTGCTAAGATTTCTGATTGGTAATTGGAGAACGAAATATGGACTGAGAAGCAAAAATGCGTGCAAGGATCCTATATATAATACACATGTTTATATACATATGTATGTGTGTGTGTGTGAATTTATTCCTATAAACCATGAGAATCTGAAGTAACAGTAAAACAATTCTTATAATGTATTTTTAGCCTTAACAATGCATTAATTTTGTGAGGTTTTTTCCGCAATAACTGTCATTTATTTTTCTATTATTAGAAATTCAAAATGTTGGATTTTCTTGTTGATAAACTTGCAGTGATGGAGAATGGTCACTATAAATAGTGGCTTGATTATTATTACTATCATTATTAATAAGGTGTGTTATGATGCTATCAGCATGTGATCTACTCCCAGGACCTTCACACGAAAATGAAGATGAAAGCGGTATTTGGCAATCAACTACGGATGGCGGTACATTGGCACATAACACCGCGTGGCGTAATACTTCTCCCGCAGCTACCGCTACGTTCGTTTTTCATCTTTTTTTTATTGTTAATAACGCATTATGTTACAATCCTTAATAATCATTCTTTAATTCATACTATTTCGATGTCACTTTTTTATGGATAAAAAGATAACTTGAAAGATGAAAAGCTGGAAGAATTGGGTATGGTTAAAAGAAAAAAACGAGGAGAATTAGAGAAGAAAAGCACTTTAACTGAATTAGATCTGTTTGTGTGAATAATATGTATTTATATGAAGAAACATAGATGAGGTAAGCTAAGATCAAAAGAATCAAATAATTAAATTGTATTAACTTATATTTAAATTCAGATGAATAACAATTTATTTGCTTTAATAGCCTTTCGATGAAGATTAAAGGAAAGAATTAGTATTTCATAAAGATTGTTGAATAACTGTCAGTATATCAAATTGATAAAGTTACTGCTTACTTTTTTAGAAATTAAAGCAGTAAAATATGAAAGAGAAGTGGAAATGTAATGATCACTTGAAATACTCATATATATATATATACTACTATTGTAGGCTGGAATATATTCTTATGGCACCAACTTCGGCCGCAATACCATTACATGAGCAACCAGTAACATTTCTCAATCAGAATCGACCGTATGAAATTAAATGTCGTAAATGTGCATTTGAGCCATGTTCAGATAGACAAGAATCATGCTACAGGGTAAATAAAAACATTTAGATCTCTAAATTCCGGATTTGTGACCATCTAAAGTTGACTATGTTAGCTTCTTATTTTCTTCATATCTTCATGACTTAACATCTTATCTATCTTCTCGATGTAATTTTTAGCTTCAAAATTAACAAGCATGAAAGATTATTTCATTTACTTGTTCGTTAGGAACTTATCCCGTTCGTTCACATTTTTTTTTACAAAAGCTCCACCTTTTTCGAAGAAAAAAATTTTTGAATTTTGTTAGAATAATGGACTTATTTTAACTATGTCTAGACAGTGATAACCATTTGTTTCGATAACAAGAAGTTGCGTTATCAGATGAATGATTTAATGGAAATATGGAAGACGAAAAATCCAGGAAAACGTTTCTTCACATTAGGCGAGTTCAATATGAATATCATTTAGAACAAAGTCAGTAGATATTAGTAACGCAAGGATTAAATTGCATGTTAGATGTAAGGAATGGAAATTTTAGACAAGTTTAGAGTAATTTCCATGATCGAACTCTAACTGTTATTTAGATATGCCACGCTGTTCAAATGTGTCGCACGTCAAGTATGCATTGCGTTCAGCTGAATTTGTATGGGATGGTTCGCTACCGAATGCTGCTGTGTTTATTAAATTTTTCGTTTTAAGCTCCGATTTTGTCGGTAAAAATTCCTGCTAAGTTTAACTTCCTCTATAAATATAATAAATTTTATGCTACTTATTAGTGTACCGTAGTATCAAAGTATTCATAAACTCTGGAACCAGTGGAGTAGTCTAGAATGATTAGTGATTATTGCATACTTTCTAAATCACAGTTCATTGCGATTATTTTTCGACAGCTTAACCATCGAACAAATTTAACAAAAAATTTTGTCTGGCATACATACTTAACTATATTTGTGACATTTTTTTGTGTCATTTAAAAGAGGGGCCTGATCGGATTACGAAATGTTTTGGCCAATTTCGTTATATTCTCATCACGCAGTGATCGTTATGCAAGGCTCTCCTTTATTTTCTTCTTTATTTTTATCCACTTAACCCATACAATGCAGATAAACCGAGCCTTTCTTAAATAAAAAAATTAGTTTGACAGAAGAATTATTGCAGTCTAAATTAATGTTTGGTCTTTTTCTTTTCTCCCACTTTTGATTTAATTTTAAAATGTACGAATTAGGTAATAGTTGCAGATAGCTGTGGTGAAAAGGGCGAACCATTTCGGCTCGTTTTCCAAACTTATTGTTGGAGATCATCGGAGCTTTTACAACAAAATAGTTCGCTAATTCAAATTTTCAAGGTTAATCTTTTTGCGATGATAAACGATCCTAAATATATGACGCTGAGATGAATTAAATTTAGCATATCCTACATTATAGCTTCGCGGCGCCGAAAGGAAAAGAAGAACAGAACGGAAGAAAGCAACAATGCATGCGAACCAAGTAGATACTCTTTCTTATTTCCTTGTTATATTTTCAAATGAAGCAAATTAGAGCAGTAAATAATGGTTTAATTTTGTTTAAGAAAGATGCGTTAAAATTTTAAGTAAAACTGTAGTAGTATACTGGAACAGGTTAAATTTAGGCAGTACAAGTCAGCATACTTTTTAAAGTTTCTTTAATGTGAACCTATGTCTGTCGAAATTAAATATAGTATGTTAAGGACAGTATTATCCAATGAAAGCGAATCTTAAAAGTCTTTAAAGCGTATTAATTTTTCAAATATTGTACAAAGTTGCAGGAGCAATACCAGCCATCATATGATTACACCTTTTTGTTGGGTGCAGATTTTGATTATGATGTAGATAATGAAGGAAGAGTAACTCCCACCGAACAAGTCGACTATATTGGGGCTTCTTTGGGAAGGAGTAGACTTCTACGCGTTCCAACTGCGTTAGATGATATGGAACAAGTGATAGCGAAAAGGCATTGTAGCCAGTCAGTGGATAGTAATTATTCGCGAGAGAACTCAGTAACTGAAACAGATGTCACTGAAGTGCGTATTTGTGTTAATCATTCGGCAGCTTTCGTAGCGAAATGGCTTAAATCGCATCGTTTCATCAACTGCGCTCATATTTTTGACAATTACAACGGTTTAAATTTAATTTTAAATTGCTTTGTTCATATTCATTACTTGTTTTAAAATATTTCATAATTTACAGTAACAAAAAAGTAGGCATTCCTGGAGAAAGTGCGATTTGCTTCCTTGGCCAAAGAAATTTGACAGAACCTCGTACCTGGGTATAATCTATGTCTCTTATATTGCGAGCTGAATTTTTTCGTCAATATATGAACTAAGGATGCTCGAATGGTTTACTTTTAGATTCAAAAACACTTCGTGAGAAGATATAATTTTTCATATGCTTTCTTATATTTTCTCAAAACAAGTAATTTAGTAAGGACTAATAACTTTCAATTAAAACAAAGTTATATTGTAGGAGAGGATATCCTTCGACTAAGCATACTCGATTTGATCTCTTTGATTGATGATAAACCCGAAGCCTTACGTTTATTCCAGGCATTACGCAAGAAGTAATGACTTTTTAAATGAATAACTGCAGTTTTGTTTGCTTTAGCTCCAGTAATTCGTTTCACTTGATCGCTTGAAAAAGTCATTTTCGTTCTTTTAAGGTCATATTGTTAAGGATGAAATAATATCTAACCTCATTTTCACTTATGATATTTTGGCAAAATATGAAATGATTTTATAAAGCACATTTAGAGCGATTGAACCACAAATAATCATATACACGGCAATAGAAGGAAGCAGCATATACAACATGGTGAAACTGTACAATGGAACTTTGGATGAGTTAAAGGAGAAAATGGAAAAAATAACCGGTATTGCAGTGAAACAAATATTCGTTCGCGGACCGCGGAACATTTTGATCCGTGTTACTGATCAGGTTGTTACGTTATTATTTTTGACTGAGGAAATGTTTAATGATGAAATGTTTCAGAATGCACTGAAAGTGTCACTAATATGAATGTCTGGTATTTTTGGATTAGAAAAAAATCAAATTTCGGAATTTAATTTATACTGCTATTGTGAGAAAACTAATAATAATTCATATGATGTGACCATTTTTTATTTTCAGGTTATTGAAAGTTGGCAAAATGAATCAATATTTCGGATAGTGCGGACAGATAATGAATGCACGTTAGTAGCAGAAACGTGAAAAAAAATTTATAAATAAATAATCTTAATACAGATTCTAAGATAGTAAAATCATTATTATTTCCATGTCTTTATTTTAAAATGTTACGTGAACTCCAACCTGTTATATTATACATTTAGTGATTGCTTGTTAGGTTATACATCTTTTATTGACTAAATATTTAATCAATCAAGACAAAATAATGTATAATGCTAGTCTTCGTTAATAATTCAAACAATTATTTTACATCTGATAAAAAATAATTTACACTTGTGAAGAAAAAAATAGATCGTATAATATTAAAACTCCTGTAAACCAATAATGTGACATTTTTGAGAATACATAATTACTCTAATGAATATTTTGATCGATAAGTATCCATGATACTATCATGGATACACACTTATCTCTATCAACATAATCTCTATCAATTTTGAAAATGATAGCTTTCTAACAGCATGCAACAGTAGCAAAATTCATAAATATTACAATAGAAACAGTAACAAATGTAGTAATAATAATAGCAATAACAATGATATATACGTAAATAATAATTGAGACCAGATTTTTTGTCAGTTTTTGTTGCTTGCAATATTGGAGAAATAATTTGAAATAAATATTTCCCTTATCAGGAAATGAAAGATTTAGTAAGTGAGAAGTTTATCTGTATTTTGTATCAGTTTTATTTAGAATTAATCTTTCCAAGAAATGGGCAATTAATATTAATGTATGCTTGAATGGTTGAACATCACTCAAGTTCAATTCAAAGAATTTAAACAATTTACGGAAAAATTTGTTCTTTTTTTCCAATTGATTAAATAATCAGTCAAATAAATCAAAAGTAAAGTTGTATAATCTGTCCGGCTGAAATGTTTTATGCTAAATCTGTGAATATTTCTTAATCTTTCTTCTGGGTCGATGCAAAGCTAATTATATACATAAAGAATCATGATTCAGTATTTCATTTCATATTAAAACTAGTGATAATACTTTGACATTTCCAAGCCTAAAAATATTTTTTTTGAAACTAGGAAACTATAATTCTTTTTGGATTAAAGCGGCAATTAATTATCAGGTAGAATTTAATTCTCATTATTTTTGATTGGAAGTAGTGATTAACATCCACTTTACATTTACATGATTCTCGTGAGATGAATAAACCATATTTGTTTCTTTTTATTTGTTTTCAACTTTGACATCCAAAAAAAAATTTGGTTGAGAACTACTACCCCTCATCCTTTGGCCCATTTTGATCAAAATTTTACAACATTGAACAAGCCCTTGGAAGCTTTAACATAGGGGATATTTGAAGGATTCGAGATGTACGAAAGACTGATGTTATTATTTTCCTACCTCTAATTATATTCACACACTCTCGGTGATAACGGTGAAAGGCATTGGAAGATTGTCTCTCTTCATTAAATGGACATGCAAGAGTGATCAGTTGTAATAAAGTTTGAAATAAACTTCAGATATTAGAAATATCTTCATTCCTATCCCCTTTTTCTCTTTCTTTTTTGATATTTTCGTGGAAAATTTTTGTTATCATTTCGAAATATTTTGAAAATCATCAGTTTCACATCATTTGATGGAATATCTCGATAGGGCCTATAGTCTTCTTCATATAACTAATATTAACATAAATATATTCGCTACAGAATATGGAAGTTATGAGCTGTGTGACATGCGCCCTAAGAAACGTAGTAATCATCCATCAATCATGAACGATGTATAGACGAATTAAAAGGAAATAGTAACAGTAATATCAGCAAGTGAACACTAATATCTGTCATTAAGAATTCTCATCTTTCCTCACCCTTCCCCCTATCTTTTTGCTATCACCTCTAGGAATCTCCCACATCGCTCAGTTATACGTTATCCCTTCAGATACAAGTGCACGTATCGAGTAAAATATACAATTTGAATTTGTACGTTCCTCTCATACACTACATCTTTAACATCCTCTCTCCTACAGTAGATATTATCTCATCCCACCTTATTCAATCAATATCAAACATTTTCTCATTTTCGAAATTGCACATACGCGACATAAGCGCCATTACCTACCGAATGCTTATGAATGATTTGAAAAAAAATTCGAAAAGGAAAAGTTCATTTTTGAAATGATAAAAAGAATAATATCGTCATTAAAATGAATAAGTACTTCTTGCATAATTCAGAAAAGCACGAAAATATTCAGAAAAACGAACTTTTAAACGGAGCTGAAAGATCTGTCTTCTGCTTCATTAGCTGTCACTTTTGACAGGAATACGTTTTGATGGTGCAAGTATCGGTGTAGAATCGAGCGACTTGTTCAATTTCGAGCAAGAAAATCCTAGTAATTAATACGAGCAGATTTTTATCCGAATTTTTATTCGATTTTCTCACTTCCTCAGCAAATTCTTCAATTTCTCGCATAGTTAAGAAAAAATAAAAAATATCTGATAATTTCATCCAATATTTAATGGAAATACTTGACACCCTCGAACGTCGACAGAAATACTTCCGTATGCAAATGGTATTCATGTTGATAGATTGTTACATCATTTCATGATGTCATTAATTAAGGTAACTTAGACATTATTGGAATTCAAATAATGAGAAGTCTCCTCTTAAAAAAATGTTTATTCTTCCTCTCAAAATTATTCCTACCTTCCCACCCTTTCATTTATAATTTATTATACTGGTTATATAAATTTGAATCACGAGTTTAAACTTAATTTTAATTGTTCGGAAGTTCAAAAAGCCTACAGAAAACGTTAGTCACAACTTCACTTGGGAAAAATTCTTCCAAAGATTCTAATATTTTTTTAAGTTTCTAAAATTACTTTTTGAATATAATGAGCAGCTTGGATGAAATAATCTAAATCAAGTTGAAACAATGCAGACATTTTTAAGATGACAGTTATTTAAAATAATGAAGCGTATAAGTATCGTAACGTTGCTACATATTCGGTCAAAATCAAATGCGCTACCTCAATTGCAAACATTATCGACCACTGTACAGTACCAGATATTTGTTGTTTTTAAGGATATCTTTATTGACCTCCTTAAGGTCTAACAACTTGAAATCACAATGAATAAAAACATGAAAACAAAGTGAAAAAGCTGCCACAATGATTACAGTGTGAAAATTAAAGCATGACTAGATGACCCAATAGCAAGTAATCCCCAGTCATAGATAAATTTAGCTCAAATTTGTATTGTTAATAAGGTATGATTGGTATCAAATTAAATAGAATTGCGAGTTTAGTAACACCGCTAGTAAATTATGATGATGTAAAAATCATGAATAAGCCGCTAAGCAGCTGGATTCCTACACTACATGACAAAATCAGTGTCATAGCATCAACTGAGCATCAACTGGTGTAGTACACACAAGATCTTACTATGTTCGGGTTCAAAAGCCAATAAGCAACAGCGAACAATTTCAGATCGCTTCAAGACCTGCAAGCAAAATGTCCTGCTTTGTTTAAGAAGCAGCTAGTTTTTCAAACGCTCATTTCCTTGTAAGACTGAATTATTTTAAAAAACAGAAACCAAATGGTTTAATCAAATATTGCATTATTCAAGTTTACCTATGATAAAAGAAATAACTAAATATCTAGTTGCCAATTTGCTACTGAGCGGTTCATCCGGAATGATCTTAAAAACCATGACATTTCTATGAGAAAAGAGAATGACGCGTACTCAAAACAATATTGTGATAAAGGAGGGTATGAGAAAATAAAATAGAAAAAAATGATGGATCAGCTGGCGATTCCCTGTGCAAAAGTGCCCGAAGGAGGGCGAAACTCTTTGGGAATGAAATTCATCTGGAAAGGTGAGAACGAATACAATGCTTTTCCAATGTTTTTGCGACAATTTTCACGTCGTACACCCTCTCGGCGAAGGCAAACAATCATTTCTCCCATCTGAAAAACAAGATAATATTTACATACATGGAAATAGAACGCCAATCAATGAGCAGCATAACTGTGAAACAGCTACTAATAATTTCTGCATATATGTTACTATTTAATTAATATCAGTATCATTAGATTTATTATAAGTCTTGAATCAATCTCATACTCTATCTATAGTGAGACCATAGGTAGTTATGAGCGTGTATAGGCTTCCTATCCAGACTCACTGACCATGACAGTTTAAATAGCTTGGTTTGGTTTTCGAAGGTCTACATATGTCATTTTTCTCCTAATAAACGAAGTCTGAGAGACGAAAGTTCCAATATGTTTCGATATTTGCTATTAGCACACTGCAAATTTTCAGAAAGAAATTTGTAACAATGAACTTACAAAACAGGACAGGAACGGAATAAAATCTGCAATAACGATATCCAAAGTGAAGGACATTGAATATAATTAATTACCTGCTCAGCAGTGACACCACAGTTCTCACGTATGATTCGCCCTTCTTCATAAGTGATGGCCATCGAAGTACGGTCCTTTCCACTCTTGCAACAAAGTACTGAGATTCCATGAAGCGCAGCATTCGCAGCCATCACTAATCGGAAGATTGATATATTCTTGTTAGTCGGATTAGCCTCTACCTTCAATGGATAGAGCCGGGATGAACAGAGAAGTCAGCAAAAAAAATTGATAGTGCACTCGTGGATAGAAATCAAACATTGGAAAAAAAATTTTACGGTGGCGGTAAGTTCGGCAACAAGCTCCTCAGCAGTGTGTGATACATCCTTCAGGGTCGAAGTATAGGAAGCCAACGCTTTAACAGCAGCCAGATTTATGGACGGTTCCAATGAGCTATCGCCTGCAATTGACTGAGAGAATGTAGCTTCATGATTGATGCCCAGATTCCAGAACACCGTATTCACGCTGAATGTACAGCCCGATCGAAGAGGTTCCGACAAATTCTAGAAAATTATTATAAAGCACTGACAGAAATGAAAAAAATTCCTTGAAATTTGATTCATATGAATTACAAGAATTCAGCATGCAAAAATGTGTACAAGATATTAATAGAAAACCTGATGTACACTATGTGGCAAAGGCACTTGGATGATAAGTTTTGAGCGGTCGCCACTAACCGTTGGTACGCAAACCGATGCAACGGATGAGGTAGCATGAAGAAATTTGAATAAAACTCGGTCGTGTAAGGATGCCCAACATTCCCTTGCATCTTCCATCATGCCTCGCTCGTCCCCGTAACAAGACAAGAAGGAAAATACCTGAAAAGTAAAAGGAAAAACAGTTATTTAGCAAAAGCTGTGCATCAATTAGCCTTATTCCTTATTCCTGAGAAATAAAAGTTGAAACATTCACAGTGACAAGTGGAGCAATAGTGGACCAATCTGGCAGTTCTGCTGATTCCTGCTCCAAAAGAGCTAGTAATCCAGTTGTCACTATGGTAACTGCTTGAGACAACACCAGATCACTTCTTAGTTGGATATGAAAATAGAGTTGGCAGTCACTGGACTTTCTTAATGCCAAAACCAAGCCTGTAAACGTAAATATTTCAACAAATCAATCTAATACATTTAATATAAATACATTTAAACAATAACTCCACAAATGATTTAAAATGAGCACCTAAAAGTTGAGCATCAAGAAGGCTTTCCGTCAGCTGCAACAGTGCATCAAGAACAGAATTAAAAGTTTGCCTTGCATTATTCATGTACTCTTTCCTAGAATCCTGAAAACTTTTTAATCTGAGTTGTCTTAAAACTGAAACGGAAATTGTAAAGTTAGTGTTCGTAGTATATTTTTGTGGAAAATCCTTACTGCGGTAATGATTACCCTTAACATTTCAAAAAACATTTAGTTCAACCATTATTGGAGAACTATTACTTCATTATTGGGCACAGAATCGATAACTGCCATTTTGGTATTCAAACTGATCAGAAAAGCTTCTATTGTATCGAGCTGACTATCTAAACCATCCGGTATAACATGTCTTTCCTGGAACGGTACTAAGCAGTTTATGATACTCAATGCTAAAATGAAATTTAAACTTACAACATTATGTGCGTTATGCAATGCAAAAATACATAATTTTCTGCGGAAAAAATTTTAAACGGGAGGCAATAAATAAAAAAGCCAACCACACTGAGCCCCATTGTACTAGTTGCACTTCTCTCGAAGTGAATGGAATTTTTGTTTGAATCATGTTACAGAGAATTCAAATAAGGAGCCTTTAATTTTTTAATTTAACAGCCATATTGTGATGTGAAATCAAGCTTAGTATTCCTTAAACTATTTTTTATCATACGCAGCAAATACTTTGATAGTCCCTGTATATGTTGCAGGCAGAATCAACAAAATCTTTTACCTTTTCAAGAAATAATCGTGTGGTGGAACTTTGAGTTCGAGACCAATGAAAGAGATAATCGATCAATGTAGATACAACTGGGAAAGAGCCAATTAAATCAATCAAATTTTCATGGAGCTGAAAAATACAATTTGTGGAAAACAATTATTTTTTATAAATATGATTATTGCTCGTTCTATTAAAGCGTATTATCACAGATAATAGGATTATAAAAACAATAAATCAAACATGCTTTCTGCTTTGCTTTGCATCAAGAATACATACTTGTTTTATATCAGTCATTAATTGTATACCAGTTTTGTCCACTTTACCGAAGTCTGCAATTTGCCATTCAGTTTCGATTTTCCTTGACAGTTCACCGATCGTACATTTCGCAGCTTGCAAAACTCGACGTCTGCGGTAAAATCGGCAATCGAGGATATGATCGACTTGTTTTGGATTGTTCACTGAACTACAGAGTGAGTCACGCTGCTTTGTTAAGCCACCATGCTAAAAAACATTAATGAAAACATAATAGTTTCAATAGACTTTTACAATGTTAGTAATTCTTACCGCGAAACGAAGAGGAATGGCACTGGTAGTGCCAGCGGTGAGGTAACTATAGACATGTCCCTCAATGAAAAACTGTTGTAGATGCAAATTAGTAGGCACAGATGCGAAGGCAACACGGAACTTCTCCATGGAGGAACGAAAAGAAGGACCAGCGTAGGATTCAAGGAATTCCAACGAATTCACGAAGATCTCTTGATTGGTGGATAAATGCCTGTAAAGGAGAAATATTTGGGTCTGCAACATCTAATTGGGATTACAAGCGTAGAACCAATACAAAAAAGGAAGTTAGGTCAAGAGCAGAATCTATAGATTCTCTCTAGAGAATTCCTCTAGAGCTTACCTAAGGCAGTCGTGAACTGGATCCAGATACTCATTAGGTAAACACCACAAACGGCTCTTCAACTGTTCACTCATTTCATTACACCATTTTAGGTACAATTTCACCAGCTGTATAGGTAATGTTGTGCATAACTTGCTCTCCCACATCACTTCTTCGCACATGATCTTTCGAGAGTGCAGACTAACATTCTAAAGAGTTTCCATTATTTTTTTAACCATTTTAACCATAAAAGAAAATGAGAGAGTTAAATGGACAAAAACTATGATAAGTGACCAGACTGATCATTCGATGCGGTAGGTCAACTGTTTGATGACAGTACGTAAGAAATATTTATATTTTGAAGAGGCTTACAAATAAAAAGTAATGGGATGAAATAAAATACCTGCGATATAGAGAATTTATAAGTCTTCTTCACGGGATTAGTCAAATAAAAGGAATTCATCGAGTTGGATGCAGAAGGAGTAAAAGCATTAACGGTGCAAGTGTTAAAAAAATTATCAGCTACTTCATCGAGCTCTGCCTGAGCTATTCTATGCGAACAAGTTGACATCTAAAATAAATTACTCGTTCTCTTCTTTCAAAAGTTATATATTACTGATTGAAGCAGAAGCAAATGCTAATTGAGATGAAATCCTATATCTCTTCAGTTACTTCACTAGTCAATATTTTCCTATTTGTTCATTTCTCTCTAAGTTGATTACCTCTCTAATTTTATATAACAGTAATTTCTCTTACCTTTACCATCCACTCCTCTCGTTGCTTTTCGCTCTTTGAAAAGAATGTTACTGATCCAGAATCGAGATTCAGTACGAATGGGAATTTGCCATCTTTATCCGGAAGTGTTTCCAAATATACTTTCTCTAACACAATAATCATTGGTTCAATAGGTTCTTTGCAATAACGCACACCCAACACATTACTCCGAATCTTGAGCTACAAAATGTGCCAGTTATGAAAATAAAACATGAGATAGAATAAACTACGAGTATTCTTTTTGCACATAATTAACGTGACCGAAATAAGAAACAGGTAGGAAATTGAAAGAGAAAAAAGTCACCAGATGGGATAGAAACGAGTAATCTTAAGCAGAAAAGATGAAAGGCACAAAAGGGCGTATCTTTTAAGAACGAAGACCTTTCAATTCGTTTTCAGTTGACTTTATGCATTAATTTTGGGAAAAATTGAAAAAAAGATATTCTCTCTCTCACACAATATTTTGTCGTTTGATAGTAATAGTAGATTAGAACTGACCTCAACTTTCTTCAACGTTCCGTTGCTTTCCATTTCCATTTGATCATAGAAGTTATCGTCACTGTTAGTAGAAAACATCCATTTGTAAATATCAATAGCGTTATCATCTTCCATCTACAATTAATTTAATGGAAAAAGAGCACTCCATCTCATACATCTTAATTTCAACCGTTCACACCGTTTTACTTACTTCCCCGCGCGAATTAAGTTAAGAAGAGTTTTGTTCGGAATTATTCAGTTTTTTTTAGTGTGTGTATATTTTCCATGCATTTCAATTAGAAGTTTCAGCGATGACAGTAACAACGACGGTAATAATGATAATTTGTGCCTGCAATGCATAATATTCACGGAAACACGCTAGCACTGAGTGATCAGCCGAGACGTTGCATTAGAGCAGTATGAGCTACACCACACGTTTTGTAACTGTCACATATTCCGATTTAAATGACACGACCACCCTAGAATTCTGACAGTATAAATACTAATGAATAATTGACTAATTAATACCAGAAACGAAATGCCACAAAACTCACAAACAGCACATACATCAATATGACAATCCTATCAAAATCATGTCCGCACTTGTCGGAAATTTAACTGGAAATACTCCGTGCAGTCTAAATCGCTAAAATACGGATAAGACTATTGCAGCGTCGTAGCGAGCTTTTTCAATGTTTTCTACTATGAAAGCTTATTTCCACGTAAGCTTTCTTATGTTATATATATTTTAGTAATAAATTATATGTGATCAAAACGGTCATCTTTATTCAATGAGCAATGAGAATTGAAATTTCTTAGCAATCATAGGCTGCTGTGATATCGTAAATTAGCATCAATGTAAAATTCCCATAACAAGGCGATTTGTTCTGGAAATTTTCTTTATAATTTAGGATATGAGTCATTTGTTATTGAAAGTTTGTCTTTGGTTACAGCAAAAATTATTTATTAGCTGTTTGTAAGCTGCTTTCTTTGATTAAGTCATGAAGATGGATTTCAACCAAACTTTTTTTCTTTCTTTCTAGTGGTAGCGATGTTGGCATTGTTAGTTTTCAGCAGTTCAAATTTATTTGTAAAGGGCTGTTATGAATGATTTGAAAATAAAATCAAATGTCTGAGCTAAATGATGAACGAAAAATAGGGAAAATGCTTCATGTCAGGGTTCAACCTTGATTGGAAAATTTGAAGATCTACGGTCGAGCAGTGATATTTAAAGATTACTGGTTGACTGTTCACTTATTGGAAGACATGAAATAGAGAATAATATCCAAAAATTAAAATGAGGTTTGTTTAGTTATAACTGTGCGAGACAACTTTTCCTACCATTATTTGCGTGATTTTAGCAGCGTCGTCCGAGTTGCGAAATATCTGAAAACTTATGCAAACAAATTCAACAAATTTTGCGGGAAAACTGAGGGATAATACAGTATTAATTAACAAATTAATCGCGATCACGGTTATGTTATTATATGGTTGTTGAGATTATTTGTAGGAGTGAATCATTATGATTTTCGATTATTAAATGAAATATGAAATTTGAAGACAGCCACAATGTGCTTGATGGTAGTTTAGTGCGGCAGATTACTAATGGTCTAGTGCACACACTTAATGTACTTCTGCAAAGTATTTCTCATTCCGGAGTTAAATCTTAGAGGTGCAGCAGTTCATACCAGTAACTGAAAAACATAAACAGCGGCACAGATCATTACAATGCTTCTTCCTCTTATCTCTCATCTTACCCTTATCCTATTGAAACTTTCATAAAAACTTATAAAATCTTATTGCATGTTTATTTAGCAAAAAGATTTATTTCATTATTTTTAAATTATTGCAATAATTACATTTGCTAATTTTGGCAACAATAACAGACGGCTTCTATTCGATAACGTTGGGTTTTTTGTACTAAAAGCTTGATCAACTGTGGCTTGTTTTGGCAAATGAATGAACCGTGAAAGTTTTAGATGGTAAGAGTAGCATATTCATGATAAATTAATAATGAATTTCAGATGGTTCTACCATTGGTGATAATCTGCGCTGTGCACATACTTCCAGTTCTGGAATCTCGGCCAATTATAAGCTGCTACTTTCAGTAACTCTTATTTCTTTTGTTTCCAGAAATGCGTTCAACTTTCACTTTTAACAGTATCAGTATATTATGAACTCGCTTAAACGCTCTTAATATGACATTTAAGGGAGGGAAATCCGCCTGTAAGCTATTTCGAAGAGAATTTATGCACTCATTATAATCTGATCGGCTCCTGTACAGTTGACGACCATTATCATATCGTCCTCCCCAATATTACCACAATAATTACCATGACGAAAAGGTTGCATGGTCAACAGTCATCTCCCAAATTGTTAATAACTCTTACACCCGTCAACAACCTTATGTCACACCTCGTAAGTTTACTCTCGCATTACTTTCATCATCTTTATTTTCCATGTAGTAATAAATGCCATATTTTGATGCACCATTTGCTTCAGGTTATATTTTGTAGTTTAGAATCTCTTATCTCAGTTAAACAACTCTCGCAGATCTTTTTTGTCTGAAATCTCTCACTTCTTTGTCTTCCTTCTTTCAATTTTCCCCTCATTCTTTTTCGGGATGTTTTCTGTTTTGTTTGAGCACTATGCAGTCGCTTTATATGGTACAGTGGAAGCTTTTGGGATTTGAATTGTATTGTTATTTTCCCCGAAATGCCATCTCCAAATCTTAAAATATTAAAAGAATGAAGGAAAGGTTGGCTTTATTATTTTTCTAGACAAGAAGCAATGAACTAAGGAAAAAATTGGTAGAAGATGTAACGCAATACTTGGTGACGAACCAGGTCAACGGTTTCGACATTGATTGGGAGTTCCCGCTAGGGAGTCGGGATGCGCAACCTACGGATAGAAAAGGTCTCTCTGTCCTTATAAAAGTAAGCCCATTGCAAGGGTGCTTTTCCAGGAAGATACCTCTTTTGAAACTTAAATCAGCCAAATTGATTAATATTTTCCAATTTTTTTAGGAATTACGAGAAAGCTTCGACCAAGCTAAACCCAATCTACTGCTAAGTGTGGCAGTCGCTGCACCCTTTACAATCGCTGATAAGGCCTACGACATTAATCCATTCAACAAGTTATTCATCTATATTTAATTCTGCCTCTAGATATTAAGGCTTGATCTTCTCATCCTTAAATTTGTGCTCTATAGATTTCTGATTGTCAATGCATTGAGTGGTTAATAAATGACATATGGCAGTTAATTAAGAAAATTACAACTATGATATAATAGCAATCATTAATCAAAACATGACTGCAGATGTGATTCTATAACTGACTCTATAAGATAGACTCTATAGACCGTGTAGTGATTAAGTTTCAAGGGTGTTAAGTGTTGACTTGTAAACAAATGGATAATTTTCTTTCAGATATCTAGATTACGTTCAAATTATGAACTACGACTTCCATATGTATTCCAAGCTGGAGCCTTTCACAGGTTTCAATGCACCATTGTATCGTAAACAATATGAATTTGGAATACTCGGTAAAATGAATTCGGTTAGTTTGCAATTAATCTCTTCGTGGAAAAGCTGTGACATCAGATTTAGAATGTGACTAAAACGGTCATCATTGCAGGATTATTCGACACAACATTGGTTGAAAAGAGGTCTCTGGGCCAATAAGACCGTGTTCGGCATACCCACTTACGGACGTGGCTATACACTTCTGAACAAATACCTCCACTTTCTCTATGCTCCAGCTATCGGACATGCATTTGTTGGTGCTACTTATTCATTCGCTGAGGTATTTTTCATATAAAATCCTTATCATACTATATTTATTCATTAATGCTTGCATAAAATCCGTTCCGCATATTATAACGTGGTATGAAGCACGTCGAATGCCATAGAAACCATTTCTAGAAACCTAGAACAAACTAAGAGGTGGAATTTGCTACCTGATTAAGGTTAATCATTCAGATAACAATGATTTTTTAGGAAAGCCATGAAGGCGACATTCATTAATTATAAATCATTAACTCTGCCGGAAGAAATGTATGAATGATCTAATCAGTTTTGGATATTTTAGTAGAAAAATCCCATAGAAAGGTATATCTAAAAAAGAGTCATACTATCCGTAGTGGTCATTTTCTCTTGTCAATTGGGTCAGTTGTCAGTTGATCACTCTAACGCTTGCTCTGACAAAAGTTCTTATTTTCATTCTCTTTCGTAATATTTCAATCTTTTGAAAACTTTGGAGGTGTGTAATCTGACGGATACAAAGAATTATAAATATGTGTTTGATAAAGAGACGCGATCAGCATATATTTATGGTAGTGATCGGCAATGGTTAGGACTAGAAAATCCAATAACGATGTTTTCGAAAGCGAGCTACATGAAAGTATATAATCTTGCCGGTATTATGATATACGATCTAGCATCCGATGATTACAAGGTATTGTTTGTTACATGAGCTTATAAGATTATATTAACTTTTGTTTTATATCCATGTCTCTACTTAAGCACTTACCAAATTCTTGGTTTTTCAGGGTGTGTGTAAGCAGGGAACGTATCCATTGATAAAAGCAGCTAAAGTGGCAGCATATAATGAAAGACGAAACTGGAAAAGCGAATGAACAGAATTAATCACACAGTTATTGGAAAAGAGAGAATGATGAAAGAAATCTAGGAATGTGAAAATAATACCACGAAGAATAAAATATTCAAGTTAGTGAAGTGTACAATTTTTTGTTATTAATAAAAACAACATTACTAAAAAAGGCAGTGATGTTTTAGGGTTAGCAAAGCTTTATTATGTGCACTGTCAAAGTTTCTAATGTTATAAAGCAAATACATGTCGCTATTAAGTCAATGACTACGATGAACTTTGTCAGTAATGCTAACAGAGAAATGAGAGGAGTTTACTACGAACTTGTGACCTTTATTTGCTACCAATTAAATCAAATTACGAAATAGGAAGCTTTCAGTGCAGGTTACAGAAATTCCACCATATTTCTAAATCTCTCGTTTTTCCATGTTTGTCCTAACCCTCGTTTCGACTGACTCTCCTAACCAAAATGTGTACCAACCTTTTTAAATTTTCTGCGACATTACTAAATGACAAATTAGGATCGATTTTGTAAAATTACTCCTTATAAGAGGAAGATCGATATCAAAGCATTGCAAAGCAAGTTATATTCCTCAAAACTACCCTTTATATGTAAGCCTACCTGTATGTCTATACATCCGTGAGTAATAAAGGTTTTAAAAAAATCTCAAATTTCTATCGATATTTGAATTCGAAATCAAAAATTAGTCTCTTCATTGATTAATCGTTTAATGACATAAATGACATTAAAAAAAGTCTAATGTGGTTCTGCTTTATGTCATTGAACTTATTTTTCGAGCCTCTCATTAACAGTAATTTATTTCCTTGCTATTTATCTTTTTGCCTGTTTCATTTGCTTCGCAATAAGTCTTCCCAACTGTGCACTTTTATTTAAACTTTCCACACTTGAATCCTTTCATGGATTTTCCAGTCCGTTACAATAAGCAGGATAATGATGCACTTAACTGGTGAACTTAAGTCCTTTCATTACAAGACTAGAAGTTAAGCAGTGAATAATTCTTTTATTGTCTCAACGATTTCATCGATGATAAGTCTTTTTTCAATGATTAATATATTTGAAAGAAAAAGATATCTGAAAGAAGAGTCGAGCGTTTGGTGTGTGTTGATTGCATGACCGGATAATTCGTGACAATCGGTGCTATTTGAAAATACTTCTTGAAAATTATTCGAGAGCACCGCTTCTACAACATATTTTAAAGCAGAAAAAACATCGTCACCTGTGCAAAATGAGACAGTGCTCACTGTCAAAGGCTTGTTCTGAACAAAGAACTTACAGAATGGAATATGGCCAGCATCACAGACCCGATCGATCATCAGTCGATGCTCCTTATTTTCAACATGAAATTGGCAATTATCAATTTATGTGCCTTCTCTTCTATTCAATAACAATATTACGACTTGCTTGCATCATCAATCTCCATCTTTATTTTAATGCTGTTTGCCACCTCTATTTCCTTTGTATTTTTTAAGACGATTTCAATGAATGGGTTGAACATTATAAATAGATTTCATCAGCACTTGCAAGCAAAATCATAGCAAATAAATGGAGATGATCTACTATTTGAGTTCTCTGCTGGAGAAGCTGAAGTCTGGCCACTTCCCAGTGTAGAACAAACTTACTGCCTAAATATGAGACCAGCTACTAGTTGACAAGAATAGTGCAGCACATTGAGGCAATTATCCAATAATTATCCAGTACTTCAATCAGCTAATTAGTTTTCATTTCATTATATCATACTGAAGTAATTCGTTAAGAATGAAACGCGAACCGATCTTTGGTGGCACAATTAATCATCTCCCAAAACACCGCCTATCCTGAGCACCTTTGGAATTTATCACACTCTCGAACATCCACTCTCCTTTAACACTGCAGTTGCAATAAACCTTCCCTTATTGTGTCCTCAAGTGCTTTAAACCCTTTTCTCATCATTGGGTTAGTGCTCAAGTCGCAAAAGTAGTCTAAAAAACCGGAACATCGTAGTTGAAAAAGCTGAGTTATTGGAGATCATGGATGCTAACAATAGCTGTCAAAAATTTGGGAGACAGAAAATAATTTAGCACGTTTAGATGCATCACTAGACCATCTGAGCATAATATGATATACGTTTCTTGTAAATGCAGAGAAGATATTTCAGAGAATGGCAGGTGATGATGGGTCAAGCAAAGAATCAACGTTACGAGTGGCGAAAATGAACGGTAGTACAACATTAGATGGCTTGAAAGAGGTAAATATACCGGTGACTTTTAAGCTACCTCCTTTCAACGATGGCGAAGAAACGGAAACGAGTGAAGATGATGAAATTGCGTAGGTTACTTGATATATTTAGATATAAGTTATTCATTCAAAATATCTAGCGTGGTGCTACTCATACTCTGAGAGATTTTATAAAAGGTGAGATCAAAATAAACTGAGGGGATAATATCCTGATCCCTGCGTCCTCAAAAGTAAGATTTCCTGTATACTCTTCCTGTCTGTTCTACTCTATTAAAGAGAGTGGGATGTTTATGTTATTGATATAATATGATCCTAGAATATGTTACACCTAATCTTCTTTTGAAATGAATAAGCGGAGTATGTGCAAGGCGTTCATTTTGGTTTGCTAAGTTCTCTCCTAAATTCATCTTATAGGAGCAACAAACGTTGTTGACATTTGTTCAATTTTGAGGAAATGTTAGAGCGATAAGCGGAGCCAAGTAGTGATAACTAAATCATGAGCAAACAAAACACTTGCCCGTGTACTAATAGTTTGTATGTATTATCTTTACATATGGAAAAATTTGAGAAGCACTGAAAATACATTTAAATTCCACTGTTCTCATTATCATTCTTTTTTGCATTCTTCTTACTTTACGTCGGAGCTAATTTTTTTGCGTGACACAAAACCAAACAAGCGGTCTCTTCAGATATTTTTTTAACGTTTCCAGTCTCTTAAATTTCACATGACATAATAAATCGCTTCCATATTCACACATCGTAATGCTCCTTAAAACTCTTCAATCTTATCATAGCTCAATTCAGTTAACGATTAATACATGCAGATCGAAACCCTTAACCAAAATAAATAATGTCCGATATTATTGAAAAATTCCTTATCAGTTCTAATAAATGTTGAAATTTAAAATGAAGCAGCAAATATGTCAAGTTTAGATTTAAGGAGAGTGCAAATAAGTCATTAAAGCGCGCTAACATGTAATTGCTTTTCTTTATTATTCTCGTTGGTCATATATATTCCAGATTAACTTGTCCTCATACCGATCATACAACAACAGAGCAATTACTTGATAGGAAGGCAACTCTTTCGCATAACAGTTACGGTGTGTCTTCCATCGGGATCATGCTTTCGCATCCATCTCTTTTACTGAATAGGAATCCAAAACGAGTGAGTAAATTTTATCGAAAGCAGTCGGACCTGATGGAGAATTTCAAGAAGGATAGCACCGCCATCGAAGTTCGTTTCTTGACTTTCATTAATTTTTCAACATCCATAGAGACTTATTAGCAGGTTCCAAAAAAGAACTTGTAGTAAAATTTGTCTTGGGTTGCTTGTGGCCTTTACAGTTCATTTAGTGATTCAAGTGATTTACTTAAATTGATCAGTTCTCAATTTATCTCCTATAATGCGACTCACTTGTTACTTTAATGACCCTAAGAGTTTATTAGAATTTTTGATTTGCTTTTTTTTTCGTTCCCTAATTTTTTATATTTTCTTTTAATTTACTTTTTCTGTTCTTTCCTTCAGGAACATCGACGACGGAGACAAAAAATGCCAAATTCAGAAAAGAATACCGAAGATTGCATCGAATCCAAAATGATGTTATTTGGAAGAGATTCCAGTCCTGAAAAAATATTCCTGGAGAGTTCTTCAACAGACGGTGAACATAAGACGCCTGAAGTGAAAATCAAAAAAAAGAGGTACATTAATGAAGTTATTTCAAAAACTTCTTTAGTTTTATTGCTTCAGCATCTCATTTTTCCTTGAATAACGAAGTTTTTTTAGAGTACAATCTCCAACAAATGTATCGGCAGACAAGGCGGCGCACTGGTTGGCCATGACTACTCTTATCGTTAACATTTCATTAGCCATCGCTAAGGTTACTATTTGATCCATAATATTATCATTTATTAACATTTTGATCAATTCTTCCTGTGTATCTCCAACTATCTGGATGACCACCTTCCAACGGCAGTTATTCACTGTTAGTTACAGACTGCAGCAGCATATCTCTCGGGTTCACTATCAATAATCTCTTCTCTAGTTGATTCAGCTGTCGATATAACTTCGGGTTTAGTGATTTGGTTAACGGCTCGTGCCATTAAAAAGCGAGATCCATACATGTATCCTAGAGGGAGGACACGTTTGGAACCTATTGCTTTGGTTAGTTCCATCATATCATTATTTCTTTTTGTCATTTATTATACCGTTCTTCAGGGAAAAAAGGGTTTCTCAGTCAATCAAGCTAATTCCTATCTTTTTGCGCTCTGATTCTTAGATTAATCACCGTTGATTGTCAGTTGGAATCGTTTGACGGTTCATTTCCTAATCCAGCTTTTCTGCAGATTTGAAAATTCTAATAGAAGACATTTATAGATAATTGTAAGTGTTATAATGGGAGTAGCATCAGTTCAAATGATAGTGCAGTCGCTAGAATCAGTTATTCATGATACGATTAATCCAAGAGTGGATATTGTTTCGTTATTCATTATGGTTGCTATTATATTCATCAAATTTGCTCTTATGCTTCTGTGTAAGAAGTTAGTATACTTTTTTAGAACTTTCACATCAACTTAAATCGAATTAGAATTATGATATTTGGCACTGTAGTCATGCAGTCATTCTTATCATGCAATCACGCTTCTGTTGTACATTCCATTCAGTGACTGGGTAATCTATTATTTGTTCATGGGTGGCAAGGTATTAAGAAAAATACATGGATTGTCTGATTTTTTTAAGGTTTGATTATAATTCTTCAGTGGCAGTGCTGGCGCAGGATCACTGGAATGACTGTATAGCCAATACAGTCGCCATAGTGAGTTTTTAATAGTTTGTTCAGATTTCATGCTTGTATTTATTTTTTGTTTCAGATTTCATGCTTGTATTTATTTTTTTTTAAATCTAGAGGTCAGGTAATTACTGTTTTTATTCCTTCCTCAAAACACTTTCTCTGCTCAGTTATTATGGATATTGCAGATATGTGCTTGGATCGCATCAAATTATTGGATGTATTTTGATCCAATCGGTGCCATTGCTGTGTCCATATATATTGCTACTACTTGGTTTTTCACAGGAAAGGAACATTTAGCGATGCTTTCTGGCAAGTCAGCTGAACCAGAGTTCATTAATCGTATCGTGAAGGTCGTTTTTCCCATTATAATCAGTCCATCATTGTTTGCGTGCCCAAATATGATTATGGATAAGGATAAATTGACATGATAGGCTTAAGAAACTGATCAACGATTGATTAAATCATTTTTTTAACCAATCAGTCTGTAAGGCTATCGTATTTGCGAGCAAGTGAAGTGTAATTCAAGTTTTTGAACATACAGGTATGTGTAGAGCACGACAAACGAATCGATTATATCGAAACTGTTTACGTATATCATTTCGGTACACGTTTTCTAGTGGAAGTTCACATTGTGATGAATCCAGATATGACACTTCGCGAGTCGCACGACATTAGCGAAGCGCTACAGACAAGTATCGAAAGTTTGGCGGAAGTAGAAAGAGCTTTCGTCCACTGTGACTACGAATATGATCATCTGCCTGCTGATGAACATAAAGTTGTGTAAAGATCGGTTGCTGCTTGCGCTTTTGCTTAACCAATACGGATAAGCCATTTCATAGCTCAGTCACCTATTATTTATATGACATATCTATAGCAAGTTGGGTTGAACTGATAATAATTCTCTCGGTGTGATTAAATGCAGCAACATCTGAACCTAAAATCTTAATTTTTTTAAAACAGTTTTAAGCGAATGCAAACAATATTTAAACCACTGAATTTTCTATGGATTATAGTTTTTTTTTGCTTCTGTTTACTCAAACGAGTGCATACACCATTTAAACCAGTGAATTTTCTATGGATTATAGTTTGTTTTTCCTTGCTTCTGTATAGTCAGACGAGTACATACATATACCATTTAAACCAGTGAACTTTCTGTGGATTATAGTTTGTTTTTCTTTGCTTCTGTATAGTCAGACGAGTATATACATATACCATTTAAACCAGTGAACTTTCTGTGCGTTATTGCTTTTGTTCATTCAGACGAGTACACCAGTAAACTTTCTGTGCATTATAGTTTGTTTTTTGCTTCTTCACTCAGATTTCATTTGCATAATAATCAGCCAAATTATCGAGCATTTTTTTAATTCCTATTAAGTTACAGTTGAAAGTTTCACATTGTGTTAACAATAATTTGCCTTGTTATCCGAGTTTGAAATATGTTTACATACTATCAAAGTGATATCTGGATTGTTGATATTTGATATCTAAAGTGTCGATATTTTAGAATTATGTGATGTAGTTCTGATGTCATTTTTCGCACGCTTTTGTCACATGGAAATAGTAATGTATATAATTATTTCACCGTCTGATAAGTTTGCGGTAATTTGAAGATGTCTTTTTTAAAGCAATTTTACTAATGATATTTTGTAATCCGTTATCTATTCGAACAAACAATAAGTTTCGTAACTATATAAATATCAATCGAAGCAATCAAGATTTCCCGCATTATATGTTTGTTTTATTCTGTTAGGCAATTTATGAGTATATCATAAGTATGTGCTAAAACATGACCTATTTCTGAGAATGCTATTTACCTTTCAACTGCAGCACATTGCAAATTATATATCAGTTTCCATTATTACATTCATTTATATTTCCCAAAGCATATACTCATTTTCATAATACATGTTTAGAAATTCTTATCATATACTTATGTAAAAAGTATTCGTTATAAAAGGATTTTCTGAAAGTAAAGCTTCCTTTGTGCAATACAGTTGTACTAGTCGTTTTCTGTTTTTTATAGAAATTTCTTCATAAATGCTATTATTATAAAACATTTACATTAACTGTTTGGATCATTTTCAAACTGTAAATCTGAGAGAAGTCCAATTTTGTCAACACCTCATTACACCGGTAATTATTTCCACGTCATCATTAACTGTTTTAACTGAGAATTAGTTGCCGTCATTTGTGGAGTACTGCAATATTCAGTGTAATCCGGCAAGAATAATCTAATTGAGAGAAATATCGTGTAACAAAATGATATTTTAACAGATCTTCATCGCCCCAGCGATTGCTACATTTCTGACAACATGAAGTTACTTCGACGTTTTAGCGTGAAGATAACTTGTTGATGAATATATCTGACGGAGTCATTGTTACATTATTTCATAAAAGGACGAAGGATAATGAGCGACATTCACGCAGCACTTATGTGAATATAATTTTTCCATTCTTAACTTAATTTAAATCTTAGCATTTAAATCTTGAATATATATAATTTAAATCTTAAATATATGCCATCATTTTAATTTGATTTATGCGAAATGACTCGTACTTATATTCATCATTCGTACTTATATATTTACCATAAGTAACGGACTTTATCTTGATATTAATTGAAGATCTAATATCACACGAAATTCGTTTTTATCTGAAATTCGATATATTCTTCCATTAGGGAGAACTGATAGAAGAATGGAAAAGTTTAAATATGCAGCTATCACTAGCATTATTTCTGTATAAATTGTCCATTGTATAGATTATACATTCAAAATATTTAGATATAGTGCTATTCATATTCTGAGAGATCTTAAAACCAATGACATAAGGATGAAGCGAAGGGATAATATTCTGATCCTTACATCCTCCAAGATAAAACTTCTTGCATACTTTTCCTATCTTCTTGAGTCCATTAAAAGGAATGAAATGTGTAGTGCATTATTGCTATAATGAAGTAAATTTGAAATAAATCCCACAAGAGGACAGATTTATTTATTTGCATAAATTATCAATACCGGTTAAAACTCCTAAGATCAAGTAAGTATATGGTTAGCATATTACACAATTACCCATTGAAATAACATATGGCCATACCGTATTTTTAAATCCGAATCAATTATCAGTCTTCGCATTTTTTTTAGTTAACCTGTTGTAGATGCTTTATACCATGAAATTCAATCATTCTGCATTGACGTAGGCTCTCAAGTATCATGGCCAGATTTTTTTAGAAGTCTTAACTCGAAATACTCACTAGATCGTAGGCTAATATGATATACAGCAATACAGTGTGTGTTACAATTGAGTTGTAGGATGTTCTGAATGGTGGCCACAACCTGCTCTAAAACGCGAGAAATCGAGGAAGACGTGGAACAATCCCCTCTAATGCGTCAGGGGGGAATCGAACCCCCGTCGATTGCTTGGAAGGCAACCATGCTGACCATTACACCACTGACGCGCGTATTGGATTCTGATTACACATCTCAATAGTTAATTTCAAGTTATACTTGAATTTGCAATAATAGTGAATTTCCTAAAATATTTCAGGGGTGAATGAATGACTTACTTGAATGACAGCAATGACAGACGAAAATGAAATGTTACATCTGTTGAAAATGATCTTAATTGGTTTTATCAGGTATAACCGAAACAACTACAGCAACAACATCACCGAACAATTCTGAAGTCGAAGTTTTATCTAAAAATGCAATGCGCACTTGTTGAAACGACACAATGCGCTCTTGTTGATTTGTTCCTTTTGTGACATCTTTTTCATCTGTCACTGATTTTCTTCGTCTATCCAAAACATATGGCACCTAAAACATACACAGCTATGTAAACCAAATATCAAGTGGCAATAAATACTGATAGAAAACAATCCTTCTATTGTACATGCAGAGCCAATTATCACAATCAATAAATCGTTCTTCTGAATAAATCATTAGTTTTGATTGTCTGATCTTTAACTTCCAGAAACTCGCCATCATCCTTATTACTTTTGAGAATTGATAAAACAATAAGTGAATTGAACAATTTCCTGACACCTTTCTTACCTTATACAAGATAGTGCTAAATAGAACAACATTAAGTTCATATTAGTTTCAGTAACAAAAAGGTATGGCCGTTGATGATAATAAAAAGACATTTCCGGAATCAAATGGGTTATTGGAATTTGACTGCTTGGCAACAATAAGGCGGCAATTCACGCCTTAACCAATCCTTAAAAAGCGGAAATATTTCGCCTCTGGAAGAATTTTAAAAGCTTAATCGAGCAGACTCAAATTGCTATTACACTCTAAATTTTCTCCTGCAATCCTTCTATTTATGTCAAAATTTCCACAAATATCGCATCAGTTAACCTTTCTATTTGTAAATTTATGTAAAAGGTTAAAAAGGTATAAAGTCAAAATTTATATTCAAATACTTTTAATGCATAAATAATTTAACATTCTGCTAAGTTCAAAGTTGCTTGACGAAATGCTATTAGATTCTTTGCAGAAGGATATATTTCATACTTATTTTTTCAAGTATTCCATATCACCGATTATTATCTATACAATTGATCTCTTTCTTTTCTCACAACTGGTACTATTAATTAATGGAAACAACGTCGCTTTGATGTAATAATCATATAATAATTTAATCGCCTTTGATCGGTTGATTTTTTTGTTTTGATATGTATACTTTATACTGTTATTGCATATCAGAATAACAGTATAAACTCGGTAACAGTACTACTCGGTATTTTATCTTTCCTTTCTCACTTCTAGTTGGAGTGAAAAGAAAAATTAAAAGTATTTGAACGCGAATAATTGCAGTTTAAGTCTGCTCGTTTACCAGAGGTGAAATATTTTCGCTTTTTAAGAATTAGCTAAGGCGTTGAACTGCTGCCTTGTTGTTGCCAAGCAGTTAAATTCCAATAACCCATTTGATTATGTTTTAGGTGTCATATGTTTTGGGTGGAGGAAGAAAGAAAATCGGTGAGAGATGAAAAAGATGTCATACAGGGAACAAATCAACAAGTAAGTGCGCATTGCACCTTTTCTATCCAGGTCTACCTGATATAAGGCTAATTAAGATCATTTCAATAGATATCATCAGAATACTTAATTATGTACGTACTTCTATAAATGACTTGCTTTCATTGACGATACCGTGGGAATCTATTACGATTAAGAATGAAGGGATAATGGAGATAGTAGGAAGATTAATGAATAATTGGACATTAGCAGGTAGTGTCGAGTGATAGCATAGAATCTACCGCGGAGCATAGAGAGCACACAGAACGGTGTTTGGTAATTCCACACTGGTCAGTACCTAAATGGTTGCAACATTTCATTTTCGTCTGTCATTGTTGTCATTCAAGTAAGTCACTCATTCATCCCTGAAATATCTTAGGAAATTCATTCTATGAAATCATGTTTGATTATTAGTGCAAGCACAAAATCTGGATGTCAAATTCAGATATAAACAAACAGAGTTCATCAGGAAGGGTCACGGCAGAACGAATGATCTCGGAGATCACTCCATCCATGGGAATTCCAAGATTACTGATTAAATTCAGTTGCCGTACCCACATAATTTTCCTTTACACCTAATTTACTTCATAAAAATATTTAAAATTATTGGCAATTACAATTACACCATTTTATTGTAGTATCATCACGTAATTCGCCAAAAGATCAGTCAGCAATGAAATGGGAAACAAACGGGAATCGTTCGCTAACAACTTCCGTGCAGAAAAGAAACAGAATAGTACCATTTCACCTCAAATAAGTGTTTTATATTTTATTCTCATAATTTTTCAGCCGATATATCTTTAACACAAAAAAATCAATTCCGTTGAACCCACCCGATTATTTAAAATCATTCCATTTCCCGGTATTCAGTCTTACTCCGTAAATTTTCTTAATATCTTCAGGATTTGCCAGCGTCATTTGGAGTTAGAGCCTTTATGTTGTTTATCTTCCTGTCTTATCCGTGGTGGTTGTACGGCTGTTGCTATTTTCGAATACATTTACGTTGTCTTTACACTTGTTGCAATTATAATACGTTTGCATAGCGGTGGACTTTCTCAGTGAGTTAATTATTATTGCAAATTCAAGTTGAAATTAAGTATTGAGATGTGTAATCAGAATCCAGTAGGCGCGTCAGTGGTGTAATGGTCAGCATGGTTGCCTTCCAAGCAATCGACGGGGGTTCGATTCCCCCCTGACGCATCAGAGGAGATTGTTCCACGTCTTCCTCGATTTCCCGCTTTTTTAGAAAAGAGATGTTGCAGGTTGTGGCCACCATTCAGAACATCCTACAACTCAATTGTAACACACACTGTATTGCTGTATATCATATTAGCCTACGATCTAGTGAGTATTTCGAGTTAAGACTTCTAAAAAAATCTGGCCATGATACTTGAGAGCCTACGTCAATGTAGAATGATTGAATTTCATGGTAAAAAGCATCTACAATAGGTTAACTAAAAAAAATGCGAAGACTGATAATTGATTTGGATTTAAAAATACGGTATGGCCATATGTTATTTCAATGGGTAATTGTGTAATATGCTAACCATATACTTACTTGATCTTAGGGAGTTTTAACCGGTATTGATAATTTATGCAAATAAATAATCATTCTCAGATAATCGTGACGATCGCCACTGGTCTTCTTCGTGCGCTCCTAACTTTCGATAAACAAATCATCCGACTGCATCTCTATTTTGATTACTTTGCATTAGCATTCAATATGATTATGTTGATACTATTTCTGCCAACCCTACTCCTACCAGATTCCGAAATTCGTAATTTCGCTAATGTATTACTGACTTTATGTTTTATCACTCAAATACCACTACAAATTTGGGCAACAACAGTGCTACGTTCATGCCTAGAATTCTTCGTTTTGGTGCATGTATTAGTTGAATTAGCGGAGAGATAATTCATATAGAAATAAAATTTCTGAAGACGATAATATTCTTTCAAAATAGAAAGCTATGATATTAATGCCTCTTTCCTATCCAATCCATTTACATTACTGAGCAAATGAGTAACATTTGCAGAACTGATCAAAGTAATATATAATGTGCTTAACGAAAATATCTTTATGCATCTGTCTTGTGGAATTTGTTTCAAATTTCAAAAAATTAAAATTAGTGTTCATCATATTTGTTTCTTTGCTTAAAAAAATCTTTTTTCCTCCTAAATTACAGAACAAAAACACTCTCTGATACATTGAATTTTTTCCAGCGAACAAAATAAGTCCCAAGTAATATTTCAGTATATCATTATATTAATGATATGTTCATCTGCGTAATTTGGCTATCAATTCATGAATAAATATTTCTACTGATAAATCTTTTGGTTTAAGGAAGTTCACCGAAAATATAATTTCACAGCTCAATATTTTGTTAACAATAAAATTGTTTGCAAAAAAATAAAACAGGACCAGTAACGGTTAGCGGTTAGTTATTGCACACAAAATATGAAGTAACTGTCATTTTTCTCTTTACAATTGATTTCTTTTTCCACCCGAAAGAAAAAATCATTTTACTGTCTACATAAAATATTCTTTAAGTGTTGCCTAAAGTTCATTTCTTCCCAACTCTCTCTCGAAATATATTTCACCATTGATTATGAAGAAATTCAAATTCAAGAAAGAACTAAACGATGACGAAAGTTACTTCTACCTTTATTCTTCCTAAGTATATCTCTTGTTATTAATACTCATCACTTATTTTGCCATCAGTAAAAGCATTACTCATCTTAGCACTGTACGTTGTAGCTAATTCTCAGTTTCATAACATGACAACATATTGGTATGATATACTCACAAATCGTTCATCACAAATCGTGAATCCAGACGGCTTCGGCTGAGTCGTGCATGCATAAGTTTACGAACCAACTCCCCTTTACGCCTTTTCAAATCGTAGCTGTAAATGGATTCCTATTCTGAAGAGCTCCTGTACGTTTTAATCTATTTGATTCTGTTGGTAGAAGAGTTTACTAAATTCCGGAAAAAAGTAAGGGAAAAAGGAAGAGATAGAGGAAAAAGAGCTATCAAATGGACTTGAATCTCATCATTAGGATGAACATAAAGTCCATTTGAAGACAGTAAATAGAAGTATGATTAATTTTGCATTATTAGTTACTATAAAAATGTTGCAAGATGGAAACGAAACCCACTAAATTTGATGTTTAACTGTTAATGGAATGTCAGCGCATATAACGGTTTTCAGTTTATCACTCAATGTCTTTTCATTCATTTCAAAAGCTTGCACTTCATTTGACAGCAGCCGCACTGAAACACGAATTGTCTATTCGATGAACTTCAAAACAAATCGTAATAAATATGTTAAGTAGAACAGATAGCTTACATTCGTTTTGTGCACTTCCAATATCCTTACGTATATCATCCATGCTGTCATCGTTACCAAATCTCTGGAACAATAAATTTCGCCAATTTCAACCAAAAAATTACTTCTTTATTAAGACATTAACAATGTCTTGTAATTGAGAATTTAGCTCGTAATTTAGCTAGCATTCAGTGACGAATAATATAGCTTCTAGCTCTATGTATTATATTTTACAATTTAAAACAGTGGAATATATTTTCGTATCCTAACTATAGATAAGAGCACTAAGCTAAGGAGATAATAAAAAATTATCACGCAAAAACAGTAAAAGCAAACCATAATACGTAACATTCCCAACGTTTCCTCATAAGTATTAACAACGCTTTTGATATCCTTCGCTGTTTCAATTTCCAGTTGCAATTCGGTAATCTGTTTTTCTGTTTCTTCGTTAATTGCGCATACTTTTTTACACATGGCATCAAATCTAAACGATTGCAAAAATTATGAAATATTGCAGAAAAAAATGATGGAAAGTAATAACCAATAAAAAAAGGAATAGCTTGCAATTTAAACAAAACAAAAGTAATGTGTGATATGACCATATGAACTGAATGATTTAAAAGACTTCCATCAATAAGTTGAAAGAAAAAAGGAAAAATCAAAGCTGAAATCTGCAGTAAACAAACGGCAAATATACTTACTTGTCGATCAGTTCAGCGTTTAGCTTTTCTATCTGAATGCATGCACATCTGTCAGCGTCCAAAGTGGCAATTTTTATTCTATTAGCAGTTATCTTCGCTCGTCCTGCAAGCAATAAAGCTTACAGCACTATACCTATCAAGAATATATCCGCCAAGTATTCAATATGCTGTACTATCTAATGCAAACATGCCAAACATGCACAATCTTCTACCAACTTTAACTAGAAATGACTTCTGCGAAAATCATTTGATAATAAAATGCCACAAGTACAACAAGAATTAAAATTAACACGAAATATTATCAGCATTTGTGAAATTCATATGCAAAAATTGTCTATCAAAAGTGAAAATTTCGAAATTTAAAAAAGAAGTCAGACAAACCCTCAGCAATCTTTGATGTCAAAAAAGCCAAGCGTTTTTTCGACTCATCGAATTCTTCTTTTAAGTGAGCCATCTCTACAATAAAAATCATCAAAATAGGACTAAAAACAAATATCAGGAAAGAAGAATTTATTCCACTGATTAAGTAACTGATAAAGATCATTCCACGTCTTCTAAAAAGTTAGGATAATATAAGTTCTTTGAGAAAGATGAAATATGATAAATAATAACCTGTTTTCTTGATAGATATAGCTTTCCGTAGCTCAGCAATCAATTCGTCACTTTTCGGATCCATTCCTACAATCATCACGAAATACTTTGCAAATGAATATAACAAACCTTACAACCTCACTCCTCGTCCATTAGCACCGCTCTCTACCTCTTTGAACCACATTCCTCTAATGTAATATTGGATAGTTCAACAAATCACAATACTTGGCTCTTATGAGCCAAATATCCTGCCAGGTCATTCTGCCACAACCTGTCCAACAATAATACCCAATTACAATCATGCAATCACATTAGACATCTGCGTTGACATATCACGTCCGTAACATTATTCCAGTCATTTCTGATAGTGCAGACTTGCAGCGCAAAGAAAGCAAAAGAGAAATTAAAGCCTAATAAATAGACTGAGTAAAAAATTGTTCCATTTCCCGTTTGCACGTTTTCGACGTAACGAAAATCAGCGATGCACGCAATTATCCCTTTAATTACTTCCACGGCATCATTAGCTGTCTTTACTTAATTCAAACCATACACCTAACTTGTTATGAAGTACTGTAGTACACTTACATTAACTGTTTGAATTATTTTCAAATTGTAAATCTGAAAGAAGTCCAATTTTGTTGACAGCCTTATTACACTGGTAATTATTTCCACGGTATTTTACTTGTTTTTCGATTGCCAAACAATCAGAAATTATTGATTTTTTATGACATTATTGATTTGATGATTATTTCTCCTAAAATTTTTTGAATTGACAATTATTGACTCAATTCACCGATACGTTACGTATATTCCAAGAGAGAGTATTCTATGCCTAATTCCTTTAGTATAGCAATTCGTTTGGTAATATTATGCAAATTTCCTTCCTTACTAGAATTCATTTTTTTTTTGTTCATCATTTATTAATAAATCATTAATTATATGTAAATAGCAACGAGGAAGGAAATAGTCTGTATAGAAGATGCCAATGCATTATTTCATCTTTCAGCATAATGTTTTTTTTTCTTCAGAAGCTTAATTTTTCAGAAATCAGTTGAAACAACAACATCCGATGAATCGATGATCGATCAGTTTATAATTGAAATTTTGAAATCAATTATTGTCGGAGATTAGAGGAAGTTTAAAATGTTAATATGTGATATGATAAAAGTAAAAAATTTTGTAAAAAATTCCCTCAGTACAGTATCAAATAATTTATTATTACTAAAAAAGTTTCGCGAAATTTTTCGGGAATTTGTAGAAATAGAAATAAATTCTCTTATTTAGCAATTATATGTTAGTAATGCAAAAACAGAAATGAATTAAAAGAAAAAGATTTCAAAACAATTTTATATAATTAATTATGAGAACATATAGATTGAAAAACGAAACGAAATACAATGAAGCAGCAGTTATGGATATAATAATTCATACCAACATTTCATTTTTGCGATTCAATAATTTCATGAAAATGTGTATAAAAGCTATCTTACACCACTTATGTTATGCGGATCAACTATTTCATCATGTTTTCTCTATTGAAAATTATGTGTAGAAAAGAAATAAAGATGAATAAATAATTTTAATTAATAAGTATAGGAAAAATTTTGATCAGATGCTTATACCAAACTACTGGAATTATTTAAATAATTCTTGTTAATTCTAAATGTAATATCGACAGCACCAGATTGCAATCAGCGAGAATGCAGGAATAAATGCTAATATGTATATGATGAAAGATCACGTGTATCCAAATGCTAATAATGTAAATGATGATAGTTCACGTATATCATATTCATAATTTGTAAAGATACGCATAATAGTGGGGGCATATTATATCATAGCAAGAAATGTTTTGTATATCGAAAAATTAAGAGAAAATTATGTTCATTGCATACCAGACAATATCACCACGATAGCGAACATAAGATAGTAGAAAAGCGATAAAGATAATGATCGACTGCAAGTTTATTCAGCTTTCACAGGTAGGATCACTTCACCAGCCTGTGCTCCAGCTTTAAAAGGTGCCTGAGGATCATCTTCTTCGTCTGGTACCTCAGCCCATTGTACCACAAATTTATCTTCCTTTGGTGGTCCTTGTAGGCGCATTATTGTTAATTCAGTTTTACCACTTTTTGAAACAAATCCATATACTGGTGTGACCCGATAATGATCATTGTTCGTTGATTTTACCTATTTTATATAAACAATAAAGGTGAGCTATTAAATTTAATTATTTTATGAAAAAAAATTGAATGAAAAATTAAAGTGAAAATAAAAATTAACGAGTCTATTTATTGCATCTATTATTAAACCGTACAACTTCATGTCAATTCGAAAGCTTACGGCCAATTACTTTTCTCATTGAAGTGATCTATCAATGAATTATAGATCTTGCTGACAATGCTAAATTTTTTAAGATGATATGATATTGTATTGCTGGTTAATTCGATTGTTTCTTTCCTAATAGCTATCATTTTTAAGATCTAACAATTATTCGCTTTGAACTTTATTTCTTGAATCAGTACTTATAAATAAGTATGAAACAAAAGCTTCAATTATACATTAGGAAATCATGACCAAAAATATGAATTGACAAAAATATTACTTTGAAACCCAAACGATTCTCTGTTTGATTGAGAATCTGAACAGTAGTACTGCCACCAGCAGCGGGGAAGGTCACTTCAGGTGGGTCAATATTAAGTGCCATGAGCTATCCTTCCTTAATCTTTTTCGTCCTATAACTGAATTTACAAAATGAGCCTTGCAAACTCGGCAATTAAACCGTACAACTGAAAAATTCAAAATGATGAATACATTTATGTTAGCACCCTTTTATACGGATTTCTTAAATAGGCTTATGAACCATTTTTTGATATGCAATATTAGTTATTTCCAGCATTCCTGATCGCATCATTTTATTTTCCGCAAAATTATCCAAACAATCTCATCTTTATTAATGGATATATTGAAGGTATTGAAAAACTTTTTAATCTTCTCTCGATGATATCTCTTTCCTATCAATATTTATCACAAATCTTAGTTTAAGAAGTATGATTAGTATTATCTCGATAATATTCGAGAAATTTATGGCTTCCGAAAGCTGACATTACTATCATTATTTGTAGCAATTAGTTTATCTGAGATAAAAATTCCTTTATACAAAATAAAAATGTATTATGTTCAATTCAATTAAGATATCTGTAGCAAAATTAATTAAAGAAAGAAATTAAAGGAATGATTTGAAATAATAGTGCGATTTGTTCGATTACAGAAAGGCAAACAAATAGCAATTTATCATTAATATTTCTATCGTTTCATTTTCCAATTTTCAACAATATGTAAAATGAATTTACAATGATCCCATAATAGCACAAATATTGTTTTGTCTCTGCTGAAAGATAATAGAGGATACTGCTGAAGATAATCTTACATTCAAGTAAAAAAGAAGCAATCATTAAGAAATTATTTATCACATTAACAGAATAAAATTTGAAATTAGATTTGCGATTAAAAATTTGAGAATTATTGTAATACATCTTTGTCCTTCTCAGTTTCCTACACTTATCCATCTGCCTTCTCAATTCTCCTACTTCAACGACATTCAGATACCATCATCCTTCATACTTTTCTACTCTTCCTCATTCATATGTCTTCTCAGTCTTTCCTTCTACTTCAACAACATTCAAATTTCATCATCCTTCACACTTTTCTGCACTTATCCATTTCCTTCTCGATCCTTCTTTCCATTTCAGCAATATTTAGATACTTCTCAAAAGACACGACTAATTTCCTTCTGGACAATTTATCTTTTGAAAAATATTGTTCAATGGGCACATTGTTTGTTAACTATGATGTATCAAAGTAGAATGATAAGAGAATTGAATCAGTCTATTATATAAACATTCATTTGCAATTTAAACATTGTTAGTTTTAAGTTAATAAAATTAGTTTCTGAATGAGCATTTAAACTGCATGTATCCTAACAAGTACATGCAACTTACATGCATGCATATTCTTTTTAAGATATTCTTTTTCTTTTTCTATTCAACAATATGTAAAATGAATTTACAATGATAAGATATTCTTTTTTGTTGAGATAAAAACTGGATTGGAAAATTGATAGTATTATTCACGCATAGACAATTAAAACTGGAAAAGTTTCTCCTTTCTTTTTTTCCTTAATATAATGATAATGAGAGTATTCAAAAGTGACTCATTTGAATATAATTATTTATTGTAGAATTTTTTATTGCCAATAACAGGTTGGATCAATTCTATTGTTATTGTTATGAACAATTATTCATCCAATCTACAAGTAAACATCAAATTCCTAAGCTAATTATGCCTTAGAATATAAATGAAATAACTTTTTCATACAATTAAATTTAATTTTACANCAGGTTGGATCAATTCTATTGTTATTGTTATGAACAATTATTCATCCAATCTACAAGTAAACATCAAATTCCTAAGCTAATTATGCCTTAGAATATAAATGAAATAACTTTTTCATACAATTAAATTTAATTTTACATTGATTTAATATCAATTAAACACAATGAATTGATTTGTCATCTAATTAAACTATCAATTTTACAATTTATCAAAGGGAAAAAAAGTTTGCCTTTGCTAATTTAATATTTGAATTTTTTGCAGGTAACTAAAAAATATATAATTAAACTTTTTCAATTGTATGTCATTTCATTTCAGGTCTTTGACATCAATTTTTTTGCTTCCATTAAATAATTAATGTAATTATTATTTTATTGAGTAAATATGATTCATTCAACAATATTTCACTTTTTTTAAATTATAATTTTTATTTAGCACTAACAATTATTTCATCCAATTATGACTCATCATTCAAAAATATGCTTATTCCCAATAAAGGTTAGTGTAATTTTGATGATATTATAGTAGCCATTATAACATGAAATGACCATTATGATTTACTCGACATCATTTTGCAAGTTTATCAGTATATATACAGAAAAGAAATGACCATTCATCTGAAAATTATAGTGGACATAAAGGATAAGAAATGACCACTGAAGTTTACTTTACATCTTTTTGATAGTTCAATAACATAAACATACAAAAGACTAAATAATCATTGATCTGGCTATTTGAAAGCGAATCAATGAAGTATAATATAAAAGTATTATAATGAAATGATTTTTCGACAATACCGAATGAAATTCTTCTGAAATATATTTTTGATTACAATTATCACATTCATTTAAAGTATTATTTGCAAAGCATAGATTATATTATAGATATGTCTGTTCATTATGTCAGCGATAAATATTTTTCTGGCAGTTCTCTTATTGCTACTTTCCCTAATGCAGAAAGGTCCAGGTGTGCATGGTCTTCCAGACTACTTCTGTTTCGTCATATTCATCGTTATTGCAATGTTGGCAGCTTTATCCGCGATAAATGAAAATCTTGTCATATCCTTACTTGGAGCAACGGTAATTTTACTCATCTAGCTTTAATCTCATCATTGTAAGAGTTTCATCATTTAGAAATTCTTTACAGAATTTTTATGTCTTACTTCTTTCTAACCAAAATTCTTTTTCCACTCGTACGAATTTTGTACATGCGCTTAATATGACAATATCATTTATCATCACTGAATTGTGAGTCATAAATATTTATCATTATCATTATTATTAATATTATTAGTAATTTCAGATAGCCATTTTAGTCTTACTATTCATCGCACTCATATACCATCTCTGTTATTGTTATAAAAATCAAGTTGATAGTAAGTTTTTGATTATAATTATTCCTGTGAAAGATATGTTAATTTTAGAAGGAAATAAAGAACATTGAAGCAAATAATATAAAAAGGACCAACAATTAAGATAAATCATTTTGAGCATTTTCACTAAACATATACAATATATTTATATCAGATATATTAGTGTGAGGTATAAAATTTTGGATAAGAATAATAACATGAAGGTTAGGCTGTATTTTTAGATATAAAAAATTAGCAAGTTGATGAATTAATTAAGGATAAGATATGGGATAGTTTTAAACACTCGTTTAAACATTTCATATTCTATTCTCTTAGTTTCATTTCCCCGATATATATCACAAAGTAATGATGATTGATTCATTTATGAATGTAATTTTTAGTATTCGAAGTTGCCGGTTCAGCACTAATTTATTCAACCGTAATAATCGTTTCCGGATTTTGCACTTTTATCGCAATCCGTTGGCGAACATTTGTTAATCTTCGAAAAAAAGTCAAGAAACAACGAATGAATATATCAAAGGGATCCAAAGTTTCATTGAAACAAGGAGAATAAAATAATATTTGGAAAATGCCAACCAACATGATGCCATCATAATTAGTAATTATAATGCAAATGCAAACAATCAAATATAAATCCGTTAATGACATTAATTAAAATTTCATATAAAATATTATTGGACTTCTGTTAATGTTTTAATTCATTACTGTAACTGTTACTATCATTGTTAGCATTTACATTGGAATATTTATTTGTTCCATTTATTGTTACTCGGTAGATAATATATTACTCCTTGACGATCGGGGAAATTCATATTTTTATTAGAGATATCACAATCATCAATTAACGGTGATAATAATAGAAAGAAAGTTAATAATATAAGTAGCAGAAACAACAGAAGGAAATTTGAAAAGATGTGAATTTATTTTGATTATTGTTCAGTTCGAATCATCTAAATCTTTTGTATCATTGTATCATACTTTTGTCTGAGCAAGTAGAAATCAGATAAATCTTGCATTTAAACCCGAATTCATAGAAATAGAGAATAAAATTAAAACTGCGGAACTTTCAAAAGCTTGATAATTTTCGAATAATGCTATCAACTAATTATAATTAATCACTATACTGGATAATGATCATTAGCCTCATGGAATTAATTCATCTGAAAAGTTAATCCAATTTGACAAAGTTTTGACTTACGTAATATCATAGTGTCAAACCAATAACTTAACTATTATTGAAGTATTGCAAATTTCAGCTATGCCAAGACAAAATTTAAAGCCTCGCAACATCACAACATATACATCACATAAAATGAATTAATTTTTACTGACGTAAAATAGCGTGAATAGAAATTAAACGTAGAATGAAGCACCAATAATAAAAAGCTTTCAGCAACATTTGTGAAGAATTGATATCTAAAGCAAGAATTGATCATCCATTTTCCCTTCTCACCTATAAAGTGTCAGTCCGTAGAAACGCCTCATAGCCAGAACTTAGGCTTCAATATGAATTTAGCCTTTTAATAGAAGTTTTCTGTGGAGTTTTGAACTAATTTAAATTAGAGAAAATAATATGAAAACCTTTCATGAATGTCCTTTAAATATTCATCATGAATATTACTATCTTTTATATTATAAGATGATTAGNGAATATTACTATCTTTTATATTATAAGATGATTAGACACATAATGAGAGAAAAATGCTTACATTAAAAATTTCAACAATGTTGAGAATGAGGAAAAGTTAGTATAATACTATATAAAATCCGCATGTTAATGAAAGAACAATTTTTCTATAACTATTCCAATCACAATCTCATTCTTAATACCCAATCTATGAGTAAAATAAAATTCGGTAATATGGTATAAACTGATATGATTTCACTGGAATTGTTGTCTGATGTATCGAAGAGTGAACCGGGCTATCTTTCCATTTGGATGATAGATGACGAAGATTTGATTTCCTTCTGATACCGAATCTTCCTTTGGCCGATAACAACAACTGCAATTATCGATAATTTAGAGAAGGAAGTAATCGAAGAAGACATAAACATTTGTGAAAGAAAATTTCTTGTCAGATACAAGTGTCATCAGGTGATCATTGGAGTTGAAAATCAAAAAAATGTGCATCGAAATCACATTCATTTCTTCTCTATGATCTAATCACATTTGTACTATTACAAAAATCAATAAATCCGGAAATTGAAAAATATACCTTCGAAAACCAGTTAACCTGACGTCAAGTTTATGTTTAATTTCTACATATGATTGACACCCGTATGAGCATGGAAATTCACCGTCATTAAGACGAAAACGTATTCGATTTCCAACTGGAACCTGAAATAGTCCAATCCAATTTACTAGAAATGGAGAAATAAGAATGACTATTTTTTTTTTAATAAGCAGAATAGAGAGAATAACGAAAAGTATACTGAAAGATAAATAGAAGGAGTGATAATTAGTGGCTGGATAATGATAACAAAAGAAATGAGTAATTAAGCAAAGTTATATTTATCAAGGAGGATTTCCGGAAGTTATAGGTGTATTTATTAAGATATTATCTGATACTACTAGTCCTGCTAGTGTAATCAATCAAGAATTCATATTTGCTTACTGATATCCTCCAGTAACAATCGATATTTCTTCCTTTTGGACTACTTAACGTTTGCCATTTATCTGTTGCTTGTAATTCAGTGCCACATGCTGGAAAATTTTTTCAGGATTAAATCTATGATAACAACTTTTACAGTTTTTTTCGAATAATTTCATAGCCTTTTTGATTTCTTTTAAATTGCTCTTTTAAATTCAACTGGTCTAAAGATTTGATCCTACCTGAGGATCTTAGGCTTAACTTTTCCTCTAATATCTTCCGTTTTTCTCTTTTTACCCTCCGTTTTACATTTCCATTTTTGTTCCAACTCTTTTATCTAAATCTTGATATTTTAAATTAGTGCGTAACATAAACCTGTTTGAATGACTGCAACAATGGTAAAAACTCTTCAAATTTTCAGAATTTTATCTGTACCTTCCCGCGTTTCCCGAAACAATTACATACTATGCTTAATTAATATTCATAGTAATAATATACATTCATAAATACTTGTCATCTATAACCAGCACTAATGATGAGTGAAATTTAGATCTATAAATGGTAAATCTTCTCCCTCTTCCCGGTCTCTCCCTCTCCCTCTCCCTTCATAAAGCGCCGATATAGTAACATCTCTTCTTTTCGTCGTATTCAAAGGTGAACCTGTTTTCGGATAATTTCTCTCTCACGATATAATTTATCTCAAACATAAAAACCAGTTTCAATAAAGGGTGCGAAAGCGTTTTCCTAACAACAGACGTGAATTAATCGTGGATCACGCTTATCAGCGTTATTAATTATACCTATAATGCATGTAAATTATTTGTACTGAAAATTGCTTACCAAAAAAAGCTGAATTTTAATTATCCAAGTTTGAAATAAAATGCTTTCGTAATTAAAAAAATGTATGCGTGTTGACAACAACACGTACGTGAAACTCATCCCTATTACCTGCACGTTTTCAGCATTGATATAATATTTTAAACGAGTATCTTATTAATGATTAAAGTAACTGAACATGAAACTTGAACGAAATTTTTTTCTAAATATTTCTTACTCGATGGTTGTACCATACTGCAATCGTAACCACCAAGGCCTTCAGGACAGCGACATCGATTACAGTTGTTCGGATCCGGATAACCTCCTGCTAAACAAATTCGTGGATGTTGTTGACCTGCGCAAGCATCTGTAAACAGAAATGGTTGTTCGCATTAAGTCTTGTTTCAATTTATTGCTTTTTAATTTTATGAAACGCAATTGTCATATATCGAAGACGACATACTTGAGCAATAAATATCATTGATCACTTTAGCATCCAGGAAAGCCATTTTTTCGGTACCCATTGTTGTTACATACTTCAATTCTTTAGGAACAATAGTAAAATCAGATACACGAATGGCGTGTGCCACCGCATGATAATGCATTAGTGACCCGTAATCATAAGGTACATGTCGAGGTGACGTCTGAAGATAAAGGAAAATTTATGAAAAGAACAAAACAAAAAGAAATCCGGAAAAACACTTCTGTGACATTTTCCAGAAATTTCATGATGAAATTAATCTATAGCACTGAAGGGAAATTTATTCCGCAAAGTTTTTCTGCTGGTACCGAAAATCTTGATGTATTGAGATTAATTTCAGTATGCCCTTATGTCCCCCGATATATTTATGCACTGAGTAGTTACCTGGTCATCCTATATTAACAAACAATTTGAAGATTAGAAAGGTAAAATACATGCAGAAGGAATGAAAGTAATTCAACGAATAGAAGTTGGAAATCAGACGAGTAAATATTTTATAGGAGTGAATATCAGCAATTTTTGATATTATGTATTTTTATGATATGAAATACAAAATTTGCTCTTTGTTCAAGTACCTTCAATTATAATTTCTTAATGTTTGCTTACCGTATCAGCAACATATTTATGTATCATTCAATATATCTTATAAAATTTTTAAAAAATATTTTTTAACATTGCTAACGATATAAATATTTATGGCAGTTTCATTGATTCGTGACGTTCACAATCTTACAGTAAGCCGTTTAATATATTTATAATTTTCAACAAAAGAATCGTTTTTTCTTTCGGATGAATTTTGAGAACTTTTTGATGAGTGAAAAATAATAGTATCCTATGCATATTAATTAATTTTAAAATTTATAGGTAAGTAAACTTACTTGTCTGATGCCAAATGCTTGAAGCATACTCCGAAATGGCATAAATGATGCCGTAGCTTCATCCATTACATTCTTCCAATTAATTGAAATATACCGATCTCGATCAGGACGTTGATGTGTATGCCAAAAACCTAATGCATGTCCTGTCTCGTGCGCCACAACATATTCCTTTAGATATTATAAATATCATATTGATTTATGATTGGTACATATTAAAGAAAAAGTTGACAAAATGGATTGTTCTACTTATATGATATTTACCAACAAAAATTACGAGAAATTTCTAATCATTATTATATATTATATTAGTGGCAGTATTGTCGCGTATTTTGAAGATTTGGCTATGCATGCATCTTTCGAGGAATCTTAATATTCTCATTTAAGAATTATTTTACAAGTTTTTTATTCGTATCATATGTCTTCAAAATTCTTACAAACATTTGATAATAATAGTACCATACAATGTTCACCTCGTTATTTTTGTCAGCAAAGGAACAAATATTCCAATTAATATTTACATAAGACATTCAATGTTATTTATTCATCATTTAATTCACTTTCAAAATTAGGTCTTAAAAAGAAGTAATTGTTCGATTTCGCTATAAAATTTTTGCTGCTACTCTTCATACTCCACTACAAAGAGTTATTCAAAGGATTTGAATGAGTTGACCTTCCTTTCTTTTTCACCCACCCTACCATTCAAATTTGTGTTCTGAAACCAACTTTCTAATACACACACATCCTACACTCACATACACACACACACACACACACACACACACACACACATATCCGTACACATATAACAAATGTACGTATCGGCATGGGATGCGGTCTTTAATCCATTCATCAATTTTTATGATTTTATAGAAAATCTTTGAAATAAAGTTTTTTTTTGATTGAATATAAAAGAAAGAAATTTCATTATTTAATATTATAAAAGCCATTATTGTGTAAGCAAGAAATACAATTAATTTTATGAAAAATGATCGATAAAACAAAAATGAAAATTTAATAGAAAAATGAGTTCTGATAAGTTAGATAAGAAAAAATTGTGACCTCAGCACATTCACTCCCAATGATAATATCCTGATAACCGCCATTTCGTCCAATATATTCGGTGAAACAGCTATCACCTCGTTCAAGTACATACCTAATATAAATAATTTTTTTTTAAATATCATTTCAGTTACTTTAAGTAACATAACATATGAATTGCATTCAATTTGATTAAGTTAAATCTATCTTAAAATTGTGATACAAGAAGTTTTATTACTTCAAATAAGAATTTAAATTGATTTCAAAATAATAAGTATTATTGGAATGAACAAGAGAAATTATTTCTAATAGCAAATAATCTAAACCTAATACGGTTGAAAAGATTTAAAAATGTAAATGGAAAAAGAATACCTGATAGCATCTCTTGCTTGTACATTTTCTTGAAATCTCAAACATGTCGCTTCTTCCCACATACGTATTCCACGTCGAATAAGATTTCGAAAAGCATCTGAAATAATTCTTATTAATTACCTATCATATATTGTTGCTAATTATTAAATAATGATATGGAAGACTTTCTTGTTCCGTAATGATGCACATTTGCTGTTAAATGTTTTACATTAAGAGTGGCATTGCGCAAATGGCAAAATTCCACAATTTGATTAATTATACAGAAAGTTTAGAATATATGGAAATAGACACGGTGATTGAAATTTTAATTTATTCAGGTTAATTCCATAAATAAGCTAATGCAAAACATGCAATAACAGATTATTATTATTGTTTAATATATGCATCGTTATTTTTTGTCTATAACTTTTGACATTCTGAATTTTTCGCTTCAACAAATCATTAAATTTTACATCCATTGTCCTTTTCATTTCTCTTTCAGTCTTATTTTGTATTAAAAAATTATCCGTTGAAAAAATTAAATCAAATACTATAAGTATTCATAAAGATAAAATATTCAGTAACACGTAAAATTTGAATGAAATGAAATGTTGAAATCGTCAAAGATGGAACGTGAAAGATTCAACGATTAAAAAAACCAGAAAGATTTTCAAATTAATAATTTTTCATATTCTTAGCACATTACTAATGCGAGTATTATTCGCGAAAGAAGTTTATATTAGATATATTATGCAATAATCTTGCATAAATATATTATATTATATTATATTATATTATACTTGCATAAATATCATACTATATTATACTTTCATAAACATTATATTATATTCATGCAAAGTAAATAAAATTACAAAATTAAAATCCACAAATGAGTGATTGAATGACGTACGTTGCGTGATAACATTATAAAGTATGCGAGCATTTTGTTGAAAATATAATTGAGGACGTATAGCTTAGATTTAAGTATAGAAAAAGGCAATAGATGAAATGTATTTATTCGTTTGAAATTGAATATTATTGCTTGAAAATGTGATCATTTAAATACAACCAATTAGGTCGTTAAAATTGATAGCTTTTTTTATTTTACCTTAAAATTTCAGATGAATATTCGATAGAATATGAATATCACTAATATTAGAATATCAAGAATAACTTAAATTCAATTTGTTAAATCATTTAATTTTTTGAACTATTATTATCCTCAGCTGTAATTAGTTGTCTCAATACTTATGATATATCTGACTTTGTGAAGGTTTACTTCCCAAACCAGCTACTTTAATGAGTTGCATCAATATTTGAAAGATTCCAGATATGCGTACTATTATTCTAGAAGTTCAATACAATTGATATAGGACTGTAAGTTAGAATTTTCTGACAATTAATTCATAAAATTAAAAAAAAAAATTATGCTCTCAATCAATCAACGATAGAATCTGTCTACCTCAAGATCCGTTGCACTCAATGGAAATTTTTACTACCTCTCCTAATTGCTAGCAACTTTCGCTGATACCATAGCAATTCAGTCACGGATCCATTTGTATATTATATACTTTGAATTTCAAGTCTTTCAATCCTTAAGTTTCTTGTCCGAGTGCTTTCAGAGTGTTATGTGGGAACATTTAGATAAGAACTATATAAATGTCTAAACTCATTATTAAATTATAAATTAGTAAATATTTTACAAATGTTAATATTAAATATTTTTGAAATTTATTTTAAATGAATGAATAAAAATTGATTTTAATTTTTGGTAGTAATTCTTTATTTCATTTGTAAAATAGTTAACCGATCATACGTGTATAGAAATTATAATTTGAGAATTTCAACAGATATATCATACCTGAAATCTTAAATTCAGCCTATTATGATCATTTAATTTTATTATGATAATGATAATCTAATTTTATTACCTTACACTTCATTTATTTAATAATAAAATTTTCTTAATAATTTTCCTATCCGTAAATATGTGATCAATGAAACTTCTTCATTATTTTTGTGGATATATCTCAAATACATTGCTCCACTAAAATTTACCATTATAGCATAATAAAAAGAAAGTGAAATAAGATCAAAATATATTTCAGTTCATCGGGATGACAATGGCTAGGCTAGTTTTTTTCGTCACGAAAATGGCCAGGCTAGTTTTCTTCATCCTTTCCGTTTTCACTGAAAATGGAACATAGAAATAAGTAATTGTAATGGGAGAAATGTAAACAGATATTCTTTCATTGCTCTTATTAATGATTCATTCAACTTCATGCATTCGGTCCATTTCATTTGTTCCTATCTAAATATAGCTTTTTTAATCCAAACAAGAAAACCGGTTTTTTGACCGGATGAATATAATGAAATGTAACCAACGGCATAAAATTGGTTAAATAAACGGTTGAAAAATCAAGAAGAATTAGTTACAATTAGTTTGATATGTGCCTTTTTAGTTGGAAATAAAGAACTATTACAGCAATGCGTGTGTATGTTCTAACCCTTTGGAACGAAATGAATTATAATTCAATCTTTTTATCATCGAGAATTGATTAGTATAATTTATTAAATTTAAAATTTAATTTAAATTATAAATCAATATTAAAATTAACAAACTTTAAAAACTCTTTGTGATAGAAGTAAAGGTTATCAAGAGAATCGTAAAAGATACGAAAAATACTAATTTGTTCATAAAAATTTAAGGTAACAACAAAGATGTATTTTAATCAGTAAATTAACCATTCTTGTTACCACAATTTTCATTGTACTCATAAAGAGCTAATAGCAGATTCAACTAAAACAAAGCAAAAAGTATTGAATGATTTTTGTTTGCAATCAAATTTAAACGCTCTCACTAATTTTTCATCCGCATTCATTTTGTTGTACTATTGCAAGGACTGGTAAATTGAATTCCATTGAAAAATGAAAATGTTAAAATAACCTGAAGAAGAAATACCAGTATCTCTTCTCCCTCTCTCTCTCTCTCTCTTTCTTTCTTTCCTCATCCGAGTTGTCGCACAGACTACTACATTCAAAGAGTTGAATATCAGTAGGCGCTTTACAGCAGAGCGGGAATGATTGCGAGATTTTTCTCAGCTAAGTGTAAATTCTAGTTTGCGCAGTAATTAAATTTTAAGCCTTGATCCAAACTCATCAAAACAACATTATTGCAAAACATTGCTTCTCTCTCAACCAAAAGCTGTGTTGTTGTTTATGGCATTTCCTTATCGGATTGTAAAATTCATTCATATTTTAATAATTAGAATATATTATTTCATTTTATCTCATTTTAAATTTTTCATATTTAAATAAGGAATCTTTAAAGACTGAAAAAAAGTGAAGGAAGATTTAGTGAATTGTTAAAGGAGAATTATCAATATTAAGAATGCTACATAACCGGTGCCTTTTATTGAAAGATTTTTGTTAAGCGTATAAAGCCTGAATACAGGCCAGACTCATGCTAATATTTAGAAGGGAATTAGTGAAATTAACAAATACTATATTTTCATTCAAAGAATAGAATTAAATATGCAAATATTACCAGTAGGGAATTGCTAGATAGGTAATAAAACAAATAGGATAATATAATCCTGGAACAGCCAATATATGAGATTTCTAAGACATGCCTCGACAATAAGCAAGGTTTCTAAATTAGATTTTTTGCCTTTTCATATTTCAGAGATTTCTTTTAATCTACAGATAGACTATCTGAAGTACAAATTCAACAGCATAAAATTGTATGTGATACAAAGATGAAAGAACAGCTGTGATATGGGTAATGTCAAGGTCAACTGAAATGTTGTAAATTGATATAGATAGGAACGAACAATGGGACTTCTTTTATGCCATATCATTCTAATATCATCTCTTCCTTCTCCTTCATATTTCATAATTTTTTTATGTGATATATCACATCCTAGAGGTCACAAAAACCTACCACTTAAGCAGAGGTTAAGCTTTTCATTTATTTTGCTAATGAATCTAATTTTAAATTATTGCATTCTTTATAACAAAAATGAAGAAAATGAAAAAGATTAATAACAAATTCAGACTGATATTTGTTGTTGTTATGATTTAAACAAAAAGGTTAGAAAGACAAAAAACTTAAAATAATAAAAGCGCTAAATGTTGATGGATTCTACTTTACCCTTCTTCCTACCACCTCTCTGAAACTTTTCCCTTCCATTATTTTCCATCATCGGATATGCATTTTACATTATACAAGCAAAAATTTTGAAATTGTTGAAGAATCAAATAATGCATAACTGTAAGAGTATTTACTATGTATTTAGCAATAATTATTCTATTCATTGAATGCATTTCAAACATTTTGAATAATTGAACAATTTTAAAAGATAATCGTTTTAACAGCAATAACGACAACAATCAACATCTGATTATTTGTTTGTTAAATAATTTTTCTGTTAATCGACCAAATATATAAACAATTATTTAACAAACAAATTTATCAATATATTGTTATCGCTATAATAATAGTGAATTTGAAATGTATTCAATGAAAAAAACAATTGTGTGATAAGGAAAGGTATTTATAAATGAATAATTGAATAATGTTAAAATGATTAAAAGAAAATTTAAAATATTTTTGGAATAATAAAAATTAAAAAAGAAAACTCACAATCTCCACCCCATATAATATAGGGAATTGTTACAGAACGCCATTCATATAAAGGCCCAGCAATAATTTGACGTCGACGCCTAAGCCAATTGAATTCAGTTTTGGATACCCGTTCGACGATACCAATATGTAGTTGTTTATTTGAATTCATTATATCCATACCGGGAAGCATTGGTAATGTAGCGTTCATTAACAATATTGCTTCACATATTTGAATAGGTAGTAATAAAATAATCAGTTGAGATAAATGCGCCATAATGGTCATCATCATCATCATCATCATCATCATCCTTTGAGATCCAATGAATAATGTAGTACAGAAAAAACGATCAAATAATTCCTAGCCAATTATTTGTTTTATACGTACAATTGCATCTAAAAACGAATATCAAGCCTGATCCGTTTTTTTTTTCGTTTTATTTTGTTTGTTTCTTGGATATGATATGATAAAATGGAATAGAAGAGGAAAAGAGAGCGCAAATAGCTGTTATGGTTGTTAGTGACAAGCAATAATGAAGGAAATGAAAAAGAAACAACGAAAATCAGGAGCTTCTTGCTGCAAACCGGAATAGACTATCGTGTTGTTCTGCTTGCAGATGTGATGATAATGATGATGATGATTGCTTTGCTTTGCTTTGCTTTGCTTTGTCTTCATCAGCTATTACCAAAAGCGTCACATCTAATTGCTAAAAATGGAATTTGATAAGCCTAATGATATTAAACTGATGAAGCTAACAAATAACAATGAAATGATGGGAAGAGAAAGGAAGATGTTATTGCTTCCTACGATTATTCTAATTTATAATACGTCATCGATACTATTGATAGATATACTTTTATATCATCATAATGTTCCATCTTCGATTGATTTTAAAAATACATTATCAGAATTTTTTCACAAAAGGAAAAGTGATTTTTTTTTACAATTCGTATAACATCGACTATAAATATTAATATATTGTTATATATCAATTACTTAATGATGATATTATGTTGATTGATTCGTTTTAATACAGCTAAAATTCCATTTTTAACCTTTTCTAGGGTTTGAAATTTAGAAGCTAAATAGAATAATACAATATGCAATGATACCTTTATTTATTTAGAAGATAATTGTTGTTATTGTTATCGTTAGAAATTCCAAATACCAAAAGGTTGCAGATTATTGGCAGCATTTCTGTAAAATGAAAGTTTCCAAAAAATGTTAATTTTGATTTTGACTATTTCTTGATTAAGATGGAAACGGAATAGTTGAAAATAATAATTCTTCTTTCTTTTTCGTTTTAATTCACGACTAATTTTAGATAAGCGACAATCAGTAACGTTTCAAAAAGGATCATTAACATATATGTTGCGTTAAAGAAATGATCATCCCGATGACGATGACGATGATATGGACAACGAAAACGATAATGATGGCGACACTTTTGATTATACCTCAGCTGAACTCAATCGTATCCAACGATAATCACACAGATATATGCCAACCAAACTCTATCTACGGTAAATAAATTTTGTAAACTTTTTCATATAACATGTGTGCATTATGTTAACTTGTTTATGTCTGCCATTGTACAATTGAAGCGCTGTTGTAAATATTCTTCTTTCTACCCGCTCCACCCATCATCTGATAATACCACACCCCTGAGAGCTTTTTCCTTGGCACTATTATTATTCAGGTTTACTTTTGTGCCATTAAAAATGCATATGTATATATATTTGTGTTTGTACATATATATATATTATATATATGTGTGTGTGCGCTAATTATAGTTAACAAAGTTCAACTTCATTGAAAATATTTCTATGTTAGAGCTTCTAGTTTTTATTATATAATCGATGGTATATGGTATCAAAATGAAATCTATCTATTCAGCAACCTGATTTTTCCAATTTTGTTCACTTGCAATTTTCCCTTTTAAAGATTTAGATCTCAATAATTGTTGGCGGATTTTGTGGGCCAATTAAAATCATTATCTCTAATTATAGTAACTAAACATATAGAAATTATTCCCGAGATTATCGAGATTAGATTATACATATCCGTTTTAGGCTATTTCCTTTCTTTTTCTTAAATCTTATTTACTCTCTTCTCTAATTTAATAAATTCATCATCGAAATTGCAATATATCAGAGAATATAAATTGCTTATTGCACTTCATTTTTTTTCAATTAGTTCATCTCTCTCAATCAAACCCATTGAAATTAATTTTACTTTTTTTTTCATCTATCAATCACTAATTTTTAATTTGTCGGAAGTGTTGCAAAACTATTTTTTGTATTTCGACAGAGAGAAGAAACAAAAAACTAAGGAACACATTGCTATGAAAGAACAACGTTCAAAAAAAAAAACAAAAAATTTGCATTAATTTAAATCTGATGACCTCTATTTTCCCAATGATGATCTTCAAAATGGAATGCATTTTAAATGGTAGCGTTCACTTTTAAATTGGTAAACTATTTCTTCATCTGACCTTCGACATTCACCGATACATTTTCTCATTCAAAAACTCCTTTTCTAGTATTTAAAAGGATTGCAATAATTTAATTAATTCACATAGATGCACATTGAAATTAAAATGAATTCATGGAGAAAATGAAACGATATTTTCAGTTCTGAAGTGGTATATGAAAGATGCAACAGGTATGCACATGAATGATAATCATAAATGATAATTTATTTTAACAGAAGAATAAGCGATTAGAACTTAATACTGCAACAATCAATATAGCAATAATCATATTACTATAAAGAAGCATAAAAATTTTATTGGTCAAATTTGTTTGTGTGTTTCTTTCTCATTTAATTATATGTATTTTAAAATATTCAAATGCTTCCTACAAGTAATAATGTTCTCTAATAGGTGAAAAAAAAGTAATATTTCAAAATCATTATAGAGTCACCTTTTTAACCTTTTTATTTTCCTTTATAACTTTTGAATGATCACGAAGTTGTCCCTTATTCAATATCTTTCATTTGAAGTTAAAGTCATATTTCGGTTTTTATTTTCAATAATTATATAGAAAATATAATCATCTATTGTCTAATATAGTGAAGATAATCATCAATTGTTAATGCATGATCGATGCATTCCAATGCGGCTATATCAAAGACAAAAATGAAGTTGGGATTTGCGACAAATACTTAACAGATACGTCATCAGTTTTAAGATCGCAATTTCAAAATTCATCTTTGTATATAAATGTTCCAATTCCAGCTTTGCAATACATTCAAAAGATCATTTGATTGTTAATTGTAATACCTTTCAGTGATTATCAAAATTGTAAAGATGATTAAAATTCCTTCTATAAATGAAGGAGAAAGTAATGATCGAAATGAATCACTGATTGTTTAAGAAAATTGAGTTGCCCGAGAAAACATTGCTTCATATAATTATCATCTAAATTGGAAAGCACTGAGAGAGTTGTTAAATTGGAAATTGAACAGGTTTGATGACAAATTGATAATTAAGTTTTATTCACAAATTGCTTTTTTTTTGAAAATAGAAGTAAGTATTCTTCCAAATGATAATGTATAATAATGATATATGGAATTTTTTGAGAGTTCACTATTTTAATTTTCCATCTATTTGATAATTGATTACTTTTTAATTAATAAATTTATTAATAAAATTTTGGAAGAGAGAAGGAATAAGTTGAAAATATACATTCGAAACTGGTTTGAAAAAGAATGTATTGAATGGGAATAATGAGAAAAATCTTCAAAATTCAATGTCAAAGCAAGAATATCAGAAGTAGAAAAAAACACGTTCTCCATACGATAGTATCTGAATCCAGAAGAACCACAGATGAATGAATACTGCAGTTGATATGAGAATTGGAAACACAATGAATATGGGCATACAAAATAGCACTGCTACCATTTTTTCCTCTATAATAACAAAATAGCATTTATAATTTGTGAGAGAGTTCAAATTTAAATTTAGATTAAAATCAAATTTAAAGTCAAAAAATTTGCGTGTGTATATGATATGGAACGGTAGATATCATGATGAGAAAATCATTTATGAAATTCTTTAGAACACTGGCAGAATGCATCTATATTTGTTTCCTTTCGGAGACTTCAATGAAATTACAATCGTATCGAATCTATTCCTTCCCTCAAAGTAATGCTTGCGTGAAAATAAAATACTATTATCCGTATAAACGTTTACTGCGTTGCATAACATTGATAATGTTATGATGACACTGACAAGATTGAGGTATTACTTTCTATTATTTTTATTCACAAGGATCTCGAACTCTCTTGGTTGACTGAAGTTGCGTTGGTCCTGACTGAAGACGTGGTCGAATTGGTGCTACGCGGCAAAGTGGAGAATTTTTCAGCTGACATTTTCAACAACAAAAATAAAGCTGTTGCTGTCACAGACAGTTTCGAAGTCTTTTTCTGCCATCAATAGCAAACGTTTCGGTAATTGTCAGTCGTTTTGTTCTTCGAGATTTATTTTATTATCTCATCTGCTAGGATGGGTTGGCGGGATTTGGGAAGTGTCTTGAAGTGTACCGCGATGTACCTGAGACCTACCGCGGTGTACCAGAATCTCTGATTTCTCAAACTTCTTATGTAGACTGATGTAATATTCCCACATGTATACGATACATGCAAAAAAATTTTGTATTGTATCTTTCAGTCACTTTTGGATAAATATTTCGGTTTACAGGCTTGTCTATTGGTACAATGGACGAAGTGGACTTACGACATGATGTGAAGCATGTGGATCGTGGAGGGTGGAAGATATGTATTGTTTGTTAATTACAGGTGAGTTGTTGACATATATTCATGGGTGATTTCAAAAGTCGACGCGATCCAAACCGGTACATTTAATTTATTTTTAAAATTAGTAATGATAGAGTTTCTTTCTGAGTACTCTACTTTTATTAAAAG